GTAGTTGAGGCAGGGAGCAGCGCCTGGCAGACCAGGTAAAGCTGTTCAAAAACATTTTAGCTTACAATGGCGTGGTGCAAGGGCACATCTGGCAAAATAACTACTACTACTGCAAGCTGTAGCAGTTATGGTGCCTGGAGTGTTACTTAAAGGGACACTCCTGATTGTAGGTAAGTGCAATGTTTTACTAAAAGAGTGCTGTAAGGAAACCAAGTATAATTTAAACCTCATTCGGTAGTTTCCTCCCGAACCACCAGAGCCTTAGTGATTATAGCCCTCCGTTCGGTAGATAGAATAGACGAACCATATAGTAATCCCAATAGCTTCTCAAGATGATTCCCTTAGTGAAACACACGAATCCCCAAACATGAGCCGAAGTCAAGAAGAAGGGTACAAGATGAACTAACTTTTAATGGATACACACAGCTTTTATGCAAGTCCCTATGCAAGGGGACATCCCTCAGGGAGGGACAAATATTCACCAATCATATACTGTAAAACTTTAACACACACCCACAGTTCCCTCCCCTAGCCCTGGAGATAATTAAGTCTGATAAAAGAATAACTTAATTATCTCCGGGCTGAAAAATCACTTTTTTCCCCAATAACTGGATCACCCCTTTATACTTGGGGTATCCCCACAAATAACATGTCCCCGGATAGCCCTGATCTGGGTGACCAACATATTCGAATTTCACCCAGATCGGTTCAGGGGATCGCAAAAACTATGGATGTATTCTGTGACCGGCTCACCCTGGGCTGTATGCCCAAAACAGTTCCATGCGTTTGGTGGGTTTTGCCGGTCACTTTAGAAATAGCAGAAAAGCGAACAAAGTACCGAATGGATCCCTCTGGCTCCTAGCAGCGTTCGTGCCCCTCTGTCGAATGCACCAAAGTACCGAATAGCACTCTTCTAGCTATTCGGTAAGTAAAGTTCCAGCATTCGTCTGTTTGAGACAGGTGTTCGGGAAGTCGAGTGTCCGTTTTCAGTTCCATATACTCGACGACTAAGTCCCGCTGCCTTTGTTCGCATGAACAAAGATGGCCGCGGTTTTCTCTGCCACGTGGCGTTCGGCTGTACGAACGCTGGCCGCACAGACAGAGGTAGCAATTGAATCAGTCTTTGATGTTTAACGAGCCAGAGGGGTGGTCTTTGTTCGATAGTTACATCTACCGAATGCAATGGGCAGAAATAGTGTAACAAAAGGGGGATTTCTTCACAAGTGCATTTAACAAAAGTTGCAAAAATAACTGTAAGGAAACCTAGTATATCCAATCCTCATTCGGTAGTTTCCTCCCAAACCGCCAGAGCATCAGTGATTAAAGTTCTCCGTTCGGTAGAAGAAATAAACAAAATCCATACGAACACAATAGCTTTACAAGTTGATTCAATTAATAAAGCATACGAATCCCCAAACATCAGCCGAAGTCAAGAAGAAGGGTACAACAGAACTGGCTTTTAATGACCACACACTGGCTTTTATGCAAGTCCCCATGTAAGGGGACATCCCACAGGGTGGGACACAGTACAACCAATCATTTACAGGAAAACCATAAAACAAACCCAGCACAAACATACAATTCCTTCCCCTAGTCCTGGAGATAATCAAGTCTGATAAAGTAATAACTTGATTATCTCCAGGCAGAAAAATAAAAATTTTCCCCAATATTCAGAACACCCCTTTAGGCATGGGGTATCCCCACAAACAATATGTCCCCTGATAGCCCCGATCTGGGTGACCAACATATTCAAATTTCACCCAGATCGGTTCTTTTGTGACTGGCTAAACATGAGGTGGCTGCCAAAAATAGTTCTAGGTGTTTGGGTGGTTTTGCCGGTCTATTCAGTTCAGTAGCAAAAACCAAATAATTCCACGAATGGATTCCCCTGGCTCTTAGCAGCGATTGTTCCATTATTCGAATGCACAAAAGTACCGAACAGCGCTCTTCTAGCTGTTCGGGAAATAAAGATCCAGCGTTCGCTTGTTGAGACCGGTGTTCAGGAAGTCGAGTGTCCGATTTTAGTTCCAGACACTCGACGACCAAGTCCCACTGCCTTTGTTCACATGAAAAAAAGATGGCCGCCGTTTTCTCAGCCACGTGGCGTTCGGTAGTACGAACGCCGGCCGCAAAGATAGAGGGTTCAATTGAGGCATTCTTTGAAGTTTAACGAGCCAGTGGGGTGGTCTCTGTTCGGTAGTTAAATCTACCGAATGAATAGGGAAGAAATATTGCACATAAACAAGGGATTTCTTCACAATAACTTTGATGGTTTTTTTTTTTTTTTTTGCAACTTCTTTGATGCAGAGATATCCTATAAAATTTAAATTAGATTATGATTGAGGTGTTCTCTATGGAAATCGTGAATATCAGCACAACTCCCACCATGGATAAACCCCATCCCCCCTGATGCTCTGGGTACACTCTTACACGTACAGGCACCTGCACACTGTTGCTTTACAAATTGATGTGAACATGGGTGTTCTTTTAAAAGTGCCATGCATGTGCCCACAAATAAAGTGTTATGGATATTAAAGGAAAACTGCAAGCACCGTAACCATTACAGCATGGTGTAGTGGCTATAGGGCCAGGGGCGCAATTTGTCAAACTGCTTCTGTGCACTATAACTAAACGGTTTGACAAATGTCACTTCGGCGGCTGCACCATGCCTCCATGTCACCTGTTTCTGAACTAAGCCTGACAATGCATCCACTGATAACCTCTTCATCTACATTACATAGTCCAGTGATGAATTGCGGAGATGCTTTTGAATTAAGAGTACCTTTCCCTCTGTATTGGACACGTGACTCAGGATTCCCTCCCTCCGTCCCCCACTCCTTCAGCATCATAGGATTACTCCGATGCCAGACTCTGATTCCAAAGTATAGTGGAGGTGACCTCTGACACTACATTTCCCCTATGCCAGACCCATTATCTGTGTTATAGGGGTTCACTCTGACACTGTCTGCCCCCCTATACCAGACCCATTATCTGTGTTATAGGGGTTCACTCTGACACTGTGTCTGCCCTCCTATACCAGACCAATTATCTGTATTACAGGGTGTGGCAGAACCAGCCTCGCCACTGGGCATTGGAGAAGACTGATTGCCAGCCTCCTGCCCTGTAACTATGGCCCCATGTTAAATGCTGGATTTTCCCCTTCAAAGACCCGAAAGCCGGGTCATTCGGTACTTTCCCTATGTGAGCAGTGTTACCCCAGATAGCTATGCCATGGAGCCCATTCGTATAACGAAAGACTATGTGAAAGACTTTGGCTCCATGGCAATTGAACCGTATGTATGTGATCTGAGCGCCATTCAGTAATAATAATGAAAGTACACATTTTATGCAATCGCTGCACAGTTATATATTTTTTTGTATTTTATTGTATTTTGCTACCATGTGGCTAATGGAGTTTTGCCTCTGTTCTTGGAGATAACTGGATTACTTCCCAATTATCTCCAGGATAGAAGACTCTGTGGAACTGGTTTTGGGCAGAAAAACCATGCTTCATTTTGTCAAATTAGACTTTCCCTTAACTTTTTAACCCCTGAACCGATTGCCCTGATTTTTGAGTATGTGTATATTTCAAGCATTTGGATTCTGAAAATGTATGTTTTATGTGAATGGCATGTATATTTTGGAAGTTATTAATATTTTGTAAAAACTGTATTTCTCTGCTTGTGATAATTATATTACCCATTGTGTTCAGTAATCATATCACAGGCAGAGGGGAGGATTTTGTGTGGGAGTGTCTGTGTGTATTGTACAGATTGATTGGTTGTGTTTCAAAACCCTGTGGGCAGTACTATGTTTGTGGATTGTGAATAAAAGAGGCTGTATGTGCCAGTACAGTCAGTTCTGCTTGACCTCAAAATGAAGTGACCTCTCGTTATTGGGGGAATTGGATTGTATGCCGATTGCCAGGAGTGTAAGCTGATTGTATGCTTTTCCTGTTCAGCTGCTTACAGCATTCATATGCTTGAGAGCATTCATATGCTTCTCCGGTTCGGTGGTTGTGGTGTCTGCTGCAGTGCTTAGAGTCCTCAGGAAGCACTAGGAGCATCCTTCAACGGAGGTACACAGTCGGGGTGCCAGGTGATCCGTTACACAGGGGTTCAATCTGACACTGCGTCTGCCCCCCTATACCAGACACCCGGTATCTGTATTATAGGGGTTCACTGTGACCCCCGGTATCTGTATTATAGGGGTTCACTGTGACCCCCGGTATCTGTATTATAGGGGTTCACTGTGACCCCCGGTATCTGTATTATAGGGGTTCACTCTGACACCCGGTATCTGTATTATAGGGGTTCACTGTGACCCCTGGTATCTGTATTATAGGGGTTCACTGTGACCCCTGGTATCTGTATTATAGGGGTTCACTCTGACCCCTGGTATCTGTATTATAGGGGTTCACTCTGACACCCGGTATCTGTATTATAGGGGTTCACTGTGACCCCCGGTATCTGTATTATAGGGGTTCACTGTGACCCTGGTATCTGTATTATAGGGGTTCACTCTGACACCCGGTATCTGTATTATAGGGGTTCACTGTATCTGTATTATAGGGGTTCACTCTGACACCCGGTATCTGTATTATAGGGGTTCACTCTGACACCCGGTATCTGTATTATAGGGGTTCACTCTGACACCCGGTATCTGTATTATAGGGGTTCACTCTGACACCCGGTATCTGTATTATAGGGGTTCACTGTGACACCCGGTATCTGTATTATAGGGGTTCACTGTGACACCCGGTATCTGTATTATAGGGGTTCACTGTGACACCCGGTATCTGTATTATGGGGGTTCACTCTGACACCCGGTATCTGTATTATAGGGGGTTCACTCTGACACCCGGTATCTGTATTATAGGGGTTCTGGCAGTTGTTACCATGGAGATGGAATACCTGTGGTGTTTACTCTCCCGCGAGGGCCGGATCCTCCCAGTACCGGAAGTGACGCCATGCGCTCCCCGGAAGTGCGCAGTTGTGGCGCTGTGCGCTCTGTGCGGCGGGGTTTCTGTGGGCGGAGTCAGTGTGACCGTTACTGGCAGGGAGCACGCGGACTGTGGTGTCAGATAGCAGGTAACGGGTTACAGCACGTGGCGACTGCATTGCGTTACCATGGAGACTGGCATGGAATGATAAGTGCTGCCGTGCTGTATGTAGCGTTCGAATGCTGCATACCGCAAAGGGGAGATTGAGTGAGGAGGGCAGCGTGTCAATGCTACATACAGTAAGAAGAGACTGTCTGTGTGGGGTGCAGCGTATCAATGCTCCATACAGTAAGGAGAGACTGTGTGGTGCAGCGTTTCAATGCTACATACAGTAAGGAGAGACTGTGTGTGGTGCAGCGTTTCAATGCTACATACAGTAAGGAGAGACTGTGTGTGGTGCAGCGTTTCAATGCTACATACAGTAAGAATAGACTCTTAGTGGAGAATGCAGCGTATCAATGCTACATACAGTAAAGAGAGCACATCTTAGTGTGGGGTGCAGCGTGTCAATGCTACATACAGTAAGGAGAGACTGTCTTAGTGTGGGGTGCAGCGTATCAATGCTACATACAGTAAGGAGAGACCGTCTTAGTATGGGGTGCAGCGTATCAATGCTACATACAGTAAAGAGAGACCGTCTGAGTGTTGGGTTCAGCATATCAATGCTACATACAGTAAGGATAGACCGTCTTAGTGTTGGGGTGCAGCATGTCAATGCTACATACATTAAGGAGAGACCGTGTTAGTGTGGGGTGCAGCGTTCAATGCTACATACGGTAAGGAGACTCTCTTAGTGAGGAGTGCAGGGTTTCAATGCTACATACAGTAAGGAGAGACCGTCGTAGTGTGGGGTGCAGCGTATCAATGCTACATACAGTAAAGAGAGACCATCTTAATGTGGGGTGCAGGGTTTCAGTGCTACATACAGTAAGAAGAGACTGCCTTAGTGAGAAGTGCAGCTTATCAATGCTACGTACAGTAAGGAAAGACTGTTGGTGAGGAGTGCAGCGTGTCTGTGCTACATACAGTAAGGAGAGACTTTCTTAGTGAGGAGTGCAGGATATCAATGCTACATACAGTAAGGAGAGACTGAGGAATGCAGCATTCAATGCTACATACAGTAAGGAAAGACTATTACTGATGAGTGCAGCGTTTTAATGCTAGATACAGTAGGTGGAGTGCTCTATGCTGCAGGGCGGAGACTAAGTGAGGAGCACTGCGCATCAATGATATATACAGTAGGCAAGGGGAAAGCTGTCAGTCTTAGTGATGAGTGCAGTGTATCAATGCTACATACATTTGCGGAGAGACTGTCTTCATGAGAAAGGCAGCATGTCAGTGCTAAATACTGCAGAGCAGCACTTTTCATGCCCTGGTTATCAGTATGGTGACATTATGTGGGTGTAGGAGAACATTTGGCATTGTGGCAAATATTCATACCAGCATAACAATATATTCCAACTGATATATTGGATAACTTGCTGACTGCTAATAAAGGGTTAATAGGCAAAACTGTATGGTTAGCAAAATAATTTCATTTGTTTCCACCCAAGGCCAACAGATATTACTGCTCACCCTCCTGCAAGATAATGGCTTACAAAGGGTATTATATTGTGATAAATGGTAGATGGGGGGGTAACTTAACATTTTTTTTGTTTGCATTTGATAATTGGTATATATGCAAATTTCCAAACACACTGTCTCTCAGAATCCATTTGTACTGCTTCTCCCTCTATTGCAATAAAGACGTGATTCTAGTACGTAATGATTTCACTACTCCAGCCTCTGACTGGTTAATTGGAAAAGGCTTTTTCAGAGTGTGTTGGCTATTTGGCTAACAGCACTGAAAGGGTTAAAGCCTGCCCTGAACTATTACATGATAAGCAATTGTTGGAGGTCAAACCATTGGATTAAGACATGGTTAGTCACTAATGTGACTATTGTTTTGGGTTGACATTTGCCAGGTCCCACCTGATGCCTTCTCCTGCTTCTGGCCTTCCTGAGTCCTACAATCCACTTCCAGACAGGAACTCCTTGGTTGGCTGTGAATGTGCTCAGCTGACACGATCGTCAGTGAATAATCACCTGCACTGTCCCCCAGCTTCCCCTGTTTGAAATTATTGGAAGAAGGGTAGGTGCTCAGCAGCACCCAGGTACGTTTTTGTTTTGTGTTTTTTTTATATGGCTAAAACTGTGTGATCAATTATGCTAGGTTGGCACGTGGGCACTCTTGGTACCATAACTATGACCGTGAACTGCAGGGGTTATGGTGCATAGAGTGCTTCTTTAATAACTATAGGAATTGTTGAGAAGTTACAGGCATTGTACAGTTTTGGCAAATGCAGTCAGTGTGAAATAATGGTTTAATTTTTCTCTAACTGGGCGATTTTAGGCGCGATCTAGATCTAAGCACAGCCGATATAGGGCCAAACTCATTGGCTGAGAGCACTCACTCACACTCTCAGCCAGTGGCTCTGCTTAGCTCAGTAGAGATAACTAGATTATTTTAAAAGAACAGACCGCTCAGCAGGCCCAGGTAAGTAGTTATAGTGTACTAAAACAGCCTGATGAATTACACCTGGGAATACTCCTGACCCTATTGTTTAGTGGTTATTGGCAAAGGGAGCAGGGGTCCCACACATAAGATATCTGCATTGTGTTTCATCCTTATTTTTATTATTCTGTCTATTTTAATGTTTATTTTTTTTGTAATATATCTACAGTTATTTATATCATGGCTTTTGAGTGTCACTAATGAGACTATACTTCTAGGGGACAAATCATGAAGCATGACAGAAATCTATAGTGTGATAGTGATGACAGCACTTTACTGATAACTATGGTGGTGCACATAGGATTGGAGGTAATCTGTGTGAGTTAGGCTTAATCTAGTGTGACATTATGCAATTTTAAATTGACACTATAGGCACCAAGACCACTTCAGCTCATTGAAGTGTTCTGGGTGAATAGTCCCAGGTCCCTTAAGCCTGAAAGGATAATTATTGCAGGTTTTAATAAACTGCAGTAATTACCTGTCAGGGTTAACTCCACCTCTAGTGGCTGTGTACCAGACAGCCTCTAGAGGGACTTTCGGGTGTAACTGACACTGGATGATGTCACGCTAGGCATGAAGACATCCAGCATCACCCAAAACCCTATAGGAAAGTATTATATAAGTACTAATGCGAATTGGGTCTCTCCCACTGGCAAGGGAGGAGTGGAGGGGGAACCCGGGTCCTCACCGAGGGACATCGGTGCTGAACTCAGGTAAGCGACCGAAAGGGGTTTTTAACCAAAAAATCGACTCCACGGGGAGGAGGTGGTGAGGGTGCCTTGACAGAGGTTGCACTATAGGGAGCTAAAGTGCCAGGAAAATTCTAAAGTTTTCCTTTAAAGTACTGTAATATTTAAGGTAGAGGCCTGGTGCTACACTCCTCTTGGATAGCCCTTGACTGTACCTAGATTTGACTCAACTGACACCTGTGACACCCCCATAACCTGCGCTGTAATAAGTACTGTGGATGACTAACTTAAAAGTGCACGATTTAGCAAGTGACATCTTAATCCAGTTCAGACTAGGCACGGCCAGGGCACACAAAACAAACATAGTTTCTGTTACACTCTTCCACTATCTGTATTCAGTGACTGAAAAGGGCATTTATTGTTTTTATTTTTTTACATTTATTGTGATGATTGACAGCCAAGATGGATGCCATAGTTACTGGTTAGAGGCAAACAGAGCAATATGAATTCTCTTCATTATATTGTTTCAGACCTCACAAACCCCTATTTGCTCAATATAGAGCCTAGTTTCTCAACCTGTGGTATGTGTACCCTGGGAGGTACACCAAAGCTTGGCCCGGGGGTCAAATGGAGGTGATGAGGGAGCTGTATTCTTATGATGTTCGACCATTGCTTCCTCGTGTGGCCCTGCGGTAATCCCAGGAGCCGGGTTATGATGTCACTCTGGCATCACTAAGCAGCACGTGAGGGAGCAGTGAAGGAAGAACACGAAGATTACATAAGTCCCACACTGGACCCCAGAGAAAAAATCTACTCCGGTTCTCCCAAAGGAACGGAGGCTGGGAGGACTTAAATAAAAACAATGTGTGAGAGAATGTGTGTTGTGTTGGTGAAATTAGTGTGAGTGTGTTTGCCACTGAATATGTGTGTGTGTGTGTGTGTGTGCGCCAGTTTCCTCTGTGTGTAACTATAAAGTGTGCATTTTCTTTTGTGACTTTTATACTTCAAATTAATATTTCATACACAATATTCACATTGTCATATTTATTCTAAACATATTTTCTGCTAGCTTCATTCAGACTTGTTCTCCAGTTTGGGATTTACTTAAGTATGAGTGTCTACAATTTGCATTTAGAATTTAAATCAGTAGAAATTACTTTTTCGAGGCAGGGGTTCTTAGGAATTCTTTTTTTTAGACCTGTAGGGGCACTGCTCTGTTAAAGTTTAGAAGCACTGATAGAGAGCATAAGTAAACATAACATTAAAAGGTCATTAAACACAAGTGTCTCTACACACCTGACATTCTGTGGGCTACTTCTTAGTTCAGCCATAGCAAGACTTAACAATTACTACAAGCACCATGACCACTTCACTGAGTTGTGTTGAGCATATTGCCTGCCTGCCTGCCTGCAGTCTGTATGTGCAGTGTATGAAACGCTGCACACACAGGATTTATCCCCTCTGCTCTCTTTGGCGTAATTCCACCTCGGGCATCGTCATTGGTTGTCATTAGCCACAGTTCCGAATTACTAAGATGAATTCTATCATATTGGCCGTCTAAAGGGGAAGGCTGCAAACCAGAAATCTGCAGCTTTTGCAAGCGGTTTCTAACTATACCCCCCCAAAAAAAAAAAAGCATAATTAAATGCATGCGTGTTTTCATTGAGTGTATATCTCCTATATAGTGATTCATTTATTGATTGTATATGGCTGTGTCCCTTTAGCAGTATTGTCAAGTTGGGTAACCATCTTTCTGATTTATGAAACCCCAGTATATTAAAGGAACACTGAAGGCACCCAGACCACTTAAGCTAATTGAAGTGGTCTGGGCGCAACGTCCCCTTTGCACTTAGTGCTGCAATGTTAAACATTGCAGTCCAGAGAAACTCTGTTTACATTGCAGCTCTAAGTCTGCCCACAGTGGCTGTCTACCAGACAGACACTAGAGGACTTCCTAAATCAAAACGGACCTTTGGTCCGGTATCTGGCGCTGGACGTCCTCACTCTCCGCATGAGGACATGAGCGTCAGATTTTTGCCTTTGGAAAGCATTGATTCAGTGCTTTCCTATGGGGAGATCTAATATGTGCGCGGCATTTACCACGCATACGCATTAGTTCCTGGCCACCGGAGGGGGCAGAGCCAGGACCCAGAAAAGGTAAGTAGATAAAGGGTTTTTATACCTTTTATTTACAGGGGAGTCAGAGGGAGCTATGGTGCCGGGAACACCGCTTTGTATTCCTGGCACTTAAAGTATCATTTTAATGAAGCTCTGTCTTTTGTTCTAGTCTAAAACGTCTAAATGTGTTCTACCTAATAAGTTGGAATTGTTTTATCTCCCAGGAGCTGGAATTCCCATAAGAACTTTCCTGGTCCTTTTATCTTGTGCTATTGTGTATTGGAGAAGATGTATGGATTGGTGGTGCTAAATGTAAGTAGATTTGTTGAGGTTTTTTTTTTAAATCTTTGTTTTTGTGCAAGAGATTTACAAGCATGTGCCACAACAGCATGCAAAGGTTTATCAACAAATATTTTGACTTGGCACATAGAAACTGCACATTTTTCATAAAATATAGTGAACTAAAAGCATGACATAGGTTGATTTCAGGGAATGGGATGATTACTAAGATTACCATATGACATGCTGTAGAACTGAACCAAGATTTAAGCCAGTTGGGTTAAGCTTAGCATTACAATACCACACAATAAAAATGAAAGAGTAAAAACAACAATAATTATAAGAATACTTAGCAAGACAGAAAGGTAGGCATGAGTCTGCTGTCAGCAGATGAGCAGCATTAGACTTGTAGCCGGAATCAGCCAATTCCCTTCAGCGGCAGGGAGTTACTGCTAGAAAGTCTGATAGTGAGGCCTCAGAGAGGTTCCAATTTGTTGCGATCACGTGGACCAGCCTCACCACTCCCCAAGCTAGGACTCTCACTGTGCCATGTTCTTCCTCCGAGGGGGCAGCCCGAGTATACGGTCATAGGCTGGGTTTTTTTCCGGCAGGTATTCCTCCTCACACAATTTTGCTGCTGTAAAATACGGCGCCTAGTGCCGCGTAGTCGAGGCCGTCTGGTAGGTAGCAGCCATGGTTTCATTGGCTTGCTGCCCGGAGGTGGTTTTCCTGACCTTTTTTTCTTGCCTTTCTGAGGTCCCTCCTGGGGTGCGAGCGGGATGGGCTCTATGTGCCGTCGGAGTCTCGTCCAGAAGCGCCAGAATATTTCCTCCAGCCACACCAAGCAGAGATCCGTAGTGCTCTGGTGTGCTCCCCGGTTTCTACCAAGCGTGAACATATCTGGAGGGTTGGGATCCGCCATCTTGGCACATCTAAGTGTGCAGTGTTAACGGCTGAAATCAGGAGATAGATTTGGCTAGGGCTGTATGTAGCTGCCCAGTGACAACCGGGATAACCCCCGCCGGTCCAGAGGGGCGTGTATTAGGTCAGCAGGGCCACACTGTGAACTGTGTGGAGCTAGGAGAGTGTCTGTCTCTCCCAGGCTCTGTTTCCAGTAGGCCACAGTGAGGCTTTTGGGTTCCTGGAGGCTAAAGGTTTCGAGTGAGGTCTCAATCAGGTCTCTTGTGAACCCACAACATGGGTAGTGTACTTTGGTAGGTATTGTAGCTCAATAGTGGGGATAATTTCCCAAGGATTCGCAGAATAGTTAGGAGCTTGTGTTGCATGCGTCTAGACAGTGCCACGGTCAGGCTCCGCCCCCGATTTGTTTTGATTTTTAAGCACCTTTAAAATAATAAAACAAACCAGTACTTGAAAATTGAGATGAAGTGATTGGCTGCCTATAGAGTGTCTTTAATGTGCTCTTTAGCTCACATGGAACCAAGCCAAGCATTTCCTAAACTGGCAATGGCCATGGTAGTCCAGTAGCTTCTTATGGTTTCTTTCAAGATTGATTCCATATGTACATAGAAATCTGTCAGCTCAATGAGTGCTGCATGATAAAATATAAGGGTGGAGCCAAAGACCATAGAAATGATATATCAAGGGAAAAAAGGCCAGGAATAAAATGTTATGTTTTTATAAATCTGTTAAATTTAAATAAAATAAAATTGCTAATTTTCTTTCAAAGTTATGCATATTTTTTAAATGGATTTAATATATACCCACAAAAAATAAATATATATATTACATTACACCGGCGTGCTTACATGGAAATGTATAAATTAGTTTACTATTTTGTGATATGACTATGCAGCACTGTACAAATTTCACAGGTCCAGTACATTATTATTATTAATGTGCATGTAGTGATGAATCTATAAATGGGAAAACATTTCCCCAGACAATGAAAGCATTACTTTGGTATGAACATTAACAGAAAGTGCACAGGTCATAGAAAAGCAAAGTGTTTAGATTGCAGGCTAATAGACCCTGAGTCAGGAGGACATGGAAGCCCTGGAGGCCCCAGTCACACTAGAGGAATTACAGGCAGCCCTAAAGTCCGCTAAACTGAACAAGGCTCCAGGACCAGACAGCCTACCGGTCCGCTACATTAAGGAATTCGGAGACATGCTTTTGCCAAGACTCCTCAGCGGTATCAACTCCATCCGGGACGGGGATGCCTTCCCGAGGAACACTCTGACTGCAACAAGACTCCTCAGAGGTATCAACTCCATCCGGGACGGGGATGCCTTCCCGAGGAACACTCTGACTGCAACAAGACTCCTCAGAGGTATCAACTCCATCCGGGACAGGGATGCCTTCCCGAGGGACACTCTGACTGCAACAATAACGGTCATCCCGAAAGAGGTGAGGGACCCCACTAGCTGTGCGAGCTACAGACCAATTTCCCTCCTGAATGCCGACCTGAAGCTCTTTACAAAAATCCTGGCAACCCGGCTCAGCGGAGTCCTCCCGGACCTGGTGGCACCGGATCAGGTGGGTTTCATCCCCGAAAGAGAGGCGAGAGACAATACCACCAGGGCCCTGAACATCAGCCACGCGTCCGGACGGCTCAAACAACAAATTCTTCTCCTCTCTACGGATGCGGAGAAGGCCTTCGACCGCCTGGATTGGCAGTATATGAAGGCAACTCTAATAGCAATGGGATTCGGGCCGTGCGTAATGGCATGGGTGTCGTCGCTATATATGATCCCGAACGCCAGGATTCGGATAAATGGAGCCCTCTCACCGGCGTTCCAAATCCGGAATGGGACGAAGCAGGGGTGCCCGCTCTCCCCCCTTCTGTTTGCCCTCTTCCTGGGGGCGGTCAGACGGGACGGGGATATATCTGGGTTTACCCTGAAAAGAACCACCCATAAGATTGCTGCTTATGCCGATGACATGCTATTCTTCATCAGCATCCCCCTGGTATCCTTGCCAAACCTATTAAAGGCTTTCAAGGACTACGGCCGTATCTCGAACCTGAAGTTAAATACAGAAAAGTCGGAGGCTCTGCTCATCTCCGCGAGGGAGTGGGAGACCACTCACCTGCGAACACAGTTCACATTTATGTCGTGTGAGACCAAACTGAAATACTTAGGTATCTGGTTAACAGCAGACCTCACCCAGCTATATACCCACAATTTCTCTCCGCTCCTACGGACACTAAAAAGGGATATGCTACGGTGGTCTAGCCTGTGTGTCTCTTGGTTTGGCAGAATGAACGCCATTAAGATGAACCTCCTCCCTCGACTACTCTACCTATTCCAAACAATACCAATTTGCCTGCCCACGTCCTTCTTCCAACAACTGGACGCAGACATTTCGCAGTTTATCTGGCGAAACCAATCATCTCGAATCAGGGAAACACTGCTACATAGGCCGAAGGCACAGGGAGGGTGGGACTCCCCTCGGTCTGGAATTACCACAGGGCCACACATCTACAGCGCATAGTGGAATGGCATGTGTCCAGGACAACCAAGACCTGGATACACATGGAAAGAGCCCAGATGGAAGGGGCGCTCCCGACTTTAATATGGAGATACAAACCTATCAGAGACACATTAGCACAGCACCATCCGTTCATAGGTGCGACCCTGAAAATCTGGTGCGCAATAAGGACGAAACTTATAACTTATAAGGACGAAACCCCAGTGGCGCACAACCCGCAGGTGGCGGGAGGCCTAGCACAAGCGGACCTCCTCGCGTTCGGCGGCACTGACTGGTCCTATATGCAACAGTGGTGCTCAAGGGACGATCTCAAACAACTACCAGACCTGATGAGGGACAGGACCCCGACACCCTTAGATAGGTTACGCTACTTCCAAGTCAAGTCATACTATAAAGCACAAAACGGGAAACATCTCTTCCACAGACCTCTGACAGAGTTTGATTGACTGTGCACAAATAGGACACGTCCCCCTAGGGGTATCTCACTCTTATATGCCCTGCTAACAGCGGCAACCCCACTGGAGCCGGCAAAACACGCTGCACACTAGGAGAAAGCCACGAGAATCACGCTCACTGACCCAGACTGGGTGAAAATATACATACTGACACATCAAAGTTCCATGTGCTCTAAAATGCAGGAGTTGAACTACAAACTGCTCACCGGATGGTACCGGACCCCAGACAGGCTACACCGCATGCTACCTGACGTCCCGGATACGTGCTGGAGATGCGGGGGGCGGCCGAGTACACATCTGGTGGTCCTGTAATAAGATCTCCCCATTCTGGCAGGAAGTTCACAAGACGATACTGTAGCGGAGCGGCAATATTAAATCCCATGATCTCCGCTGGTTAAGAAGGTAATCCACAGTCAAGCGCTGAAAAGCAAGGCAATATCCCAAATCCCCCAGTAACCGGACGAAACACAGTTCTGGGAGTCAACTGAGGTCTTTATTCACAGCTCCAGTATTTATGCAAGTCCCCATGCAAGGGGTTTCCCTACTGACATAGCAGGGATAATACAGTAGGGGACTACATGGGGGATTTAACATTCTGGGCATTTCTCCCATCAGGCACTGCTGCACGAGAGGGATACTCCCACTGGAATATACTGTTAAGTGGATTATCCCTCCGTGCAGCAGAACCGACAATTCACTTTTAAATACATAACTTTTCGAATACTTGGCAGATTTAAACGAATGGACGTTCGGTAGATAGCTGGGGTCTGAGTGCACAGTTCGCGAGAATACCGCTCAGATCGCAGCTAAAACAACCGAACGCCGTATGAAATACACTTTGTCATAGAGTTCGCCCCAAAATACCAAACACCGATGGGGAACCCTAATGGCGAAAGACCGGAGCTCCTGAACGGCCTGGAAGTCCAGCTGTGTTCGCGCCGTCGAGTAGCCGTTTTCAGTTCCACGCACTCGACGACCAAACACCTCTGGGGAGACAAAGGATCCAAGATGGCCGACCGCCGCGTGGTCGGTAGCCGAACTGCGGCCACCTAGGGGAGCCTCTAATTACCGATTGCAACATGGTTGCAATCGGTTAACGAGCGCCACACGTCCCTATGTGTGTGGGCTATTAGGGGTAGCTCATTCGGTTCACGAACAGCCTGCAATGGTGCTGTTCGTGAAACGAAACACGTGAATGCTAGCGGCTTACGGCAGCTAGCATACGAATTCAATACAGCATATATTAACACACAGGACACAGCCAGGCAATATAAAAGTTACAGGAATAATACAGTCAACCTTTTTATATACATAGTCCAGATTATTACAAGTGGCTAGGTTTGCCACGGATACAAGAGGTTACGGACAGCAACCTTCCTTTCCAGCCACTCCGGATGCTGCTCCACCATACCCCGATGCCCATCTCACGATATAAATCCACCTTAACCAAGCACCACCTCACCGCCGCCAAACTCATGATCCCGGTTCGATGGCGATCTCTCCAGGTGCCTACCATCCAGCTGTGGATGGACAAAGTGGAAGAGATACGCGAGATGGAGAGGCTTACGGCGACACTCAGGGACAAATTGGACAAATACCAGCAATGTTGGACCCCATGGATACTCTATCTGTCCAGAAGATAGGAAGGACATCGGGGAGAGTAGCTGGGCGTCCGGATGGGTCGGGGTGGCTGGGGATCATCTGGGCCTGGGAGGGGCTGGGGGCGTCCCGGGGCCTTGGGAGGGTCGGGGGGAACGCTGCTCCTCCTCCCCATCTACCTTCCCTTCCCTCACCCTAAGCACTCAGCTGGCGCCACAGGGGCGGGATGTGGGAGATGCATAACCATGAATACCCACATTGAAGGGCGGGGTGGAGGGGGGGGATCTGTAACCCCGACATGTTGAAGGAAAAAGAGGGTGGACCGAGAGACCAGATAGGCTAGCCCCCAAGAAAATAAAAAAGAAAAACACAAAAAGGAATGCCCAATTGTAACGCACCGAAGATGAGGAGCATACAGGTGACAAGCAACACTAGAGGAGGCAAGTGTCCGTAGAGTACCCAAGCACACCTGGCCCTACGCCACGCAGGTTCTGACTGACGGAGAGGGTGGCCTTCATGGGATCGTATCTGCATCACCGAAGCGATGAGGGCGGAGACATGCCCGGTCTGCCAGATACCCATCTAATGGGCACAGCTGCCTCGAGCAGGCCGGTATAGCCCGAGATGCCTGACGGGACGAAACTGGACGCCCCTACATTTCCTCACACACTGCCCCAAGTCAAAAAAGAATTTTTTAGGGCCACGGGCAGGCGGGCATAGACACGGCTAATCACATGCTGGCTTATAGAGCACAAAGAGTGGCAGAGCATGGGCACACTCTGCTAGCACTAGCCTCTCGAGACAGCAACATAGCAGATGACACTAACTCTGAGAGTAGGAGACAATTAGAAAGTGTAAGCTACATGAGACTACATTAATGCCAAGGAAAGTGCTTCTAACTTAGCCACTCACATAACAAAACACTGCAGCACTAAATACAACAAAGAGACGTTTAGAGGCAAAAAAAAACTCATCATGTCATTGTTTTGCTGAAGTTGTTTTCAATGAGACGTTACACATACCCAATGTTTCACAGGCATGATATACTTGTTATACATTATATGTTGCCGTATCACTGTTCGGCATAAATACAAAAATAAAGATTGTCAAAAAAAGATTGCAGGCTGATTGTGGCTCCTCTTGCTGTTACCAGATTGTTACTCTTATCGTTATCTGTCCTCTTGTAGGATGTTTGTGATGATAGGAGATGTAACTGAAAAGGCACGGTAGGCTGTGCATACTCCCAGACCTGCCTTAGATTGTTAGGTATTTAAGCTAACAATTGTTTTCTGATTATTTATTTAGGTTGAAGACCCAACTTGTTTTTGGTGTCAAATAACCACGATCAATGGTCTAAGGACATACGAAAACAAGGAGTATGAGGATATGTACGCAGATCTGAATTTGCTGTACACAAAATCATACAGAGATATTGAGCAACTAAGGCCCATCTCATTGTCTGTTGGAGAGGTAATTCACAAACTGTTTCTAAAACTTCAATCTACCTATATTCCAGATTATCACACATTAAAAGACCATGTCTACATATACAGCCTGTATAAAGAAGATTTATACACTCAAAATACCAAAAGAACTTTAGTTGAATGAAGGGGTTTTGTATACGGTATATAACACGCCTCTGCAGTCTCACTGCTCAATTATCTTCTATTTAGGAGTTAAATCTCTTAGTTTATGCAGCCCTAGCCACACCTCCCTGCATGTAACTACACAGCTTCCCTACACATTTCCTGCATTTTTTTTTTTTTTTAGCTTCCTTTGTTGCACAATGTGTTAATTTTATAATGTATCTCCTGCTAGAGTTGCAGCAGTCTCCTGTGTGTGATTTAAGTTGAATTTTATGGCAAGACAGGAGGCTTCATATTTGCTTAAAAGGACACTATAGTCACCTGAACAACTTTAGCTTAATGAAGCAGTTTTGGTGTATAGAACATGCCCCTGCAGCCTCACTGCCCAATCCTCTGCCATTTAGGAGTTAAATCCCTTTGTTTATGAACCCTAGTCACACCTCCCTGCATGTGACTTGCACAGCCTTCCATAAACACTTCCTGTAAAGAGAGCCCTATTTAGGCTTTCTTTATTGCAAGTTCTGTTTAATTAAGATTTTCTTATCCCCTGCTATGTTAATAGCTTGCTAGACCCTGCAAGAGCCTCCTGTATGTGATTAAAGTTCAATTTAGAGATTGAGATACAATTATTTAAGGTAAATTACATCTGTTTGAAAGTGAAACCAGTTTTTTTTTCATGCAGGCTCTGTCAATCATAGCCAGGGGAGGTGTGGCTAGGGCTGCATAAACAGAAACAAAGTGATTTAACTCCTAAATGACAGTGAATTGAGCAGTGAAATTGCAGGGGAATGATCTATACACTAAAACTGTTTTATTTAGCTAAAGTCATTTAGGTGACTGTAGTGTTCCTTTAATCTTTCTTTACTGAAACCTCCAGCAGCAAAGAAACCGTTAACAACAGATAGATAAAAATCAACCAATCGCAGGGCATGACAGTAATATGTATTGTAATCAGGCCCCTCTTTCTTTGCTGCTTGCCTCCCAGGTGAGTCTATTTCAATTACAGTCTCTTACATTTAAGACTTTATTATAAATATTCTTATATATTATGTCTTTCATTATATTTTTCTTGAAATTAGGTTGAAGACCCAACTTGGTTATTATAATGGATTTATTACTTCACAGGCTACTGCTACTGTATTCTTTCATATTTCACATCTTTTGACAGTTTTCTCCTTGTTTCTATTTCTACAAGTGTTCCTCTCAGACACTGCCTTATAATTTTCTCCTCTGTGGAGCGCCACTGCAGTGCGGTGCCTGTCTGCGCCGTTTTGCTACTTTAACTTGTTATCTAACATGTCCCTTTCTACTCGCGGCAGCCATCTTACGTTTTTGTGGCACTTTCCTGCCTTTTTTACCAATCGGGACAGTGCAGCACTAACAGACTTTTTTACAGCTCTGCTCTGCTTTTTGCCGGATTCTATCAGGTAAGTTCACCTAATTAAAGGGACATTCTGCTTAAGGTCCTTTCATCGAGTTTCAGACATTCGAACTTTCGATTTCCATGCAGTCACCTTTGCCCTGGACGGGGGAAAACTTTACCATTACGAGACGTACTAAAGTTAGTTTGTCATCAGTTTTTTATCATTATTTTCCAGATAGACCTTTCCTCTGCGTGGCTCGATGTGTTCATCAATACATCCCTCTTACGACCCCACTCAGCGCACCCTCAGGTCCTCTTTTCATGTCATATGTCGGAGCTCACAAACCTGTCTCAGGCCCGACAATTGCCCGTTGGGATTAAGTGGCTACTCACTCTGACAGGGATTGAGCCCTCTTTTGGTGCCCACTCAGTCAGAGGTGCGGCTGCATCTTCTGGACCTTCTATTTTAGGCTGATGTCCCATGCTTCTTTATCATTGACTTCTCAGATTTAAAACCACAAATATGAAGCCTCCTGTCTTGCCGTAAAATTAGGGATTATTCTAGCATACTGACCAAATAATCTAAATTTTATTTACGACAGGAGGCGAATATATTCCCTCCCTTCTTCTCCAACCCTAATCTATTTTCTACTGAACTACTTTTTTTATTACATTTTTTTTTTTGCAGTGCATATGAGGGTAACATAGAAGCGTGCGGTACCCCAAAGATAGTCCGCATGCATATTTCAGCACAATAAGAACAGTGGGGTAAGTCATAACAGTGCACTCATTTTATGTTTAAGTACAGGAGTGTCGAGTATAACACATGCGAGTTAGGTATATATATCATGAGTTTCTCAGGCTAAACATTAGGGTGTTTGGAGCTTGCACATATTTTTATAGTAGTACATGTCGAGAGATAACAAAAGCAGCATTGAAGATATTTATAGGTTGTAAGTAGGTATGACCCTTGCATGGGCTTATCTGGATATAACATGTCTTATACAGGTGTCTAGTGCTATCTTTTCCAGCAGTATCATACAGGTAGACTGTTGCTTAGAAGATTAAAATATAAACATGTAAACATCAAGGATATTCCAATGTGTAACTCTTCCTTGTCTGTACAATATAATGCTTACTTTTTAAACAGTTAGTACGGTAACAGACTTACTTACAAGCTCCTCTGGTTTGACTCAAGTGTATGTGAGCGTGTGCCTTCGTTTGTGAACTAGGCATGGTGACAGGCATATGTAAGTGTTGTTGCACTATCTAATCTCAGGAAGATTTTCGCTGGAAGCAAAATAGACTTGTTATACCAAGAAACATGGTACCTGCGATGCAGGGTATAAGGCATGCATAATATTAAGCTCCTTGTCCACAAGTGTGTCCAACTGCTCGGTAAGGCCTGCAGTCTCGCTGTTATGGCATGCAGGGGCTAGCGTTATGACAGTGTCCCATTTAATCGAGTACACAGGGCCCCATCAGGTCCTCCTTCACCCGATGCCCACTTTGTATAGGCGATGTGTGTCCCGAGCTGGGTTTCTATGCCCCGCTGCAGTACGGGTGTCCCACCAGCCCCAGGCTGGTTTACAGGCCTGCATCTTCTTGCCACAAACTCGGCTGCCGCTGGTTTCCGGGTTTACTCCACGTGTGGGAGGGACAAAGGAGCTGGTCTTTTTCCGTCCCTTGCGCTGCTTATTCCTCCAACAGTGTGGACGATGCTTTTGGGCTCTCTGCCCTTTGGTCTGCAGCCCGGGTGGGCTAGGTTGCGTGTGGATGAGTAGGTGAGGCGACTTTGTGACCAAGGGCATTGCCTCCACTCCCCGACATTCGCGGTTTTGCTCACCCTTCATCGGTGGTGCAGGTGTCATTGGTCAGGCTGCTTGTTGCCACTTCATGAGGGTGTCCCAAAAGTGGGTCAGTATCGCCTCTAGGTTCCGTAGGGGTGCATTCCGTGGCGTTGGTGACGGTTTTGTGTTCACCATGTGGGTCGCGTTGCCGGCCGCCATTTTAGTTGCTCTCTGTAACGGATCATCTGGCACCCCGACTGGGTACCTCCGTTGAAGGATGCTCCTAGCGCTTCCTGAGGACTCCAAGCACTGCAGCAGACACCACAACCACCGAACAGGAGAAGCAAACGAATGCTAAAAACAGCTGAATAGGAAAAGCGTACAATCAGCTTACACTCCTGGCAATCAGCATACAATCCAATTCTCCCAATAACGAGACGACACTTCGTTTTGAGGCCAAGCAGAACTGACTGTACTGGCACATACAGCCTCTTTTATTCACAATCCACAAACATAGTACTGCCCACAGGGTTTTGAAATACAACCAATCAATCCGTACAATACACACAGACACTCCCACACAAAATCCTCCCCTCTGCCTGTGATATGATTACTGAACACAATGGTTAATCTAATTATCACAGGCAGAGAAATACAGTATTATAAAACATCACAGGGACCCCAAAACATGCAATAGCCCCATAAAAATCCTCGGAACCGGGGGATGTGGATGAACCACATATCCAAAATTCACCCAGATCTGTTCAGTAGTTTGGAAGATGCTGTTTAATGCAGATTCCAGAGAACATATACAGGCTATATGAAAAATAATTACTGTATAATGTGTCCCCTGTTGTATAGTTTAAAACTACTGAACGATGTCTTCGTGCACCAAATACTGGCGAGATGGCACCATGTAGAATGTCCAAACAGTGTCTGTGAGTTAAAATGGCCGCCATCCATTGTTCTCACCATGTGCTTCATCCATTGTTCTCGCCATGTGCCTCTGATACATGAAATGGTGGCCACCCAGTAACTCCACAGTATGTCCCTAGATGGTTCTTAAAGGGCCAGCAGCAGCATAATAAAATACAATATGCCCAAATAATGTCTTTAAGGGTCAATACATCCCAGGGGCCATAGTCTCATGGCAGGAGGCTGGCAATCAGTCTTCTCCAATGCCCAGTGGCGAGGTCGCTTTCGCCACACTCTCTGCGTGGGCCTGCAGTTTAGCATGCCCGGGTCAGGCTTGTGTTGTCTTCTCGGCTGGGTGCTATTGGAGTCGAGTGAGGACCGGGATGACCCCCACCGGTTCAGGGGGCAGGGGGGGGGAATGGAGGCGAGTGCATAAAGGGGTTGGTATCTGGCTTTACCATCCAGGAGAGCAGCCATCTCTCCCTGGCTTGGTCGCAGGTAGGCCCCATATGCTTTGTTCGGGTTCCCGGGCAGTGTAAGATTCGCTTGTAGGTGCATTCGATGCCCCTTGGTTACCTTGACTCGTGTGCACTTAGGCTCCAGATTGTGTCTGTTTTCGGGGTATATACCCCCGATTTCGTTGTTTAGTGTAGGAGCTGATTCACAGTACGTCTGGCCGGCTCGATGGTTAGGCTCCGCCCCCTTTTGAACTACTTTTAACACGTCTCATATTTTATGGATTCTGTTTTATCCTTTATGCATTATAACCATTTATGACACAAGTCTTTATATTGTTACATAGCTGACAGCCTTATCTGTTTTAATCTATTCGATTTACTTAATATATTAGTATTCTAGCTCTACCTGTTTAAATCTATCTGATTTCTTTAGTATATTCGTACATTAGCTAATAATACTAACCTAGATGTTGGCTCTGGCAGGATTTCTATAACCTAACAGAGTTAGGACATTGAAGTGGTCTTTTATGGTACCAATAAACCATACTTTCACGATGTCTCTTTTCTCTTTCCAGTGTGAGAATGCATCCACTTTCCTACATGGATCCTTCTTCGGTTCCTAGTTTACCTGGTTGACTATGCGACTAAACGTATCCATTGGTTTTCCTGTTATAGTTTACCTGGTTGAGTCTACTGCGAATCACAAGCATCAAGGAATAAGAGCCTGATTACAATACATACTAGTGTCATGCCATCTGACTGGCTGATTTTTATCTATCTTTTGTTAACGGTTTCTTTGCTTCTGGAGGTTTCAGTAAAGAAAGATTAAGCAAATATTCACCTCCTGTCTTTAATAAACTTTAAATTATTTGTTCACTATGCTAGAATAATCCATAATTAACAGAGCAGGACATAAGAACTCCTAAAGTAAATGCATTGTGCTGTAAGATCTGATTGAAATTGAAACCATGGGAGCAGTGGCTAGGGCTGCATCATAGAATAAAAGTGATTTAACTTAGTGGCAGAGCGTTGAGCAGTGAGACTGTAAGGGCATGATCTATACACCAATACTGCTTTATTATGATAAAGTTGTATCGGTGTTTAGAGTGTCCCTTTAAACAAATAGTGGCTGTTCATTTTATAAATCTAATGTATACAAATAGGATGCCCGTGTTCATGCAACACGTTTCATTTGGTGGATCTGGAATAGTACATAAAACAACATTTTGTGAAAATGCTTACTTTATGTACAAGAGGAGGGACAGGAGAGTCATGAGGATCACACACAAATTTGCAATTTGTAAGAAAGATGCCTTTCAAATAAGATAAAACATTTGTTGAAACAAAATGAGTTATTTTTCTTTATCAGTAAACTTGGCGCAACACAGTATATCTCAGATATTCGTAATATAATCAGCATAACCAACACCAGAGGGTGTTTACAAAATCGCTATCTATTTAAACTGTAATTATTTGGTTACTAAAAGCAAATTGCTAGAGCCATCATGTTTTTGCAGTAACTGTTGGGAAACGCAAGTTGGTTTGTAAGCCAGAGGCGTAAATTACACAGTGCAGAATCCCAAGATATATCTTTATAGTGTTGGCACGGTCCACGTCCTACATTTATGGGCCTTTTTGCAATTAACCCATGCATTATCAATGGGCCAACACAGTCTTCCTTGCCTTTTGAATTTTAATAAATCTGTCCTGTTGGCTAGCATTGATAATGCTGCTCTTTAAAGGCAAACAGTTATTTCTCTGGAATTTACGTAAATTAATACATTATTAAAATTCACCTATCAATTGTTTTAACCTTTTTCAAATGATGCTCTTTTCTTTTTAATGCACATTAAAGATTTTTTGCTTGACATCCTAGTCCTATTCAGTCCTGGTATGGGCAAGGCACACATTGCATTGGAGGAAGAGTAACAGAAACGCTTGCAATATTCAATGCCATAAAAAGAGCAGCACTTAGGGCAATCATTGACCGGAAGCCAAGATGGACGCACAAAGATAAATACAGTGGTGTTCCTTTAGGGATGTTTTATTGGCTTTACTTTGCAATTTTCCATGAAGTAATTTGATGTCTGATTTCCCCTCTCTTCCCCCCCCCCCATGTAGCTTTGTATGGTGTTTTGTGAAGAGCTGCAGTGTTGGTGCCGTGCCACACTGGAGGCAGTTGCATGCAATGCAGAGAATGGACTGGTGGAGTGCTTCCTTCTGGACCATGCTAAGCTTTGCCCTGTGCAAAAAAGAGAGTAAGCTTATCTTCTAATCCATGTGCTTTTTAAATTATTAAAGGGGCTCTGTCATAGTGTTTATTCCCCAAAGGCCCAGACAGCTGTTTTATTTGTTCCTGCTCATTTCCCTTACCTATTTTTTATTTTTTTTATTATTTGTTTATAATTTTTCCAGTTGGCACTATCTTCTCTTCTGCAGCAGTGATGTGTGCTGCCTGACTTCGTTTTACTGTTTGTGGGCATGTGCTCATGATCTTACACATGCCAAAACAAGGGGTCCCACAGGCACCCGTCCTCACTTGACACATTGCTAGTGTGGAGTTTACATGATTTTTTTTGTAGCTGATCACCTCTTTATATTTTCTGCTTTTTATTTATTGATTTGATTTATGCAAATGAATGTTTCAAAAGAAAGCCTTATCTATCCTAAAAAGGTACTGAATAAGATATAATCTCATATAGCAAATCCTACTCTGGTCTGCATCAAATAGGAAGCTACCTTGGCACTCATGCAGCGAAGTAAGAGGAAAATCACTGCACATTCCTTGAGCTGGAGCCATATTTGTGGGCATGTGTTCATGATCTTACACATGCCAAAACAAGGGGTCCCTCAGGCACCCGTCCTCACTTCACACGTTGCTAGTGTGGAGTTTACATGATTTTTTTGTAGCTGATCACCTCTTTATATTTTCTGCTTTTTATTTATTGATTTATGCAAATGAATGTTTCAAAAGAAAGCCTTATCTATCCTAAAAAGGTACTGAATAAGATATAATCTAATATAGCATGGTCTGGTCTGCATCAAATAGGAAGCTACCTTGGCACTCATGCAGCGAAGTAAGAGGAAAATCACTGCACATTCCTTGAGCTGGAGCCATATTGTATAGAGTGAGTATTTAAATATTAAATTAAGCAGGTCAGAGTGACATTTTAATTCCTGTTGATTGCAGCGTTCGCCTGGCAGTAGAGGATTGTAAAATGCTCCCATTCCGAGCTAAAAAGTTCAAATTACACCATGTTCGACCAGTGTCCCTCTGCATTAACTTCTCTGAAGACACGACAGGATTTAGGTAAGATACCTTATCCTATCTCCATTCCATAACCCACATTACGGACTGTTCAGAGGGTTTTATTCAATGTTTGGCACGTACTGGGGACATTCAGCCCTAGAAAGAAGCAGTAACTTTCAACATAGCTTTCCAAAAAGGCAGATTACACAAATTAAAGTTGTCAGATTTGCACAAACAAACAAAACCTGCACTCTGACCAGAGGATTGGGAGTGAAATTAAAAAGTCATGACTAAGTCGTGTAGATGACCGATTCACCTTCAGGTAGCCCTAGACTCAGTCTATAAACATTGTGCTAGCAAAATTGCAAGCAGCTATATAAATTGAGATTGTCCTCCCAGTATATTTTTCAGAAATAGACAGGGTGGCTATATTAAAGGACCACTATAGTGCCAGGAAAACATACTAATTTTCCTGGCGCTATAGTGCACCCTCAGGGTCCCACTCCCGTGGCGAGGTAGGGGTTAATCCCTTACCTTTTTTCCAGCGCCGGGCTCCCTCGGCGCTGGGACTCTCCTCCCTCTTCTTCCGTCACCGGCTGAATGCACATGCGCGGCAAGAGCCGCGCGCGCATTCAGCCAGTCCATAGGAAAGCATTCACAATACTCCTATGGACGCTGGCATCTTCTCACTGTGAAAATCACAGTGAGAAGCACCTCTAGCGGCTGTCAATGAGACAGCCACTAGAGGCTGGATTAACCCTATTGTAAACATAGCAGTTTCTCTGAAACTGCTATGTTTACAGCAAAAAGGGTTAAACCTAGATGGACCTGGCACCCAGACCACTTCATTGAGCTGAAGTGGTCTGGGTGCATATTGTGATCCTTTATCATTTGACCCCTATCATTGGCTCTGGAGAGGTTGCATAACCAGATACTTCTGGCTTTTTGTTTGTAGTCTTTACCACTATAATAGTGAGAAGCGGCAAACACTTGTGATAAAAAGTAGAATGCTGCAATTTTCATCTACATATGTGCTAGCAATTTGTTTAGCATGATGTACAAAGGTCATTTTAATGCTTTGCAAAATTACATCATGTCACGTTGGTCATAAATAACAGCGAACCCCAAAAAGAACTCCAATCAAATTTCAAAATGTAGGCTAGAGGACTATTTTGGGCTTAAATTTGAAATTCGTGTTGACTTGCCAGGTATTCCACCCCTTTAGTGAAGAACCCTGTAATAGTACAAAACAATCCATCCACTTTATTATAGTTGAAGATTTCTTCCACAATAATCTCAAGTTATAGATCTCGGCTACTGCTTATATTATTTCAGTTTCATTTTAAATTTATTGCTGCAGTTTTCCAAAATTCTCTTCTCACAGTCTTAGATACACTGACTAGATCTGCGCTTGAAATCATGTGAAAATGATTTGCAGCATTATTATTAACTGTGCTAAATCCTGTGTTTCTGTAGACCGTCTAAAAAATGGGACACGGCAGCCATTCAGTATTTCAGGACGTTACTAAGTGGTAAGAATAAGTTGTATTTCTGTTAATCATGAATCGGTTCCTTTATCTTCGTAACTAAACAAAGCTGTGTCAAGAATACTGTGGGAGTAATGTGTTACAGCCGAATACAGCAAAATGTAACCACTTCCAAAACAAAAAAATAAACATATATTTATCTGCGATCTGTGAAAACCCGGAATTGATCCTGAAAAAGCATCTCTGTCACTACCACTTAAAGCATAGTGCATGTGGGAATAGTGACGGGACCTGTATACATTGGAGTCAAAGTGGAAAAAATACATTATTAATAGCTGGAATGCTTTAGTGAGTTGGTGTTTTTCCTTTAATGGGTTATTTCAGTGTCTGCCATGTAAAAATGCAGGCTTTATCGTGTTAGTGAACCCATGGTAGTGTACTTGGTTTTGGTAGTAGGAAAGAGATAGTTGATGAAAGTGTATTTTATCAAGTTAAGTTTAGATATGTTTAAAGTGACACTATAGTCACAAGAAAAACTATAGCTTAATGCCGTATAGTCGGTCCCTGCAGGCATTTTAATGTAAACACAGCCTTTTCACAGAAAAGGCCGTGTTTACGCTACTGCCTAGGGACATCTCAAGTGGCAGTCCCTCACAATGTGCAGCACCTTCGTTCAGCATCTCCATACTCTGCGTGGAGACAGTGAACTTTCTCCATAGAGATGCATTAAGTCAGTTTGGTGATCTCAGCCAAGGACTCATGCGTTGCTGGAAAAGTGTCAGGAATACACTTTTTTGTATTCCTGATATTACAGTGTTATCCTTCCAGTGACTACAAACTTCTAATTTTTCTTTATATTATTTTATTCTATTTAATAGAGTCAACCTTCACTGAAGCAAAGCTGTGTTCTGTGGAAGACAACATTCTGAGTGTTTATCTATATGTCACTACAAAGGAAGCTACGGTAATAGCTTTTCTGACATCTATCTGGAGGTGTAGATACACTTAGAATGTAATTAATAACTTGACAACTGTCTATTAAGGTATGCGTCAATGATGAGCTTGTGGCAAAGAACTTTGCTTGTTTCTGTACGGAGAAAACCCATAAAGAAAAGGTGGAACCAGCAAAAGTTAAGATTCTGCAAAACATAGAAAGAAATCACTTTCCGGAATATCACAACTCCAAAGCTGTGGCTTGTCCAACACAGGCCCTCTGGCCTACCTTATTTGAAACTAGATTTTCACAAAGCTGCCACTCAGGTATGGGACGCTTCTTGTTATTTCACTTTCATTGATTTTTATTCCTGTTTTATTTTTATTTATTTTTTGTGCTGTCCTAATCTTCTGCAAGAGTTTGCTTTACTTATTACAGAACAAATGCAAATTGTTGATACTGGTAAAACTTTGTAATCTTTTAAATCCTTTACGTTGCACTTGCAGTTAACACCAAGCCTGTTGAACATTTTAGTGCTTGATAAAGTTCTTTGCATATATTTTTATGCGCAGATAAATTTCAACTGGATGCGAGCACAGCTTTCTGCTTTCTTAATAGCAAGCTTGGAGTGCCAAAATACTAAACAGGCAGCCATGCACAGAGCGTTGCTTGAATTCATACTAAACATTGGGGAGAGGAGAGACGCCCACGCCGCCCTGTATGGGCCCTATAGTTGATAAATATATGAGAAAAAGAGCCAATTTTTAGTAAAACATTGCAAGAGAGCAGTGAGCGTTGCACTTGAAGGATTTATTATTATTCATGATTGATGTTATGATTTATATTTTTTTTAAAGTACAAGGTTAAATACATTTCTTTTATTATCTTCATTTTCCCTTTAGGATTCCCAATAAAGGAGAACATAGACTGTGACTTAAGGTATGAAACTCTTCTGTAAGTATGTACTATATTAGATCTGCGTCCAATACACACCATAACCACCGTCTTATTGTAGTGGTTATGGTGCGGAGTCTTCAGGCGCCATTCCTCCATTAGTTTCTAACTGTTTTTTAGCAGTTAGAAAAATTAAAAGCTAGAGCTCTCCTGGCACTTAAAGCCAAACCTCTGCTGCTGCTCAGGGAATGGGGAAATTAACTTCAGATGGCAAATATAGGCTGAGAGCACTGAGGAAAAGACTCTTAGCCTACCACTGCATCCAAACTTGGAGGACTAATGCAGGAATTCATTTCTGCATTAGATGATCTGCAATACTAATAGTGTACTTTAAAGACCGCTAATTTGCAAGACCCCAACGGTGACATTTTCACTGTGGAGAGGAGGAAAGGTGAATTTAACTTACCTTAACCTGACCTTTGTGGGTGCTGCCATTTTCATCTTACCTATCCTCTTCTGCTACTAGCACTTCAGCTCCAGTAATCGGCAGCACGTCCGAGCTCTTGCTCATGCGTAAGCGTATAGCATTGAGGTCTATTGGATCCCGCGATTGACACTTATAGACAGCGGTAGCTGTCTCAGTATATCTTTTGACTGGCTTGCAATTTCAGTGAAGTTACAACATAGTCAATATATGATTTTATCTTTATGAAATACTAATTTTGCAGGAGGAGGGGTACAGTGCCACTTTAAAGACAAAACGCCTAATGCTGTCCATTCGGTATCTGCTCTTATTTTAACTGCCTCTTTCATGTGAAAATTCCCATTTAAAACAACTTTCCTGCCGGATTAAATCTCACTAGACTAGTAGGTTTACCTTTATCACCACCTAAATTCCTGTCTGTCTTGCAGCAGGAAAGTGGCAATTATGGAACTGTATCATCACAAAGTCCAGATGTAATGGGATTATATATGAATAGTCAGACCACCATCAATGACTTCTTTAGATTGTTATGTTTTTTTGTTTTGTTTTGTCCCCAGAATTCCCAGTGAGTATAAAGTTACTCAAGAGCAGGAATGTGTCAGGAATCAAGAATTTATCAAGTAAGTTAAACACTCCTCAAAGATAACCATTATCAGCCTCCTACATATTGCTGATAATTTATGTGTAATTATATGTATATTTTTCCTACAGAATTCCTAGTGACTGTAAAATTACCAAAGAGCAGGAATGTGATAGAAATCATAACTTTGCCCAGTAAGTTACACAACGCTTCTGTAGAAAACAGAAAAAACAGCACCTGCCTTTTGCCTCCATTTCCCAATAGGACACCATTCACAGCAACTAATACGTTGCCCTCACAAAACAATGCACTGGCCCTCTGCCCCCCACTCCCAAATCGACACCATTCACAGCCACTAATATGTTGCCCCCACAAAACAATGCAATGGCCCTCTGCCCCCCACTCCCAAATCGACACCATTCACAGCCACTAATATGTTGCCCTCACAAAACAGTGCACTGGCCCTCTGCCCCCCACTCCCAAATCGACACCATTCACAGCCACTAATATGTTGCCCTCACAAAACAATGCAATGGCCCTCTGCCCCCCACTCCCAAATCGACACCATTCACAGCCACGAATATGTTGCCCTCACAAAACAGTGCACTGGCCCTCTGCACCCCACTCCCAAATCGACACCATTCACAGCCACTAATATGTTGCCCTCACAAAACAATGCACTGGCCCTCTGCCCCCCACTCCCAAATGAAAACCATTCACATCCTGAATTTATACAAGCCTGAGTGGGAGCTGAGTGTGTATGCCTAGATTAATAGGGATTAACTTCCACAAATCCCAGTGGACAATTATAAAGTGCATGTGTGAGTGGCCGCTATTCATTCATGTGCTTTGTACTATTACTACTGTTATTATTATATTAATTTTGTTCCCAGAATTCCTAGTGAATATAAAGGTAATCAAATGTGGGAATGTGATGGGAATCAAGACGTTGCTGAGTAAGTTAAATGAGGGTCCTGCAGAAAGCACCTGATCGTGTCTGATGTAATGTACTCGAAATTAACATGAAATGGGGAGCTGCTGTTTGTGTACAATGTTTACTTTATACAATTTCAGTTTTTTTCTTAGATTTGGCACTGATTGAAGAAATTTTTTTTTTATAAATGTTTTTTATTTATTTTCTTATTAATTGTATTTTTTTTTTTTATTCAGATGTATGCATTTAAGGGAGAATAAAAATCTGGAGCTTTGCATTTCTGAGCACGAGGTCATATTCTCAATTACTGCAAAAGGAATTGTTTTATCTAGGACAGTGTGTGAATTTTACATGATCTAGCACAATAGCTTTTGCAAGCAGTGCCATTGTTTAATGACCAGTAATTGGAATGTGGCAAACTGGCCGTTTTACCTGTGTTTATCTTTATTATCTGTGTTTATCTTCCCTCACCCCCCCCAGGAATTCTAACATGGGCAATGCTACCAAAGAGTGGAACTCTGATCAGAAATATGACTTTGCCACGTAAGTTAAATGAGTATTTAACATGTTGAATAGTTTTTTTAATATAAGGAACAATACAATGCAGCATACCCGAGGCTTGTAGGAAGACAGGAACAGCTCACATGTTTAGTATTATTGCCAACAGCTTTACAATTACTGGAAAGTATGAATGAGAACTGTTTCTTCAAGCAGATGGTCTCATTTTTCTCTTGCAAGAAATGTGAAGCTGGATTGACTTTGCAATTTCAACAACTTCCTGGGTGAAAAGGATTTCACTGGTAGAGAATCGGAGCTTGGCATTTGCTTTAAAATAACTATTACCAGAGATAAATCTTTTTGTTTTATTACTTAATCTGTAGAATACAATACATATCAGTGGACTTGACACTTCTGCGTCAATTTCAACACTGAATGCGATTTCCATGGTCTTAATCCTGCATCACTGCCTGTGTGTACACTGTGGCGCAGGAATCTGACAGCCAATAGGGTGTCCCTTACTGCTATTTACACCTGTCTCTCTTGCTGTGACATGAGTTTTGTGCTCTAGAGGGCATTTATAGATTTTCCTATTCATTTTTGGTATTGACCTTTGACCCGTTTGACTATTCTGCTTTCTGTACTCTTGACTTCGGCCCTGTCTCATGTTTTGTTGCTTTCTGGAACCCTGACACCAACTTGTGAGTTACCTGCTTGCAAGTATTCTTATTACCTTTGCTGTCATGTACTCTGCCCGGCAATTCTAAGGGCCGGTAATACACTGTGTCCTATTTTCTTTTGTTACTGGACTCATATTTGCATATGGGGTTATACCATTTGTTAAAGATCGTGACATTTCATCTGTATATTTTGTTAACCATCATGCTTGCAAATCTGTAGATGAAAAGTTATTGCGCATTATTCATCCTACTTAAAGGAACACTATAGTGTCAGCCAGTAGAGTCATTCTTACGACTGTAATGTACACATTGCAGTTTCTATAATTGCAGGACTAAGAGGGACCGGGACAATGCACCCAGAACACTCCAATGAGATGAACTGGTCTGGGTGCCTATAGTGTTTCTTTAAGCCTACAATTTAGCTAGTAATTTGTGGACAATATTCTCTGCGAGAGGATCGATTTTAATGGTTTTTATTTACGCCAGGGATAGGGAACCTTTGGCCCTCCAGATGTTTTGGACTACATCTCCCATAATGCTCTTACAGCCATAATGCTGACAAAGCATCAAGGGAGATGTTGTCAACATCTGGAGGGTCAAAAGGTTCTCCATCCCTGATTTACGCCATGACAATAGGAGCCCTACAGTTGATTTAAGCATAAGTTCTTGGCATGAAAAATCTCAAAGAACCGTTCTTACAGGATAACCACGCTGCTTACTGGAGATCATATCCATTCACTATCACTCTGTGTCTGTCTGCTTTCCAGGCTTGTACAGATCTTAAATCCCAGAATGTCACATCTGTCAGATGGAGAAGATGAAGAAACTGAACAGGTAATGTTTTTTATTTTCACCATTTACAGGAAAATTCCCACTAATCAAATTCTAGACTTAACACAAAGATGAAAAGGAGAAACGTGCGGGCAATAACTTCCTAATTTAATGATATGGCTATCGGTAATATGCTGTTCACGCAGCACTTTAACACCACGTTTATTTTTATTTGCTTCAATGAAATTGGCAGCAATTGACAGGTCATGGATTAACTGCTTGCAGCCCTACCTGAAAGTCCTTGTATGAATCATTTCTGTTGTTGGGATGTAGATGAAGTCTAATTGTGGGTTTATACAGTATGAGGTAAACATCAGGCTTGCAAAATCTTTAATATATGATAGAGTTGACCAACTAATAGGCCATTGGACAGATGTTTTTGCAAGATGTACTGCAGTACAATGTGTGTTTGAAAACAAAATGCAGAAAGTCACTGCAATTTTGTGCGTGTTTAATGAAATGTTGCAGTCTGGGAACATTGACAGAGATTGTAAATAATGCTGCTGCATAGAAATGATCAAAATGGAAATAGCTGTAGTAATATTGGTCCCAAAATTAGAACTAATAATGAATCTATTTCAAACTGATTTCCCTTAGCTTAACAAACTGTGTAGATATGTGTCCATTTCTTTGTTTTTCATTCAGGAGAAGAAGCCAAATGTTGGAGCACCGCAATATTCCATTTTTGTTCGCAAATCCAGTATACCATGTAGCAGTCTAGAACTGGCACCATTGTCTCCTGACCTCAAAAAGGTGATCTGTGCGAGTAATGTATTTGTAGATTTCTAACTACATCATCAAAAGACTTGACCAACCAAAGAACAGTATTTTCACCCCCAAAGTGAAAACCAAATATGCTAAAACTGGGGGGCAAACATTCAATATTCCTTTTCTGGTTGGCTAATGACACCCCAATGATGCTGGCGGAGATGGAGTTATGCCTCTGACAGCAGAGGGTTAAACTCTGTATCTTCAGTGTCTCATAGTGAAACCAGACAGACTCCAGCGATCACCGAAGATTTCATGGTGCTTGGAGTAACCCTTTAATAATTTGTTAATCGTGCAAGTGGTAACTATGCATTCTCAAACTGTCTTGGGTGAAGTTGTGGTTTCTTTCAGCTCTCTGTACTGTGTGGTGTAGAGTAGTTGGGTTGTGTTCATTAATGGCACAAAAACGGACATATTTGTTATTAAAACTGTTAAAATATTACAACAAAAGATTCTTAGTTGAGACATGTGAGCACACTATGGTAATGCTTTCTCTTGCTGTAACAGCATTTTTTAAAGTTAAACAAGTCTAAATTCACAGTGAATTTCAAATGTATGATCAAAATAGCCAAAGTGGAAACATTCTCTAAGTCAGCGATGCTTTCGGTTTGACTGCTCTGGCCTTAAATTTGGAATTCACTTAGAATTGGCCCTTTACTAAATTGCCCTGTGTGTTTCAATTGGGAACGGCGTTGAACTTCATTTTTGCCTTTTGACATGAAAATATCTTTTTCTATAGTACTTACCAACTTTGGCATTAATTTAAATCTTATAACCATAGAAACATAACATTAAATTAGAAAACGTCACTTTTATTGCAGAACATAAAATTATCAATCAAGAAAAAAGAAAAAGCACCCACAGCTAAATACAATATGTACCCAAAACGCGTAGTGTGTGTTTGTGTATATATGATAGATATATGATATTATAGCATTAGCACAATGGAATTGAACATTGTGTAACAAAATATCAGAATACGTTGGCCGCTATTTTTAAAGTTGCAACTCTGTGAGATTCCAACAGTGTATCTTCACTCAAAACCTCTTTCCAGCTTTTTTTACTTCACTTGTAAATAAACTATTTGGATAGGGTAAAGCACTTTATTTTGCCGAGACTTGTTATTTGCTCCAAAGTTCTTTAGTGACCAATCTATAACTTTAATATAGAAACATAAATGTATGTGATTGATTCAGGAGTCTTATTGTGTGAGTAATCGGTTTATTGTAATAATGTGGGTCCATTCAGGAAATATTCAAACTCTGAATGTTCGTGACTAAATGGTGCAAACTGGACCTGTGGGAATATAAATTTCAGCTGGTTTGTGCAAGTAAAATTCCTGTTAACAGAAGAACTTATCGTTTAACCTGTGGAGCCTACAAGTAAAGTTGATTCAGAACCGATTAGTTTTGGTTATGATCAACAGGAGTTTTATTAAGCGGAACCAGCTCTCACTGAGTTTTGCACAAGTCTAGTGTAAACGCCTTCAGATAATGTGCATTGGGATTAATCTGGAACTAACTTGTTTTATGCTGAGATTTTAGGCTGCTTGATGAGATAGATGCAGTGAGACGTAAACATTCAATAAACCTGCTTACTAACTCTAAACACTTATTACAGGAGCTAATTAGAAATTCCTACCATGGGCCAAGTGTCCCTGAATCCTACTGTTGGCCGGCAATATCACAGGGAGTTGACACCATTGTCATATCACCTGATGGAAAGAATCCGATGATGTTTCTCCCTCCTCTCCTAACATTCCTACACTTTTCTTCAAGGCTTTACAAATTACTGCCTACCAGGAATGGGGTGAGATGCTATTTTTAACTGTATAGTTGTGTTTAAAAGACTCATAAGTCTTTATACTGTATTGGAAAAGAAGCAAACATTTAAATTACTCACCTGTATTTCCTAAGCAGGAAACATAAAGATCTCTCTGTTTTATCACTCCCCATTGTTTATATTGAGGCTGCTGTTAAAGGATCACTAAAGGGTCAGGAACACAAACAAGTATTCCTGACCCTATAGTGTTAAAACCACCATCTAGCCCCCCTGGTTCCCTGATGCCTCCATAAATATAGTAAAAAATCTTACTGTATTCAAGCCTGAAGCTGTAAATCTGCATGCTGTTAGACTCAGAAAAACAAGCAGTCAGCTGACATGTGGTAGCCTGATCCAATCACAGCGCTTCCCCATAGGATTGGCTGAGACTGACAAAGAGGCAGATCAGGGGCAGAGCCAGCATGATTCAAACACATCCCTGGCCAATCAGCATCTCCTCATAGAGACGAATTGAATCAATTAATCTCTATGAGTAAAGTTCAGTGTCTGCATGCAGAGGGGGGAGATACTGAATCACAGCATGCTGTGCACAGTGCTGCCCTGCGCTCTGCTGACATCTGAGATATTATGCCTCCATCAACTCCGAAGTCCCTCTGGTTCACTCTGAGTGACTGCAACTGGAGGTGTTCCTAGCTTTCAATGTAAACACTGTATTTTCTTGGAAAATACAGTGTTTACATGAGAGAGGCTATAGTTCTCACCTAAACAACTTCATTAAGCTGAAGTTGTTCAGGTGACTATAGTGTCCCTTTAAATACTTATGTTGTTATATACACCCTTACCCTCAATTACAAGCAACAAAATGCAGACAAAGATTGATGGGGACATTTAAACAAATCAGATTTGTGATGTTCTTTCTGCTCATGGTATTGTTTTTTTTGTTAGAAAATTGTATTCAAATCCTTGTAGGTGTTACATTTTTATAGTTGTGTTAGTATTGATAATTATATCGGGGCTGTGATTTCTGGAACATAAGCATTTTATGTGAGTACAGCATTCCTGCTAACAGTGGGAGATTTGCAATTGGAATGGGCTTGGCGGGACCTTGACATTACCTGTGTTACTGGCAATACCAATACTCAGTGACAGGCAGTCTGACCAGCCCCCATCCTTCAGAAACACGCAGGGAGATGCACTCGCACTGTGCGGCTCAGAGATAGTTTCCTCATGTCCCCAGATGCAGGATACTGAAAGCAGGACTGTAAGGAGACCTAGTATAGCTCTCTTTCACTGATCAGAGCATGCTAGTGGAGTAGGAAAGTATTGAAACGGTGGGACTGTAATAACATCAATAGTTAGCTGCCCATCATCAGCCGTGAACATGTCAATAAATATTGGGTATGTTATTGTAATTTTCCAACTTATCTCTTTGGAAAGCGCCGCATGCAGTGAAACCTTTGCAATAAAAGGGTCCAATTCTCACAAAGAAAGACATTGGTGGAAATCATTAGTTTTGTTGCCATGTAGTGAGTGTATAGTCTGTTTGTGGGGCCATGCTATGGACATAGTCCATGTAAGTACATGAAGGAAGAGATTTCCTCCACTTACATTCACAGAAGTATATAATGTGTTCCTCTTTCAGCCTCTTGCAGTGCTTCTTTGCTCCAGCTGGAAGAGAGCACAGGCTGTTTATGATCTACTTGTAAAGTACAGTAAATTTATCCGTCCTGTGAACCCCATGCTGCTATTGGTCGGCCAGAAGAAGGAGGAAATCGAAAACCTTACCATACGAAAGGGATGTAAGTAACATAGGAATAAGTAAGGAACTTTGGGTCATCATGCTGAGCTTGTTCATACTTATAAAGCTGCAATAATTTGCATACTCTGCTGGAGCATGGTGTTCTTATCTTTTTTACTTTTTTCATTTTGTTTTGTAATGGTTTTGTGATTGTTCTTGTGTTTGTTTGAAGCATATGATGAATCAGAATCTGAGGGTGATTTTCTTGTATTGACAGTTCTCATATTACCATACTAGCAACAGAAAATCCTCAATTTATTGCTCTCCTATTCTGCCCTGGCTTGTAGGTGAAGTGATTGTGACTACCCCGCATGGCCTGTTGCGATATTTGGAGCACCATGGCTTACTGCTACTAAGGATGTGCCATCTTGTTTTAGATCAGGTCAACATGCTCTTTTCCAATTCGGGGCAACAAGTACGTTTGGATATTTTCCCTCTTCCTTTGTACATCTGATATTACTGTGACTGATGGGTGGTATGATATGTCAGGAAAGCTTGTTTTGGTAGAATAGCTGCACCAGTAATTTCTGAAGGGGGGGGGGGGGTGCAAACCACTTTACTTACAGATGGTGTGGCTGGAGTCTTGTATGAATGCCACATTTGTAGTGTTTACCATTGTATTGACTGCATACCTGTAAATACATTCCCACATTACTAATAAAAAGAGTCTAACCCCATTGCTGCTAGAGGTGTAACTCATTATTGCTGTGAAACACAGCACATTTGACAGGAATGTTTAAGCAGTTATGGCTGTCCATGTAGAGAGAGAGAAACTATTTTGGGGGGTTGCACATCACGAACATGCATTATTAGTGGACACTCCAGTCACCAAAACAACTCTGCATTCACAAAACTGGCTTGGAAAGAAATGTTCCTTTTAAAAGCCAGTTTTGTTAATGCTCAACCAATCAATGGCGCTCCTGCTCATCTGCACTCTGCGCTTCCTGAAAGTGAAATTTAAGAAGCTGGAGGCTGCCTGGAGGGGGAGTGGTGATATCCACTGGAGGCAACTTTGAAAGCATTTGATAACGGTTTAACCCATTGAGGTAAGAGTGCCTCCTATAACCGTAACAACTCATTTAGATGAATTTGTTTTGGTGCCTGGAGTGTCCCTTTAATAGTGGAGCTGCAGCTTGAAATAGTCAAAGTTTATAGATCATACCGAAGTATGGCTCAGCGCACACACAGAGATGTTGAAATGCTGTTTCTGGAATAGTCACACGCAGACGATATTTTATAACCCCCTCACACTGTGCATTGATAATGGTCTAGAATGTGACTGTTCTCTGTGGGACACCTTTTGTAGATAATATGTTCACGTTAACCTAATCACAACCATCACGTGCCTTTAACCACTACGGATTGCTGCATAACGTGTTTTTATACTGTCGATTGGAATTTACTTTATTTCCTTGAATTTCATCCTGTGTGGTTCAATCGTGTAGCTTCTTTAACATTTAGTCTGCTGACCTGTTAATCCTTTTTCTTCAGATAATAACAATATTAGAAAATTTTAAGAAGACGGTTGCTATTGAGAACCGGGAGAGCACACCACAACAGGTTGTGGCCACTGGGACACACTGGCACAAAGACATGGACCCTCTGTTACACTGGTTAACGGACCCCCAGGTCATAATTACCAAAATGGATCAAGCCGCACTGTATGGGAATGTGCAGCAGGTACAATAAATATCTGGGAACGTGTGGAGCCATCATATATAAAGTAGACCTGTAAATAGACTGCATTCTCTGGTCGTCTGGATAGCCAAGACAGAGTGTGCAGGTCCTTCACCAGACAAGGAGAAAATGTCACATCAGCAAATAGTTAATTCTATACGTGGTTCAGGAACCGCAATGTGTTACATTGTCTGAGAACTATGCATGAAAACGGCTACATTGAGATGTGTCCTTTTAATTCACCAGGGATTTAATACAATCAAAGCTGCTGGCTGAAGTGCCTATTCTTGGCATCTACAACTCAATCATCACTTAATAAATGTTAACTAGAAATAGTCATATTAAGATATTAAAAAGTCTTAACATCGTAAATATAAGAAAATAAAGTATTAATCTGCAAATATATCTTTTATTGGGGATGTATGGACAAGCAGTTGCTTTGATATGGTGTAGGTAAAATAAGGCACACCCCTGTGGGATATGAACTTATGAGTCAGGCCTTTATAAGCTTCACAAGGGCGGTATGATTTAGTTGTCCTCGTTGTGTATGCTTTTGTCTATGTTATGGTTTAGCCAATTATAATCCCCCTTTTCTCCCTCCAATAAAAAATGTTTCCTTGGTTTAAAACAGGGGTAGGCAACTTTCTTTTTTTGTAAATATCGTTTTATTGAAGTTTTGTTTAGTATTCAACAAGCATTTAGTCTGCGTGCAGTGTGAAACACGCAGGTTTCCAATATGTGAAGCAGCATTCAGCATTTTGAGATGCGCAGATCTCTAGTGGAGCGGCAATAGGGTCTCTTAGGCAAGGTGAGTATCATATTTATGACAGTCAGTTGCAGATTTGTAGGTCACCCTTACTCAGTTCAAGGTATTTGTCAGTAGTATGTTGTCTTTCGAGTTGGCTGTGTGCGGTTGTTATGCGGTTTCTCGCTCACCTGATAACCCAGGGTTCTGTGATGAATTTTACTGTTTTTCTGGTCTTATGGGTTAGCAGTACAGTTCGTTCTGTCGTGGGTAGGCAACTTTCGACTCTCTACTGGAGTGCCAAAGTTTGCCTACTGATGGTCTAAAATATGTGAACCTGTTGTTGTAGAACCAATTTTTTTGTTGAAATAAGATTTGTCTAATTTGGTTGTCTATGTTCCTTAGGTTATCCAGCTTTGCTTAGACTGTGAAAAAGCAGAGGTATTGCTACGTACATTGGATTTCACACCAGAAAATGCGCAGAAGATTTTAATATTCACAAAGTCTGATGAAGAAGCTGAATTGGTTCACAATGTAAGTATCGTACATTCAATGTATGCTGGAGCCTGAGCAATGGACGTACTTTGCGTATATATCTTCCTAGTTAATAATGTGTAGCGCATTGTGTTGTGCCACAATTTGCCAAGTAGGATATTGCAGATTCATGCTCATCCGAATGAGTAATAAAATTGGCTGTCACAGTATGCTTAATGTGACCTGCGTGTTTGTGAATTGTACTAGGGATACAAACCGTTAATTGGTGGCTTTTTCCTTGTTACCTAGTTTAGTTGAAGAAAGGCCCTGGAATTCCAAATACATTCTAAAACAACGTTGTTTTTTGTTTGTTTTGTTTTTAGGTTGTTAAAAATAATTCCATTTTCAGTCTGTTGATAAATAAAAAATTAGCTCAAAATTTCATCTATGTGCTGGAGCAGTGGAATAAATTATACAGCCGTGGAACGCATGTTGTCTTGGGTAAGCTGAGCTTGTTATCTATCTGGTGTGTTTGTGCTCATACTAGTATATGTCTCTGTTTGTGCAGTGATATGTGCACAGGTACTTCATGTACATGTGCTATGTGTGGCAATACATTTGCGTACTGTGATGTGTGTGTATACGGAGTAGACATGAACGTACTTGTTATTTAATAAAATACTTTAAATGATATGAATGATAATGGTGTATTCTTTATCTTCATCGCTGAAAATCCACTCTCCTTTTACCTATTATTGAGAAATACTACATTCTGTTTTGATTCACAGTTATCACGGATGATTACGTCCCTTTCTTTGATATAACGGATGCTACATGCATAATTCATTTCAATTTCCCTGAAAATCCCAATCTGTTTGGTCTGCGTTTGTTTTCCCTCTTTAATTATATTCATAGTAAATTTGAAAAGGTATTTTACTTTTATTCATTTATGGAAATGTCAAATTCTGTTTTAAATCTGCTCAAATTGCTGTCATTCCAATCAGTTCTTGGCACTTTGCAAATTTTGTCTATATTATGGTTAGTGTACCATGATCAGGTTGGAGGGGTGTAACATACTAAAGTAGGATGGCGTCCAGGTCTGGTATCTGATTGGTTATAGGGCTAATGTAGGCCTAGTAATACTAGGGAAAGATGTTAAGAGATGGAAATATTACAGGTTAAGAGTGCCTCCATTCTACTAGGTCAGTGGTTCCCAACCCAGTCCTCAAGCACCCCCTAACAGGTCAGGATTTAGGGGTTACCTAGTTGTGTCTAAGACAAGTTTTAAGAAGACAATAAAAAAAACACTTTAGATTCAACAGGGTAATCGCTAAATCCTGGACTGGTAGTAAGTTCTATGGATATTTGTTTCCTGTTCACAAAGAGGGCAGATGCAAGGATTGTTTGGCTACACAGGCGTAAGTGCATTTTTTCACCCCCCAAAATGTGTCTCTCTGAACCCCCTTGTGTCTCTTCCCCCTTGTTCCTTTGTGTGTCTCTTCCCCCTAGTCCCTTTGTGTGTCTCTTCCCCCTAGTCACTTTGTGTGCTTCTCCCATCCCAGCCCCTTTGTGTGCTTCTCCCACCCCAGCCCCTTTGCGTGCTTCTCCCACCCCTTTGTGTTCTTCTTCCCTCCGAGCCTCTTTGCATGCCTCTTTCCCCACGAGCCTCTTGGTGTTTCTCCCCCCGAGCCTCTTAGCGTGCTTTTCCCTCCCCCCCCGAGCCCCTTCGCGTGCTTATGCCCCCCCTAAGGCCCTTTGCGTGCTTCTCCCCCCAACGAGCCCCTTTGTGTGCTCCCCCCGGCCCCCCGCTCATTTGTGTTTTTTTTCCCCCACCCAGCCTCTTTTGTGTGTCATATCCTCATCCAGCCTCTCTTGTGTGTCTCTTCCAATCAAGCTCCTTGTCTTTTTCTCCCCAGCCCGTCTCTGAGTTTCGTTAAATATAGTAAATCAGAACACGTCTCAGGTACAATAGACCACACTATAAGGCAATGTTCTGAAGGTGGATTCTAGGTCATTCTGGGTAAAAGTGTGAGCTGAGATTGGGCAGTATGCATCTATCATGACACCGTAATGAAGCACATCTTTACAACACGTAGTGTAGCAACGCTAAAAGGGCGCAGATCGGGCAGGTAACCTTAAACCAGAGGAATTGTAGCACATTGCTGACCATAAGGCACTCGAAAGATTTCATTATTTTTAAATAACATTTTTTTTTTTTTTTTTTTTTGCTTTTTCGGTCAGTGATTGCTAAGATTTGCACCCCAGTTGTTTCTAAAATAATTTATTGTAGTAGCTGACATAATGGGAACAGCTGCTCAGACATATTCTGGGCACCATAGTTAGCCCATATCTGTTCTATTTGAACATGATTACCAGAACGAGTCGTGTAACAAAATATTCTATGTACTGAAGGTTGTTTACAATTATCTAAAAACCATTCTGTATGCTGCAGGTTACTTTGGGGGAAGCAGATTATCTAAAAGCCAGATCGGTTTTGATATTAACTGAGAAGCAGGTTCACTATGCAGTGTATATACTGCGTTACTTAGAGCGCACACGGGCTCAGATCCCCCCCGAGCTCCGTGATCTCACCCAGGCCATCTTACAGGACGAGGAACAGAGAAAATCCAGCAGACAGATTTGCCAATATGTCAAAGCTTTTGGTTCCTGCAGGTGAGGAAATGACATTGCTTGTGTTTTAAAGAATATGCATTCCACATTTAAAGGGAAACTCCAGTGCCAGGAAAACAATCCTTTTTCCTGGCACTGCAGATCCCCTCCCACCTCCCAACCCCCGGTTGCTGAAGGTTGGAGGGAAAACCCCTTCAGGTCACTTACCGGAGACCTCGCCGATGTCCCTCGGCGGTGGTTTCTGCTCGCCGCCACTCCTCCCAGTCTTTACGCCGGCCGGTGGGCGAGACTGATTCCGCCCACCGGCCGGGGAGAACTAATGCATGTTAGAGCTTCACATAGGAAAGCATGTCTTCAGATCGGGGTATTTAATGTGCATGTGCGCATTAGGTCCCCATCCCATGAGGCTGTCCAGCGCCATTTAAGGGAGTCGGGTTCCTCTAAAATCCAGAAACTGCCTCTAGTGACTGTCTGATAGAGGCAGTCTTAGTCATGCAAGGTAATTATTGCAGTTTCTCTAAAACTGCAGTGTTTACATTGCAGGGTTAAGGAGAACAGGGACAGTGCACCCAGACCACTTCAATGAAATGAAGTGATCTGTGTGACTATAATGTCTCTTTAATGTTAAATGTATATTTAAAAGGTGGCAGTTCTATGTTTTTTTGTTACAGGAATATATGAAGAATTTCTCTACCACACACATGCAGCAAATTCTACTGTAGGTTTTTCCCATTTAAATTTTTTTTTTGGTTACTTTTAAAGGCCATGATTTGTTTCAAACATACTTTGACGTCTCTTTATCAGTTTTGGAGACCTGTGTATCATTTTATATTCTAAACTCCCTTTATTGGTATTGACTATATAAAAGCGTTTAAAAATCATATTAAGAGAGCCTAAAAACATCCAATAATTGGTCAAATGATAAAATGCTTGTATAAATCTTTAATATGCCTGAATCATTTACTGTAAATCAGTTCTGTTTCTGTGTGGCTTTGTTTGGGATTCTAGGAATGAAAGTAGGAAGGAAGCCAGCATGGAGTAGAAAGGGTGAATGCTAATGGTTTTTTTTTCTTCTCTTCCAGTAAAGACCAGTTTACTTGCCCTGATCGTCATCACATTATTCCCAGAGTGGATCTCCTAGATGGAGCTTTGTGTTATCCAGCACCAGCCCAGTACATATCTGTAAGAAGGAACCCATTTATTGTTGGTTATTGGTGGGGGCAAGCCTGTGTCCTTACAGTAAAGCGCAATTCAGGGGGAAATTAATTGCAACTAGGGCATTTTTCTCCTAATATGTGCTTTTGTATTATGCATCATTTACACTGTCTTTTATTATTGATATGTTAATTTATTTATTAGATTCTTTATTTATATCAGGTGATATACAAAGCAGTGGTTCAACATTGGAATATAGCATGACTCAAGAAACAATTTAGTATAGAAACAAAATTTCAAGTAAGATATATATATATATATATCCTGTTTTTTTGTGTGTGGTTTGTATTTTTTTGTCCATCTTTCTTTTATTGAGGGAGATGAGCGAGAGAAATACAAGATAGGAATATCACATCATGGTGTAACATCTCTTAGACATGACAGCACCATTTTATATTAATTGAGTAAAATAGGAACATGTTAAACTGTTGTGTCATGACTATGAACAGATGTAGAGAAGTTAATGCATACGGTAATATAGTAAAATCACAGTTGGCTTATATACTTCTATATAATCCGTCTCGCTTTTTTTTTTGTGATGTAAATTAATCTGGCTAGTCTAACTAGGCACAACAAGCTATACTACATAGTAATGCTTAACAAATAACAGGTAGTTCTGCACAGTTTAAAGTGTAGATTAAAGGGTTAGACTTACACAGTACAATTTAAGTGACAAAGTAAGCTATGTGATTGCATGCTCTTTGTACTGTGAATTGGTATTGTACTGCATTTAGTGAATCGATATAGGCAAGATTAAATGTCAGGCATGTTATGCATTATAAAAGAAGGTGTATGAGATCAGGAAAAATTAGGCTGATAAGCTAAGGATCTTAAAATCAGGTTAAAAACATGCTAGGTTAACCACCATCTCCCTGGAGCCTGTCAGAATTACACTATGCAAAAAGACTACAAAAAGAGTGTGTCTGCCAGGTGGGAGCCCAATAGAGAGTAATCAGCTTGGACAGTTCAGATTGGGCTCTAGGCTGGGAGCGTTGTCTAGCGGGACTGCGGGATAGAGAGTCAACAGTCAGCCGATACCCCTGCTGGGTATGGTGGCACCTTGGGCCGGGAGAGTCTACTGGAGGACAGTGAGCTGAAGGTATATAGAGGCTGCCCTCCAGCCCCAGGTCGGTATGAAGGCCAGCACCTGCGGTCCACAGACTCGGTATCTCGTTGAGGCCGGGTCGTCCCTCTGTCTGGCGCCATGGAGAGCTTGGATGTTCTGCCACCGCCAGCGATGGTTGGGCTTCCGATGGTGTGGTCGTTGCCATGGAGGCTTTCTCTGACTGGTTTTCGGCCTGGGAAGGCGTTAAGGACGGATAGTGTTAACTGCTCTATGGGGTTCGCCCTGTGGGGACCTCTCCCAGCTCCTTTCTTCATCCCCCTGCACCACTCTCTCAAGATTAGGCTGTTGTTTGCTGCGGTGCTCCAATCGTTCCCAAAAAACTTTTCTAACATTCTGTCCAGTTGCTCAATGTAGTGCTCCACCGGGTTGTTGCCCTGGCCGCTATGGTGTGTTAGCGCAGGCTTCTGCCATTGGGACGCGGACACCATCTTGAGTGGCCTGCTGGCCGTGTCACTCTGGCTGTAGGGTGTTTCCGAAGCTTGTTTAGCAGTTTGCCCTGGGTTGGTTGGGACCGTGATAACCCCCACCGGTCCAAAGGGGGAGGAAACGGGGGCCCGTGCCTCTGAAACTGCTATGTTTACTGAAAAAAGGGTTGTGACGTGGTGTGGACGTGAGAGAGAGGCCTTGTCTCCCGCAGCTTCCCTGCTTGTCACGCTGTGGACCAGGCCGCACTGCTGGGCTCCGGTTTCTGCAGGTGGAAATTCAAGATTCGGGTACCGATTTGTGCCGCTTCGATTGCAGGTCAGCCCCCCCATCTCAGATAAATTGTACCTGGCATGGTAAGTCACTGTTAGGGCTTAGATTGTACCCATTGCTACCAGAGCTATTAGCAAGTGCGTCCGGCCATCTTGGCTGTCAGGCCCCGCCCCTGGTTTTTTTGTTTTTTTAATAACATAAATATGAAAAACTTTGTACAAAGAGGCAATTAGAGGGCTTTACTTGGATAGGTACTTCTAACCAAAGGGAGCAAAGGGGTGTGGGCGGGGAGGTGATAAAATGTTAATCTGTAAAGGTGATCAGTGGTAACGTGGGTTTAAGCAACAAGGAGCCTGATATTAAACTCTACCAGCCAAAGCTAAAGTAGAAATAAAGATAAATTTAAAGGGACACTCCAGGCACCCAGACCACTTCTGCCCATTGGAGTGGTCTGGGTGCCAACTCCCACTACCCATAAACTGCAATATTTACCTGGCAGGGTTAAGTCCTCCTCTAGTGGCTGTCTACTAGACAGCCACTAGAGTACACTTCCATGTTCGTAGAATACAAAATGTGCCGCCCATGCGCATTATGTCCCCCCGGCCGCCCATGCGCAATAGGACGTCAGCCAGCGGGGGAGGAGTGTGGGCGGACCCTGACTCAGCGCCGAGGGACATCGACACTGAGTAAGTCACTGAAGGGGTTTTAACCCCTTCAGCAACTTGGGGTGGGAGGAAGAGGGGTCCTGAAGTTTCCTGGCACTGGAGAGTCCCTTTGAGTACATTTGATTTTATTTTATTTTTTAAAAACCCTCCTTTCTTTAAAGGACCACTATAGTGCCCTGAGGGATCCCCCTCCCGCCGACCTCTGGGGGGAGGAAGGGGTTAAACTTACCTCTTTCTCCAGCGCCGGGCAGGGAGCTCTCCTCCTCCTCGGCTGAATATGCATTCGCGGCAAGAGCCGCACGCGCATTCAGCCAGTCTCATAGGAAAGAATTCACAATGCTTTCCTATGGACGCTGGCGTCTTCTCACTATGAAAATCACAGTGAGAAGCACGCAAGCGCCTCTAGCAGCTGTCAGTGAGACAGCCACTAGAGGCTGGATTAACCCATAGGTAAACATAGCAGTTTCTCTGAAACTGCTGTGTGTACTGCAAAAATCATTAAACCTAGCTGGACCTGGCACCCAGACCACTTCATTAAGCTGAAGTGGTCTAGGTGCCTATAGTGGTCCTTAAAAAAAAAAAAAAGAGTTGCACCTGCGCTTGAGTTAATGCAGCGCCGATGGGTGGTAAGGAAATGTTACCATCAAAAAAAGATACATAAGTGGGCGGTAGGTATTAAAAGATTGACTACCCCTGCATTAACCAAAGCACAAATACATTTGTATGTGTTTTCTACTTACAGGTGATACCTTTAGGTATTGTGGATGCTACTCGCTTCTTTGGGCGCATAGTAACGAAAGAAGGCGCATATGAGAAACTTGTCGAAGAACTGGCTGAGTATTATTCCTTCGACAGTAACAAAATGACCGACCAAAATGTGGAGAATTCAGGCCTGTATGCACTGCAGGAGGGATCTGTCTACCACAGGTAAGTGTACAGTAAAGCATAGGACTGTCCTGTGTTCAGTCAGGTCTTTAATAGCGCCCAGTGCTTCTCACAAGAATCAACTATATACAATATACACGTGTTCACAGGCATAATGCACACATCTTAAGGTTCATCCAAGAGACATTATAGTACTGAAAAGAAGTGTGTACCCTCATACCAAATTAAATATAACATTGGGAAAATACTAAATAAAAATTATAACATTTTCCCTATATATGCACAGAGAGCTTAAACATAATCTACTGATCTAATGAAATGCAAAGATCTATATACAGTCAAACTACCTTGTTGTCAAACATTGTATGGAACCCTATAATGGTGTTTATATTAAAGGTCTACTGCAATCACCATGACCGGTCCAGTGATTTGAAGTATTCATGGTGCCTGAAATCTGTAAGTGAAGCATTTCACTATGAGACGCTGCACATACTGTGTTTATCCCCTTTACTGCTCGAGGTGTAACTACACCTCCAGTAGCGTGATTTGGGCGTTATCAGCTAGGCCTGGTGTAATTATCCAGATGGCTAATGTCAATTCTGTGCATATTTCTATACACCGAGGGGCATTAATTGGCTAAGAGAGATTAGCTGACACTCTCAGCCAATGAATGCCCGGCAGGATCGGCATCCGTCTTCTGCAAATCTGGGTAAGCCAGATGTTCCAATCCTGATACAGTGTTAACCGGCGGGGAAACCGTTAAGACAAAATGTTGTAAAATAATTTGCCCCATTATCAGAGAACAGCACCAGAGGAGAAATAAGAGGGGCTAAGATTGTTCAGTGCTTTATAGGTATGGGTTAGCACTTTGAATTGACTGCTATAGGATACAGGAAGCCAATGTAAGGACTGGCAGAGGGGTGAGGTGTGAGAGGACCGACTAGAGAGGAAAATCAGTCTGGCAGCAGAATTCATTACAGACTGTAGCGGGGCAATACGGCTATTGGGAAGACCAATTTGGAGAGAGTTACAGTAGTTCATGCGAGAGATTACTAGCGCATTGACAAGCTCCTTAGTAGCATCTTTTGTAAGAAAGGGGCGGGTGCAGGCAATGTTTTTAAGGTGGGATTGGCATGATTTGACAACAGACTGGATGTGAGGCTCAAAGGTGAGGCCAGGATCAAAAGTAACACCAAGTTATTTCTGATATGGGCCATAAAATGTCAATTCCTACATATGTATCATGTAGAAAATGTAGCACTTTGTTTTGCAGATTTTTATTTGCTTTCTGCTCATTATGTCTAACCTGTCAATTGTGTAAATATAGCAATTTGCATTGTTCTCTGATACACAGCTTCCATTTCGTTTCCTCAAAGGGTCCAAGTCCTGCACAGCACACAGCAGGACGGTATATTAACTGCTCGTGTAAAATACATTGATCATGGAAAAACCAGTGAGGTCCACTGTCGCCAGTTATTACATCTCCCTCTGAGTGTCCAGAATATCCCACCCCAGGCTGCAGAATTCATTGTTTGCCGAGTTAAACCGATTGACAATGAAACTGAATGGGATCCTAAAGTAAGCAATCCATTTCTTTAATGTAAGAGATATTTTACTGACTGGAAAAAGAATCGATAGGTGTGGGAATTGTCTCCTCTACCATTCTTATTACTCGATGCTTGCCTCAGGTCATGGTGGCTTTGTAGATACATATAAAGAATGTTGTTTAGATATATATCATAATCCTAGTATACATTTGGGATTTAGTGTTTGCTCTTCTTTTTTTTTATTCTTTATTTTTGTTGTGCTCAGTAGAGCAGTCAAGCGTGCAGTGCCACAGCAACAGTTACAAACATATCGGGATACACATTAGGACCGTTACAAACATATCGGGATTCACATTAGGACCGTTACAAACATATCGGGATACACATTAGGACAGTTACAAACCTATCGGGATACACATTAGGACCGTTACAAACATATCGGGATACACATTAGGACAGTTACAAACATATCCGGATACACATTAGGACATATTGTGGCCCAGAATCTCTTAAACAGGAGATCCAGTTTAGTCTGGGTGTGGCAGTTTGGGCCTCAGCTGGATCTCCGGTCGTGATCACTGCCATCTTGGAAGCCACGCAGTGGTCCCAGGCAGTACTGTCCCTGTTGCCAAGAGTGTTGGTGGGAGACCTCTTGGGACCAGGATGACTGACGCAATGCAGATTTCCGCTCCGAATGTCAGGATGTGGCGTCTGGAAAGCAGCCGTCCCTCCGATGCCTGACAGGCTTAAAGGCCGCAGCAAATGAGGGAAGTGTATTCCAGTTCAGGAAAGTACTGAGTCCGGTACTGACCGAGTCACCTGATTCCCCACTATGCGGTGAGTAACATCTTGGAGCAGAAATAAATCTTAGTAAGCAGGTGTTGCTCGGGAGCACGCCTTGCATGTGTCCACTCTGCTTGTCAGTCAGGCTTCGGCCCCGTGTTATGTCATAAACAAGTGATCCACTCGAGTAAACCATTAAATAAGCATGACGGGTGTCCTTTCAACATATGACTAATGTGTTAAATGGTCTGTAACCTCTTTACATCGTAGCTTGCTAATAGCCGCTATGTTTATCAGCCGTATGAATCGCAATGTTTTCTGGTATAACCACCGCCCTCTGCAGAGGCAATAAGAGGTATACTACACTGTTCTTATAAGTTGGATGGTGATAACCGCTTCTGTCAGAGGAATGCAACCCGAGCCCTCTCCAAGGGGCACTGTATAGAAATGTAGAACGTTTAACATTTTAATACTTTCAGGGCTATTCACTAAATTTGCAAATGGCAGTCAAAATAGCCACACTAACAGAATGATTAAGTTGGAGAATTGCTCCTTTTTGGCATACAATATCAAATTGTCAAGTCAGACTTTTTATTTTCTTTCTTTCTTCAGTTTGTTGAATAACTTTGTGTGTGTGTGAGTCTGTCTGCCTGCCTAACAACATTTTGCAAATATTAGAGGAAAAAATGTGCTTAACCGTTGATGCCGAATTGTATTTTTGTTGGTTATAAGTGCCTGTGCTTCCATCTTTTTAAAGGAGCACCTCTGCTAAAATATCATAATAAATTCGATTTTTAAAAATCAATATTATGTTTCAATAACAAAGCTACAGAAAGTTTAGTTGTGTTTATCACTTGAAGATCTGTCAGCATAGGATTGGTTTACCTCCTCCAGTTACAGAGAAACCTGTCACATCCACCGCCAATCAGAGCCTGTGATTTCCAGGACAGACTGATAGAGGATGAGTGTGACAGTGCAAGAGAAGGTAAGTCTGAAATGAGGATTGAGTTGGGTTAATGAGATAGGGTAAGTGTGGCAAAGCAAGGGCAGGTGAGTTTGGTATGGTTGGAGTGGGTGAGAGTGACAGGATTAGGAGGGTTTTGGGCGAGTTTGGCTGGGCGTAGGGGGAGACAGTGTGTGGGGACTGAAAGTGTTTGGGAATGGTGACAGTGTATGTGAAGGGGACGTCCGTGTGTGTGGTAATGATAGGGTATGGGTGGGGGATGACCAGGTGTGCGGAGGAAGGCTGTGACAGCGTGTGTGTGCTGGGGGCTGTGTTAGGGTGCGGGGGTGGGGGGCGGTGAGGAAGTGATAGGGTGGATGTGGGGTGACAGGGTGGGGAAGCTGTGACATAGTTGGGGGAGCTCTGACAGGGCAGGAGTGGTAGGGGTGGTATGACAGGGTAGGGGTCTGTGAAAGAGTAGGTGGTGGTGGGGGACTGTGACAGGGTAGGAGGTGGGGAGCTGTGACAGGGAAGGGGTAGTAGAGGCCTGTGACAGGGCAGAGGTGGTAGAGGGGATAGGGCGTGGAGTGGTAGGGGGGCTGGGGCAGGAGCTGGTAGGGGGACAGAGGGGGGCTGTGAGGGGGTGGGGTCGGGAGCGGAGACTGTGACAGGGCATGGGATCATAAATACCTTTATTATAAACTGATTCCTTGGTGAGCAGGCTGTATCCCTGGTGGTCCGGTGGGCTCCTTATCCGGTCTGCAGCTCCGCCGGGTGCAGAGCTACAGACCACGTGCTAAGTCTCGCAATCTCCAGTCAGAGCATTGCCGTGTTAACCTACGGCAACGCTCTGATTGGCTCAGATCGCAAGACGTCTAAGTTTGCAGCTCTGCACCCAGCAGAGCTGCAGACTAGAGGCGGCTATCTCCCAGGCAGGCGGTGTGGAGGGTCCGCTGGGCCCTCTCCTGCGTTGGGCCCTCAGTCTCTGACACTGCCCTAAGGCGATTTATGCGGCCGCCTAAATCTTCTAATTAGAGAGCCGCCTCTGGATTGGAGTATCGTGGCAGTGAAAAATCTGAGGATTTACAAGGGGCTGTGAAAGTAGCTTCTCTGGGCAGAATATAACACGTGTGCAATGCGAATTTCATTAGATTGCATACACAGGGATTTTAGGAGATCTGCTTTTATTCATCAAACTAGAGATTATAAGGCATAACTAAACAAAAATTTAAATACACAACTTTACTTAAGTAGAAGAGTAATAACAATGTGATTTCATCTATAGTAATGGTAACAAGGTATTTACACTTCATTGTAAGATGGTGGAATGCTGGCTGATGCCTTGCTGCAGGTAATGAGAGACTCGGCAGAAGGTCTTTGTGGTGGGTCGCCTTCAACTAGTGCAGGTCTTTTATAACCTTAAATCGGCACTCTCAACATCTGCAAAGACCCCTGACTGACACAGTGACATCGCCTCTTGGGGGGGAACAGCTGAAAAAGTCTAAATGTTGGCAATAACCCTGATTTTCATTGGGGATTGAATACTTTTTATTCTAACTGTATATTTAAGGTAGGTATTTTTCCTATATTACGGTCTGATAATATAGCTGCAAATGTCAGGCTAATATTTTTCAATCAAAAAGTTCTCGGTTGTGATGGGGTTAACCATTGTATGTAGATACAGACCAACTGAAAAACCAAATTCCTTCTTTTCGAAGGGCTTGTAACAAAAAGTAAAGTGGAAAGTACTATACAAAATATTTCTCCATTATATTCTTTTACTCTGTGTGTCATGTGTGCATTTGGCATTATCGTCTTTTACTGTTGTTCCATTGTTTTATTATTTTCGTATATAATATAACCTAACAAATGGTGGCGGGAATCCTATTTACTTCCCCAATATAATTAACCCTGGTATCTTTTTTTTTTTTGTAATAGGTGAACAGGATTATTAGTAAGCATATTAAAGAAAAACTACATTCGGCAAAAGTTGTTCTCAGACTTGAAAACACGTATTGGCTCGATCCCATGGTAAGACTTATTAAAATAGAACTTACATTTTTAAGGGGTTTATTTGCTAAATAGCGTCAACAGAAATCCAAAATTCTGCTGCACTCTTTAGTAAACAAACTCATTATACTGAAAATCTCTTGTTTGCAGATAGATTAAAGAATAGGATTTTAATTCAACTTGATTGGATTGTTTTTAAATCCTGTAATTAATTAACCTGTTGGTTGCTTGTGACCAAACACTGTGAAGGAAGCATTTTAAGCATAAAAATATACATTATATCACACATTGCAAGCTCTCAGCCAGTTGGATTCTAATTAAGGTAAAGTAGTATTGGTGCTTAGTGTCTCTGTAGCTGTAAGCAACATAATTATTACAGCTCATAGTAGTAGTAGCTAAGCAGTTTTGAGTGCCACTCTAATCTGACAGAAAACATGGTGGTAGCATTTAAAGACCAATATTTCCTAGCCCGTACAATGAACTATAGTGGTTACAGTGCTTAGTAACTCTTTAACGTGTCTGGCACGCAGAGAGGTCATTTGCTCTTCTATCTCGAGTACTGCTGTCTCCTTGACAATAACAAATACTAATTGATGCACAAACACATGTCGATCAACGATTCACTCATAAGGAAGGATAGACAGATGTTCTGTTCCAGAACGTAGACTGACTTTGCCATTGTTGGAGAACCAGCAATGCTTCCATCTTAGTCTGACATATGCCTGGACCAATAATTAACAAGAGACTGCCAATATGCAAGTTGGAGAAGGGGAGGCAGAGGGATCTGTTGTTTGGTTCCCTATCAAAGGGATCTTTTGATGTCTTAAAACAATTACCAGATTTCATAAACGACAGACACCTCTCTTTTGTAGGTCCAAGTGAGCAGACTACCAGGTTTATCAACCTATATCAACGAGCTCAATGTACGCCATGAGATCTTGTTTACTGGATTGGGAACTGATAATCCCAAGCACATAGAGCAGCTGAAATCGCTAGTGGAAAATGCAATAAAACCAGCCGAGTCAGACACCAGGTGGGTATCTAATCAACTCTTAATTCCTGGAAATGTTACCTTTTAATGAGGCAGCAAGAAATATCGTTGAGATGCTTACATTCAAGGTAAATATTGTCATCTATTTTTACTTTTCAACTGTGAAACTTTCAGGGTTCCTAATGAACAGGAACAGGTTGCTGAAAAAAACAATAGCGGCTGCCCTTCCAATCCAGAAACCAGTAACGGCCGCCCATCCAATCTAGAAACCAGTAACAGCTGCCTACCTAATCCAGAAACCAATAACTGCCGCCCGTCCAATCCAGAAACCAATAACTGCCGCCCGTCCAGTCCTGAAACCAGTAACTGCCACCTATCCAATCCAGAAACCAGTAACGGCTGCCTATCCAATCCAGAAACCAATAACGGCCGCTCTTCCAATCCAGAAACCAATAACGGCTGCCCTTCCACTTGGCCTGTGTCAGAGACCGTGATTTGTGATCTGGACAATGACCGGTGTGCACCAGAGAGCCAGCATTATGGTGAGTTTAAACGTTTTCATTTCCTGTGTGATGGTCTTTGTAGAACTAAATGGATGTCTTTTTTTCCCACCATTAGATCTTTTATTATTTATATCATTATTTTAAAAGTGATGCTTCAATGATGAGTAAAATGTTTGTAATGAATTGTAAATTAACATTTTATACAGAATGTGCTACCATTTATTTGACTGGGGAATACAGCTGTTTGTGCTGCTCACTTGTTTTTCTGTATAAATACCTTTCTCATCCCTACAAGGTGCACTGCGTTTGTGTTATAAAATTGTCCCCTACAAGTTTGAAAACCTCCTGATTGCTGATAACTGGTACCGATATTCTGTACATTTTAAATTTTTAATCAAGTAACAGAATTTCTACACTAATCTGGCATTAACGGAATATGCTGTCAGAAGTCACACTCAAATCACTCACAGCCAGTACAGGCTGGGATCACTGTTACTAATAGGAGTGTGATTGATGACATCCAGACCAGTACATTACAGGAGATTATTCACTGTCTCAACTCGCTGACTTCAGCTGAGCTCCGTGTGCGGGGGCTCACAGAAAGAGGTGATGTGAGGTCACAACGTGCTGCTTCATTGGCTGGCAAGTTATTAATAATATCAATAAATTACAAGGCTGATACAGATTATCGGTAAAATGCTGGATAGCGGCTCTAATAATCATATAATTGGTCTATCCATTGACCAGAGTATAATAATCTTCCAGGAATGTCCCACTGTATAGCTGTTGGAAAGTGGCTTGACTCTTAACATTTACCTGGATCCCCAGGTCACCCACAGTCTGGCTCCTCTTAATAGATATTGAGAAAGTTTTACTTTGACATTAGTAATAACAATGAGTTCCTCTTTGGCAGCTGACACTCCTCAGCCAATGAATTCCATCCACAGCGAGACATAATGGACACAACTGGGATAAGCTGCTCAACCAATTTGGATTCAGCACTAAGTCACTGCCCACAGCCTAGTTAAGCTGTTCTTATAGAAATTCTATATTTATTTTGAAAACATATGAAAAAACGCTGTATACAGAACTAACTACAATAGAACGTGTAGAAGAACGTGTGAATACTAAAAGCAGCATGTTCTTGCAGTGACGTCTGTCTGATAGTCTGCCAGTTAGTCATCCCTGCTCTGTGTAACATAGTGGAAATCCATGTCCATGCTGCATGAATAGACACTGTTACTATAAATGGTCCAGATTGTTAATATTATCTTTAATTCAAACATATCTTATTTTTTTATATCAGACAGTGGGGGTGATGTATGTGCACTCCATCGAGATCCACAGACTACATCTATAGTTGAAGGGTGAGTAGACCATGAAACTCATATAATGTTTATAGCACCATACAAGTCTTCACCTCGGGGTTCCGATATCTTTTGTATTAGCGCGCCAGCATGGGGGAGGCACTCACATGTCTAATGCAGACTTGTCCTTTGCTTTTATTCTGAAGCTTGCATCCAGAAGTGAAATGGTTTGAGAAAGGAGAATCTGTTGTCCTGACTGTGAAACTGCGAGATATAACGAATCATAACTGTGTATTTTATGATGACAGAGTTTTATTTAGGTAAGTAGAGCAGCTATTACCAAACAAACAACATCAATGTCCCAATGGTAGTGTACCAAAACTGTATATCAACATGGACGTAAGACATACATGCAAAACTGTCAGTTCCCTTTTATGAAATTAGCCACACTTACTTACATTCATACAAAACACACAAATGCACAATTAACCTGCATCCATAGGTACATACTAAACTAACACATCCACACACTGACATACATTCAGTTTTCATATCCGTCATGTACTGCTGGTCCCTGAGGAAAGAGTGGAGAGGTTCTGGGTAACTGTCCCGGGATTCCAGTGTTTGGTGAGCAGGATAACTCCCCAGCAGAGCAGGACAATCTGAGAGGCTGTGGGTGCGAGAATGACGTCGTCACATGCTACCACCTGCTTCCGCGGACATATGCACTAGTGTGGGATATGCGATAAAATTACTGTCACAGAGACATCCTGAGTGCACTGCTTGGCTCCCATGCATGCATGTGGTCATTGAGGGTCATCTACTAAACAGTGATTCTTATTTAATTTTGACCGTGGAGTGTCCCTAATAATACTGACTATATCTGCATCTTAGATGATTCAGACAGATTTGGGTGTGTTTTGATTAAAATTGTTAGTGATAGATCAGTTAGTAGGTACCCGGTAGATTCCTGGCCATTGGTACCAGCAATGACTGTAATATAACCTCCACTCACACCCTGTCACAGGTTCCCTAATAAGCCGCTTGTTTATTAATGTCCAAATTCATGAATATTTGGGGACAATGGGATGATGGTTTTCTTGCTGAAGGATATCCCAGGTCAGGTACAGTTCAAGTTGTGTGTGCACAATGTATTTACAATTGCTACCCTTAAGCTTCCCATTGGATTAAAACTGACAGTTTTCCGATTGACACTAATGCGATCTGCTTACACCACTTGGAGAGTACAATCCTCATAACACTAATTATCTGATTTCCCTGTGCCAGACTCTTGTTTTTATGTTGCCTATTTGAGCTAGGTATTTTGTGCAGTTGAACATGTTGTTTTATGTATATTTCATTGTCTTTATTGTATTTGCCATGCAAAATTTAATTAAAATTATAAATGGAGAAAACAACAAATAAACTGCTTGCTATGTGGCCAAGACCGCTTTCTGGGTGTTTCATGTGGTGTAACGTTCACTTTATTGCAGTTGCCATGCCGGAGGGAAGTACTATTCAGCACATTTGGAGCTCAGCCATGAGATCCTAAAAGAGAAATCAGCTTGCCAGATTAAAAATGGAGAACCTGTGATTTCTTTATGGAAAACCCAGCCGGGAAAGTGGACCAACCTGCTTAAACATAAGGTAGGTCGTTAAATGTGCTATTTTACTCTGCTTGTCTGGTTTAACGTCACAATCATTGATGTATCTTTCACGTCTGTCTTTTAAGTGTCCAAACGTCAGCTTTGACTTTGACCACTGGGAGGATACGGAGGAGAACAGCTGGCTGCCTCAGTGTAAGTATTTCCACTCTCTGGCATTTTACGGAGGTTAACCCATTGTGTGCCACGCAGGTTGACGTCATCTTTGAATTGGAAAAGGAAACAGTAATTGTTCACACGCAAACAGACTATTGTGGGTTTGGTATAAAAAGTGTTTCTGTGAGAAAAGTGACGTACAGAAATACAAAGTTAGATGCAAAAGTGCCATTCTTAGATCACTTTTATAGCACTCCAGCTCTCTGCAGTCCTGGCTTTAGATTATATGTGTATAGCCTAAGAAAAGTTGTACATTTCAGCATAAAAGGCCACAACTGTGCCCCATTTAGACCTCTTTATACACACGATACATGTTGGCCAAACAGGTTAATACTTGTGTTAGATTTCAACATTCATACATAACCCTCTGTGTGTAAAGAGCAATGTAACTGTTTTCCTTTTATTTTCCAGTCTCCAAAAGTCCCCAAAATAGCTACGCCATCCTACGAGGAGAAGTAGAATCCTCTGACTTCAGTGAATCTGACAGTGATTAAATCAGAAGCCTGACTGTCCTGTTGTCTTCCGTCAGCCGGTTGTGATTGTGCCAATATGTAAATGTGGTTCAACCGGTCGTCGTCCAAGGAAACTTACATGACCTGTGCTTTTGTGAAATAATGTACACCCAGACACCAGGCAGGGTGTACTAAAGATAATGCTCAAGTTCTGCTTTGATGACATGGTAACGTAAATATGGCATCCGGTGTCACTTTGTAAGTAAATCTTATGTTCTATCTAGAGGAATTCTAGGGACCTAGATTGTGGAAAAATAGCATATTAAGAGGTATTTACTAAAAACCCTAGAAGCAGACACTTTTTTTTTTTTAGTATTATTTACCCTGTTAGAAAAAGGGGCTCCAAATCAGAATCAAGACGTTTAAACAAATTAGTGTTATATTTGTATTATCAATGTATTTAATTGGTAAATCTCCACTGTTTTGGGATGTAGACACTTAAGTTTATTGTCCTAAATCTCCATAAACCGAATCAGAGTTTGACTTTGTGGATTTCTGAGTGTAAGCTTGTGCAATAATATTGTTTAAGCAGAATTTCTTATAAAGAAGGTACTATGCAAATGCCATTTTTTTTTTCCCTGTGATTCTGTAACCTCTGACGATACATTTAATTTGCAGAGATTCCATTTAGTCTATAAAATGTTTTTTTGGTTTTTTTTTTAAGTGAAACATTTTAAGTTAAAGTAGCATTCTAAGCACTATACTCAGTACAGCTCAAAGTGGTATTGTTTATAGTGCAGAATGTGGGAAACAGAGCATACAATCTATTTGGGGTTTGTCAGGCACCTTCACATTAGCTCATCCAACTAAAGTTGGATTGAAAAAATAGGACTTTAACAAAGATCTGGACTAACTTTTTGTCCTGAGAGAATTCGACTCGCCAGCCTCCAGCTCCATTTAATGCTGGATGGTTTTGTCAAACAGGTGGAAATGTTTTGACATAAATTGAGGGGACCACATCCACATACTCCATAGAACCATAACCACTTCAATTATCTTTAATGGTTATGGTGCTTTGATTAACGTGAAGACACAAAGCTAAATAATCTTGCCTCTGAGTAAAGATGCACTTTTGTTTTACTCTAAACAAAACAAAATAGTCCATTTATATTTCCAGAAGCAAATGTTACATTAATCAAAAAGATAAAATATTTTTTTTTTTTTTCGATTAATGGAACGTTTGCTTCTGGAAAAGTGGCAAAGATTAAGAAATTGTTTCTTCTTCGGGCTATTTGGTAGAGACAAATTCTACCCCTGGAGCAGCTATTATTACAGTCAGCTTATTTTAATGTGAAGAGGTTCATTCAGTAAACAGTGAATTGAAAATGTAGGTTAAAACTGCCAAACTGTGATTATAAGCATAGGTTAAACATATGTCTGATCCCTGCATAATAGACTAGAGATCAGCGCTCTGATTGGTATTTTCAATATCAAGTCCATTCAACCTGGACAGTAATGACAAAGTGTAATTTTGGATCAAAAGGGGACATTTTCTGAGTGCTGGGGAGAGCCTTGATTTTTGTCAGACTGCTCCCAAACATTTTATCAACCCCAAAAAAGGGGGGGAGCGGGGGTTAGAGTTGTGCCCGTAAAGTCTTGGCATCATAAACGTTAATCTGTTGTGAATGGAAGATGCGGCCTACCAGACTATATAGTGTTCATTAAACATGTTTTATTTTTCTATCTACAAAACCAGGCTCCTTACTACAGTAAAATGCAGAATATTCAAATCTTAAAACATGTCATGGTTTGCCTTTTCAAAAAAGTTAACTCCGCTATGCCTTATCTATGATGGGGAACTTTCCTGAAAAAAAAACAAACATTTTATTTTGTAGTAGCATGTATGAATATATATTACTTGGCAGAGTTTTAGTGGCCACAGTCACTGATGTTTTGATAACTGATTAAAGGAACACTATAGTGTCAGGAATTAAATAATGTATTCCTGACACTATAGACCTAAATGCACTATTGAGCTTTCCACCTCCCCCCTCTTTACCTCTGTTAAAAAGTTAATTTAGTCACCTTTTTCCAGCACCACACAAGTCTCATGACTTCCCCCGCCCTCGCGTTTCTCTGAAAAGGCAGTGTTTACATTAAAAGGCCTGCAGGGACAGGCAATAGCTACCAGAACTACTACATTAAGCTGTGGTTGTTTTGGTGACTATAGTGTCCGTCTAATTGACTGTATCTAGAGTATTCTATAGCCAGCTGTTTGTATCTGTGGCAGCACCTGATACACAGTGTTGTGGAGTCTGAAGCCTCAATCAATGTGCAGTATATGCCGGTTTATAAATCAGTTCCCTAACAATAAAGGTGTAATGGGTTTAGGCCTATACTCTGCAGGTAAGTTGACATCAAAAAGAATTTGACTCTGACATATACACTAAATTGTAATATGGTAATCGTAACATTATTATTCAGTAGTTACTAAAATTGTGGAAACCTTTTTGGAAAATTTGTATTTGACGGATCATACGTTTTTTGGGGCTTTTGGGGGGGGGGGGTAGAATACCATAAAATTCGATATCATTAGAAATAAGATTTAATGCAGAATATAATGCAACACGGTTTGTTCTAAACACAGAAACCCCTGATAAAGGATATTTCAGAACTTCTCTCTATTTCGGTTAGTGATTTGGGAAATATTTAGCCATTTCAGCCTTGCAGCTGGGTCCCATGGAGTGAAGCAAGTGTTTTGGTTTATCTCGTGTTATATTGTATGATTGCTTCTATCAGCTGTCTTTTATTCCTCGGGTTCTTCTAACAAGTTTCTTTAATTGGCATCACAGATTTTCTTTTGGATTCAGGCCAGGGCTGTGACCTGGATATTCTAGCAGTGTAATAGGATTTTCCTAAAATCAGCAATATTACAAGGAGCTAAACCCTGGTTAAATGGATACTATAGTCACCCAGATCCTTTCTTATTGAAGTGGTCTACGTGCAAGGCCTTTGTTCCCTTAACCCCTTAAGGACACATGACATGTGTGACATGTCATGATTCCCTTTTATTCCAGAAGCTTGGTCCTTAAGGGGTTAAAGGGACATTCCAGGCACCCAGACCACTTCTGCCCATTGGAGTGGTCTGGGTGCCAACTCCCACTACCTTTAACCATGCAACTGTAATTATTGCAGTTTTTTATAAACTGCAATAATTACCTTGCAGGGTTAACTCTACCTCTAGTGGCTGTCTACTAGACAGCCACTAGAGGGCACTTGCTGCTTCACAGGACAGGTCTGTGCTAGAGCGTCGCTGGACGTCCTCACACTGTGTGAGGACCTCCAGCGTCTCTCAATTCCCCATAGGAAAGCATTGAAAAGCATTTTCAATGCTTTCCTATGGGGAGCTCTAATGCGCATGCGCATTAGGTCTCCCCGGCCGGCCGGATCAGTCTCGCCCACCGGCCGACGTAATGCAGAGGAGGAGGAGGAGGCGCGGCGGCGGAGGAATAAGCAGCGACGTGGACATGTCCCTGCCTCTGGTAAGTGACTGAAGGGGTTTTCACCCCTTAAGCAACTGGGGATTGGGAGGTGCAAGGTAGAGGGGACCTGCAGTGCCAGGAAAATGGATTGTTTTCCTGGCACTGGAGTTTCCCTTTAACCTTGCAATGTTAATTATTGCCATTTCTGAGAAACTCCAATAATTACCTTTCTGGGCTAAGACTGCCACTAGAGGCGCGTCCTGCCTGTTATGTGACTGTCGCCTGACTGAAACTGGATGTTCTTACGCTCTGCATGAGGACATCCAACAACAGTAAAATCTCATTGTTGCAGGACTTTCCTATGCGGAGGGCGTAATGCACTCGCCGCATCCATTGGGTGACGGGGGGGGGGATCGAGTAAGTACAGTAAGTGTTTATTAACCATTACAGTGGCGGGGGGAGGCTATAGTGCTAGGAATACAGATTTGGATTTGTGGGTTGAGTGAGTTTGCAGGAAAAGTTATTTTACATTACTTTCTAGGTGACCGGTTACTTCTTTTTACTCTGTCATATTAGTAAGGTCTCAATTTGATAGTTCTTGGATAAGCTTTTAAAAGGATGTTTCTTAAAATATCAATTTTTATTTTTTTTACAATAAATCATTAGAAAAGTGTATCCCAAAAATAAATCTAAGCCTTATTTATGAAGTAATTGAAAAATCAGTGGTCAACTTGATGACATTCACATTTGAACAGTATCTCTAATACTAACACCTTAATACCGCGTCATGAAACATGTCCGGCTCCCAATAATTGGTCACTTTTAGTTAAAGCAGCACTGTCCCCCTCCTCCTCCTTTCCCCGTAAAATGATAATTTCCTAAAGACAGAACTTTTATGAAATACTCATTTTGACTGTGTTGGAATTTCACTGAGGTGCCATGAAAAGGATTGGACAAACGAAGATAGGTTTAGTAAATAAATCTCACCTTTACCAGACCGGCCACCAGACCCCCATTGGCAGTGTCACCATCAGGGGTCTTTGCAAATTCGGCCAAGTCCCCAGATGGTGATAGTACCACTTTAAGGAAATCCACTTCATGTTACAAAATGCAGCTGTTTTTTCCTGGTTCTTTGGTTATATAACATTGGATAGAATCAAGATTGTTGCATTACGTTCGGCATGAAATTATCAAATAGATTTCTGATATGTCATTTTATGGCATTATTCTAAAAAAGACTGATGTTATAAGCCAGCAAACCTTACAAATCCTAATTTTCCAAAAGGTTTCCACAACTTTGGCCACTTGTGTATAATAATAGAAGAGTTTAAGGTTTTGTGTACCCACTTCACATCTTAGAGACACAGACCCTCATTTACTCACAGTAGAGAAGCTGGAGGGTTGAATAAAACCCGAATATGTTATAAAATAAAGAGCTATGTTTAACTTGCCAAGTAACATATTCATGCATGGTCTAACCTATAAGGCTCCTGGAGAAGTGGGCACAAATCAGAGGTAAAGAGACACCATAGGCACCCAGACCACTTCTTCTCATTGACATGGTCTGTGTGCAGTGTCCCAGGTCCCTTAATCCTACAATGGTAATTATTGCAGGTTTTGATAAACTGCAATAATTGCCTTGGAGGGTTAACTCCACCTCTCGTGGTTGCCGCAAGGGAGGGGGGCACTTTGTTTTACTGGCACAATAGTTTCCCTTTAACATAATAGAACAGGGATAGGCAACCTTTGGCAGTCCAGATGTTGCGAACTACATCTCCCTTGATGCTTTGCCAGCATTACGGCTGTAGGAGTGCTGAAGGTTGCCTATTCCTGAAATAGAAAATAATTGACTGGTTTATTGAAGGCATTTTTCTTATATAGAAAAGGAAATAATAAATGTGGTACATTTCAGTTAGCTCCACCCCTGGGTTCTGTCTGTGTTTAGTGATTATACCATCTAATCCAGCCCTCCAGATGTTGCTGAACTACAACTCCCATGATTCTCAGCCTATCTATTTCTTTCGTAGAATCATGGGAGTTGTAGTTCAGCAACATCTGGAGGGCCGGAATTTGGGAAGCCTACTCTAATCAGTCTGATATACAGCGCTCAGCAGGGGAATCTCCTTTTACTGAGAAATTACTAAACCAGTGAATATAATAAGTGTATACTGCATGTTTGGCAAAAAGGAAGAACACCAGTGATGGGTGTAATTAAAAGTGAGTGAGTGTCCTATTCCGTTTCCAACAAAACAAGTGATCAGAGTTTAGAAACGTGTTAACTGCTCAATAGAAAATATGACTGAGAAGAAAAGCCTGGATTTTTTTTCCCCTTAGAAGCCAGTGTAGCTTTTTGTATCTCTGTATGTTTTATTTTGTAACATTTATCACTCCGCAGTAATGTTTTGGGAGGGGTAAATGAGACGTGTTCACATAAATTCCTATGTTTTGGCGTTTGTTTGTTTGTAGTTTATATGTGTTTTCTGTTAGCAACTGTTCTGCATTTATTTATGTTCTTGAAATGTATTAGGAAATAAAAATGTTTGTTAAATGCTGAATAAATCAAACTCCTTCCTAATGATCTTATTTAGCTCAGTGGCTTGTATTACCCTCTATCTTCTTATAGTTCTGTTCTAGTAATACTTTTTAGTGGTCATTCAGAAAACAAAAGCAGTTTTTATTTTATTGTTTCATGACAAAAAAAAATCGAATGAGGTAATAATTCCAGTTTTAAAGCAAGTAAACATGGTTTATAAAACATACCTGTTCCAGTCCATTTTACTGGAAGTAAGAGCCAGGCTGTCAGTCTTGCACAGTACGGCGTGTTCTATTATAGACTGGAGTAGATGGGGAGAGGTGTCCTTACCATGTGACACCGTCCTGGCTCCATAGTTCCAGGTTTGAAATGTACACAGATATTGGGTGTGTTGTCTTCTGCTTTCTGCCACTTTGCAATAATGAAATCGGTAAACCATTTAATATTTACAGAGTCTACACTTGCGTATAGGGTTTGTCCATTTGTAAAAATAGTCCTTAATTTCGATGTTTAGCATCTTCATTCTGCTTGTTCTTCTGGTGGAACGACTTCCATCAACATCTGGACAAACATGGTTATTGGCTCTAGAGGTAAGGAAATACTTCACTGAATATTTTGTCATACGTGCTTTTATAGATTCAGTAAGAACATTGGTGGACGATAAACATGCTCAGATAAGCATACAGCCTTGGAGCAGTACTGTCCAACTAAGGTATGGAGCCAACAATCGTACATCCTCCACCCCCAACAGTCTTTTCTTTCTGTTTCATTAAAACTTGTCTACAAAGGTCTCTCTGTCAGACACCCTCTTATCTCTTTCTGGATCTGTGTTTTGGCTCCGTTTCTTGCCCTTATTGTGTCTCCCTTTCTTTCTCTGCATCGGTCTTATTGTCCTATTTATTTGTATGGTGCTCTGTATATTACTCAACTTGTATCTGTCTCTTTGCCTTTCATACGGTTTCTGTCCTTTATTGGCCTAGTCGCTCTCTTAGAATATTTCTGGTTAAATATTGTAACTAGTTGTCATATATCTACTTCTCTTATTTGGCTTTGGCCCTCATATCGCCATTCTGTCCACCAATAGAAATTTTTCTCACAGTCCGCATCATGCACAGTAAAGGGCTGTGACACATCTGAAGACCTGCATAATACGCCCAGTCCAGGCTGCATGTGACCTACACACTTTCTGCAAAGAGGTCAGATGTTAACTCTAAACACAATACAATGAGTTAAGTGCCTACAGCAGTCTGTTTTGTGTGCCTAAAGTTCATGTAACTGAGCAGGAGATAAGAACTTCTAAAGTAAAACACACTGCACTGTAAAAAAAGATGTAAACCATTTTTTCCCCATGTGAGTCACAGCCAAGTGAGTTTTGGCTAGTGCAGCTGAAACAACCTGATTTAATTAAAAATCAGAGAATTGGGCAGAGACAGCAGGGTCATGATATATACACCAAATCTATAAAATTGGGTTGTGGTTTAAAAATAATCCAAGAACCATAACCACTACAGCACACTGTCATGGTTGTAAGGCCAGGAGTGCCCGTTAACCCAGTGTAAGTAGATTTGACAATGTACCAGGGGTCTACTGGGCATTGGTCACTTCCTCTATTTAGAGCCATAAGCTCCTACACAGAGCCCTGATTAGCTCTACTGAGCTAAATGCTGCTGCCAGATGATCGCTGTCAGGCAATGAGCTAAACACTGCGGCTTACAACTCATGGAGGAGGTGAACAGTGTCCTGTGAACCCCAGGTAAGATGTCAAACTTTTGGGAAATGGTTTATATTGAAGGGAGTTGTAGTTCAGCAACATCTGGAGGGCCGGAACAGTACACTGGGGTGTTTATGGTGCTTTGAATGTTCCTTTAACAGGAATAAAAAAAAATCTGTTTTGGATCGTGAGACAATCCATATGGGAGGAAAGTTACAGCCTTGTGTAGTCTGCATGCACGTGGTATTGGAATTCAAATGCAGGTATTATGCAGAAAGTGTTAGCACAGAGGTATGGAAGTGATGGTACAGGTAAGAAGAGAACAGGGTGTAAGAGAAAGAAAAAAAATATATCAAGTGCCATAATCATACACGTACTTGTTATTTTCTGTGCCCATTTTACTTTGTAATGCACAAAGGGGAAATATACGACCAGGCCGCTTAAAATAAACAGCACACAGTAAAGGTAGGCCCATTCCGGTTGGTCAATAATTGGAGCCAACACCAGGTAAATGGAAATGAGAACCATAGCGATAGGGATTACAATTGGAATCTGAAACAGAATGAGAGAAATTATTAAAATACAGGAACATTGTTTAGGTGCCTTTCAAGGGGTCCAGTCAGGTAATAGTGCTATATCAGTACACAGATAATATTTTCCAATTAGAAGGCGTACACAAGCTATTGATCTTAGCATTGTGTATCCTTTAAGGTTGACCCGATGGGCAGTGTGAGAGAGCCCACTATTGGTATATTTGCATGCACCCATGACATCGTCCATGGATGAAATACGTTGCTGTTAGCAGTGTATAACCGATACGAACAACAACTTAGAAGGGACAATGAGTGTAGACCCATCAACTGTGAACAAATATCTCACACAGAACTACCCTAGAGAGAATTTATATTCAATGATCTGTAATGCTACAGAGGGCTCTGGACTTGCAGGAAACATTGTAACATTTTAGCCCTGGTAATTAATAGGGCAATTCTACTAAATGGGGTTTATTTTTCATGCTTGGGATATATCCCGTTTGCAGCAGTATTGCAGCTCTTGGCTATTTAATTGAGCAAGTGGTTGTTGTTTTTTTAATATTGTCCGTGTCTTATTAGAAAAGGACCGGCAATAGCCTGCATAAAGAAACACTTTAAACAGTATAATCACTACAGTTGTTATGGTGCTAGGAGTGCCCTGGCGCTCTCCCACTTTAAAAGGTACACAAAATCTTAAGATTAAAACGTGACCTTTTTTACAGGAAGGAGGCTGTGTGAGTCGCATGTAGGGAGATGGGGTTGGAGCTGACAAAGTGATTTAACCCCTGAATTGCAGAGAACTGAGCAATAACACTGCAGATGTATGATCTATACACCAAAACCACTTCATTAAATAAGTTGTTTTGGTGTTTAGAGTGTCCCTATAAAGCAGGGGAAGTCAACCTTTTTATACCTACCACCCACTAATGCATCTTTCTTGATGGAAACATTTCCTTACCGCCCACCAGCTTTTCGATTTATTTTTTTTTAGTGCCCATGCAGAATATTTTTTAGAAAGGGTGTTTTTTAAAAAAAAATATTTTTTACTTAAATGAATCTTTTTATTTCTACTTTTGTTTTTTTTTGTAAATCTGTTTTTATTATTAGATGAGCATAGTGATATACATCATATAAGGCCAGATGATAACACTGGTTGAAAAATACAGTTCACAAAAACCAAATATCACAGTGTGTTGTTTCATATTTCTTATCTCCCTCTTACATACATTGCTGACGAGTCATTTCTGTCAATTTCTAGCTAATTGCATCCGATACGGACCTCTGAGTTTGCAGGCCCCCTTTAGCCATTCAAGCTTTTGAGTTTCATCGCCGTCAAGGAATATTTATTGTATGCTGTGGCGGCTAGTGAGCCTTGTGTGGGTCTGTGATGTGATACTTTTGCAAGCTTGCGGATCCTATTGTGTGTCTACTAGTATCTCCCTGACTGTAAGTGATGTGTCCGCTATGGTCGGTCTGTGGTTTCGCATGCGTCCATCAATCTTAAGGTGGTCCCTAAATAGAGGGTCTCTTGAGGTCTCATGTTTGGTCCCTAAATCAGCTGTAGTGTGGCGTTTCGTATGAGCTTGGATGTGCTCGTCGCTGGGTTTTCTGCGTTGTATGCATTGTCATAGTGTGCTTGTCGTTCTCTCTTATTTAGATTTGTAGCGTGTGGTCGTGTTTATACTACGCTAGGTTGTTAGTGTGTCCCAAAGTGGGTGTGTAGTTATGTATAAATGTGTGGTTCAGTGTGTCCAGGTCTTATTAGTGTTTATCCTATCGTTCTGGTTTCGGATCACGAGGGTTTGTTCGTCTCTCCTTCCCCCTGTGGGTGGTAAGTGTTCCTAGTTTCCCATGTCTGGGGCCTTTCCTCTGTGTGTTGCATTCTCTGTCAGTACCGGCCGTATTGTTCGGAGTTTGGTTCCTGTGTGGTCCCACCTTCCTGCATGTTTCTGCCCCTCTCAGGCTCTGCGCGGTATAATAGTGGTTTTATGGATGGGTAGGTGGGAGTGGGTAAGGGTGGGTTAGCTTAGCGGCCGACGCGCTCGGGCCCCTTTCCCCGTCTCTCCTCGTACCCCCTCCTCCCGTATTTAGTCGTTGGTTGCGAGCTGAATTATATATACATACCAGGGTCTCCATTGTTCTATGTGCTTGTCTCTCCCCCCTTAGATCTGCCATTTTGGCTTCGGCTATTTGTATGTCTTCCACCCTGTATCTCCACTGCCTGGCTGTTGGTGGGTCTCTCTTTTTCCAGAAAGGCGGTATGAGTGATTTTGCAGCGTTGAGTAGGTGTCATAAGATCTTTTTTACTCCGAGAGCGGTACTTCTGTGTGGTGTATGAGGGCTGTTTCCAGGGTCAATAGAGAGAGAAATACAGTATGTTTTGTATTTCTCACTCTTTCTTCCCAGTACGGTTGAATTTTTCTGCAGTCCCACCAGATGTGTCAGAGTTCCATTCTCTTCGCCGCAGCTCCAACAGGTATCTGGGGTGGTCGGATTGGTCTGATGCAGCAAGGACAGTGTACGGTACCAGTGTGAAATCAGTTTGTAGTTTACCTCTTCGTAAAGGGAGCTTGTTGAGCTTTTGTGTTGTAGCAGAAGTATTTTTCCCCATTGGTCGTCCGTATTGGTTCTGGCGGTTAGTTCTTCCCATCGTCTTTTGAACAAGTCTTTCTTCTTCCATTCTCCTGTAATTAGGCGTTGATATATGATGGAGACTGTACCTGCATTGTCCGGTGTGTGGGAGCAGAGTGTTTCATACCAGGTTAGGTCCCTGTGTATTCCGTGTCTGTGTGGTAGGTTATGGTAAAAATGTTTCAGTTGTGCATAGTGGAATTGGTGCATTAGCGTTAGTGCCCTTCCTTCTGTGATCTCCTGTGTCTGTCAGTACTGCTTGCAGAGGGATATATCCTTCTTGGTCCGCTAATGGCCATGCTGATGGTGGGAGCCCATCACCTAGGTTTGGGTTATGGGTGATGGGAATCAGCGGGCTCAGTTTTGGTGAGATATAGGGTGCTTTCCTCAGTCTGGTCCATGGTTTTAGGGTTTGCGTGATGGGAGAGTCCTCCCTAAGGTTTGTCGTTGCCTCTGATTCTCTGTGCCAGATTACCGTAGGAAGGTGGTTATCTACGATATCTCTGTTTAGCGAGACCCAACGTTTGTGGGGTGTGGCAGTGTGCAATTCCCTGAGACGTTGCAGTATCGTTGCCTGAGCGTATTTGCTGAAATCTGGTTGGGCCAGTCCACCCCATTCTCTTGGGAGGCACAGTTTTTCATGGCTGATCCTTGCTCTGTCTCCCTTCGACACATAGCGGAGGATCTCCGTTTTGAAGAAGATTTGCGGTATTATCCAGGGTGTGGTGGTGTGGAATAGGTACAGTATCCTGGGTAGGATGTTCATCTTCACTACCGCCATTCATCCCTGCCAGCAGATGTGGTTGTAGTTCCATTTCTTGAGGTCTCCCAGAACGTTGGTTAGCAGGGGCGCGTAGTTGTGAGCGTACAGGTCTTTCGCCGCTGGGCTGATCCATAGTCCTAGATATTTCATGTGGTCTGTGCACCAGTAGAAGGTGAACCGTTGTTTTAGGCGCGCACATTCAGTTTCCGGCACCGTTACGTTTAGTATGTCGCATTTGGATAGGTTTTGTTTAAGCCCTGATTTGGTTTCCATATTTGCGAAATTCGTCCATGAGCTGTGGGATGGATTCGAGGGGGTCGTCCAGGAAGAACAGCATATCATCTGCATAGGCAGCCACTTTATTTTCTTGTGTTATGTACTTCAGTCCGGTTATCGTTGGGGTTCTCCTAACTCGATCTAGGAATGGCTCTATAGGGCTTTGCTCAGAGGTGCTAATGGAAAACTCCTACCAAACACATCTGGAGCGGCGACAGGTGGATCCAAGGTAAGAAGTCAAACCATTAACAAACCAGGGCACATATGGTATGTTGTAGTGGTTATGGTGCTCAGAGTGATCCTTTAAGATTACACAAAATGACAAAGGATCCCTTTTATGTACAATTAACAGTAAACAAAAATGAGGATTAAAAGAGATTCTTAATCAGAGAAAGCAATTACACTACATTCAGGATATTTTCTCTACCTTAATAGGTCGCTTCATATCCTTCTTTGTAAACCTCATAACCACAAGTCCAGCTATTGTTAAACCGTAGAAAATCCAAACCGCAAAACTGAAGTAGTTAATGAGGGTGTTGATGTCCGCTGGGATGATGTATATCATTCCTACTATACCCTGGAAAATAAGAGAAGGGAATTAGCTGTAAACTCCCACAAATGCTACTTGAATCCCATCACCCTAGCAGATAGATTCTAGGACTGGTATACAGGTACTCCTCATTTACTGACGGGGTTCCGTTCTTACAACCCAGTTGTAGAACGAATTGGTCGGTAAGTGAGGAGTTGAGGGATACCCTGCTCTGGTGCGCTTGTTTATGTTCAGGAAACATTCCCTGAACATAGACGAACGCAGCAGAGCAGGGAATCCCTCTAATCTCCACGACGGCTCGCACTTACCATCACGCTAGAGATCTGGTTGTAAGTGTAAGCCGTCGTAAAATGAGGACCACCTGTCATGCACAAACACTGCATCAGAAAGTAAATTGGTTTTCTGTTGAGCAGGTTTTTGTACCTACTGCGTGACACACTTCACTAAGTTTTATTGTCACCCCCAAATGCCCCGAGGTCCCCCATTTTACCTTTTTTCAACTTTGTTTTCCCCCTGTGGGACATGTCATCGACCCACTGTGAAATTCCAGTGCATACCCAGTAAAACACTGGGCATTTGCTATTGTCCAATATTCGGGAATTTCGGCTATTCGTTCATTTTTCAGAAAGACGAAAGAACAAATAAAAATTACAAAGAACGAAAATCAACAGACAATAGGGTCCACCTTTTTGTCAATCACTGCTCGTGGGTGGGGGGGCTAGACATTAGATACCCCCACCTTTTGTCACTAAGGACCTCTACCCACCGCTATTGGGTGGGGACCAGAGGGGGACACTAGGTCCCTCATTTAGTTTAATAGCCCCCACTCAGAGCATGTGTGCAGGCTCGGGGTGACACTATATGTCCCCCCGTTAATTATTTTAATACGTGCCCCAGCATAGGACACTTGGATTTGGGGGGAGTCTTTGTTTGTTTATAACAGTGAGCAGCCACAGGCTGCGCAGTTTTGTAGGCAGGCCCCTACTCGTGGCATAGGGAGTAGGGGCAGGAAGGAGATTTTAATCTCCCTTATTTACTAATACCAAGTAAAAATGACTTTATATTTGTAAAGTTGGCTGAAATCAATTTTGGTAATTCAGCTTTTTAGTAGACAGCTCCGTAATACTATGGGAATTAGGAGGCATCTACTAAACGGCTTCAAGAATCAGATCGGAATTTCATTCTGTAAATGGGATTACGAAATTTATTTGACCACAGGAAATGGAGCGGACTTGAGCTCCTCCTTTGGTTAAAAAAGGTCAAGTGTAGCAAAAATACATCAAAGTCCCTACTTTGTCTTATGTTTTCAAGAAAACTAGATCAGAACTCAAGACAAGAAGAATATGTCACTTACATAGAAAGTAATTGCAGGAGATGGGGTCAAACGTTTGACACTGATGTAAGAAAGAAATTTCAACATGTGGCCTTCACGTCCAGCAACATAAGTTAACCTGGGGAGAAACACTTTTATATTTAATTCTCTGCAACGGGGATCTAGCCAAATCACTGTTTTATTTGCCTCCAAGAGCAAAGCTGGTTGTTATATACGGGTTTACACAGGATATTCAAATATTTTGTTTAGGTGTATCTCTTAATTTATTATCTTGCTAAGAATATAAATTCATTTGAATGGTTACAAAAGAATTGCTAATGATATCAGAGTATGTATAAACACACCAATCATAGTAAAAAGAAAAGAGTTAAGGCTAAAGTTCACAATCTGATTAGTGAACTATTTCTAAGGTTAGAGTTAGTTTGGAGAAAGATATATTATCTGTATCATTTGACGGGGTTGTAAGGTTCTATCCTGATTGGCAAACACAAGAGAATGTATTGGTTAGCACATAACCCTGTTTTTGCATGTGAGAATTCAAAGTAGCTGTACTGAAAATTCTCTCTGTCTGCTCTATTACCAGGTTGGCTACTTTGGCCTTAAATTTGAAATTCACTTTGAAACTTTAGTAAATAATCCCGAAAGAGTCCATTATAAAACCAACTAAACACCCGTAGATTTATTTTATAGCAGACAAGAGGATGCCTGCAGCTGCCATATTTGGTCATAATCTGTGTTCTGATTGGAAGCCTGATATTTGCAGCCAATCAGAACAAAGATTGATTTCGGTTTTTTTACCAGTCTCTATGCACCTTTTCCACATTGACATGATAACCCACTGTAATCGGACCAACCTTCCGTTTCCATATTGGGGCTTTTTTTCCCCCCCATATCTTTACACGTCTCTCTGTTTGTTATTTCATATTACAAACTTTAGTATTGATAGACGTTACTGACCCTCCAATTAAAATAATTCTGGTTTATATTTTACTCTCTCCTCTGACTCTGGTTCACTCCCACCTTATTTGATTGCTATTTCTTGTCCTAATGTGTTTTACACCCCACCTCCTATAGAATGTAAGCTTGTTGGAGCAGGGTCCTCTTCAACCTATCGTTCCTGTAAGTTTTCTTGTAATTGCCCTCTTTATAGTTAAATCCCCCCTCTCATAATATTGTAAAGCGCTATGGAATCTGTTGGCGCTATATAACTTCTGACAGCCCCTGATTAACGCCCAGCCCTCTGTGCAGTAATACTTTGATATTATCTGCACAGAGTACAGGGAGCATCATTCAGAATCTCTGATAACATTAACACCATACCACTTAATGCATCTAAATACACTGAATAGATATGGAACACAACACTGTCATAGTTTCTAATTTTCCATAACGCTGCAGGCTGTTTATTGGCAACTTGGACAGTGAAGGGGTTATCAATACTGGTGGCAGCTAATGCATTCCTTTTCACAAACTGCTTTAATAGCTTGTCAAATCGAGCTGGTTGATAGTCTGGGCAGAGGCTGTAGAGATGATCTCACATTCTCTGCTTTATATTTATCGAGTCGAAAATTCCTAAGTACGTCAACTGCTGCTACTGCAGTAAGAGATCATTAGAGCGCCATAACAGCTATTACCCCGTGCACAGATTATGGGGCAAACAACTCTAATGTAGATATTCACTAACCTGCCAGCGGTAAAACAGGAACCGTTTGCAGATCCAATGGTTGAAAATGCAACAAAGAGTGGGACCATCCAGGCTGCAGGATGTAGAACTCGATCACCAAAGGTCTGTCAATACAAAACAATGTTTCAAGTGATGTAGCTTATGAGTTAATGTTTAGCTGATGCAAGTCCTTACAGAGAAACTCTCTTTAGTCAATGATGTGATTGTTAGTTTTCCAGAATACCTTATCACTATAGACCCAAACCTCTGCCCTGGGCCGTGTCGTACCTAGAGCCATATGGACACGGACCTCGAGCCCTGTGCCGCATCGTATCTAGGGCGGTGTAGACACTGACCTCTTTCTTGTTGTGTCAGCTCCAGCCTCCCTTGTCTTCTCAGTACTCTATCTCAAGTTATCAGGAAACATTTATTTGTAATGAAATAGAATGAGATGAGAATTTAAAAATGTAACCGAGTGGATGTTTTATCAAGTACTAAAATTAAACAGATTTTTTTTTGTTAAAAGTGTAAGTAAATGAGAAAAACCTCATCCCTACCTTATTAATAAACCATTAACGCTGTGTTATAGTTGTAACACAGCAGAGAATGGCGTTTGATCACATATGCCTGGAGCGAGTGGGTACCACAGTTTACACCCTAGCACCTAGCCATAAATTCTAAGAGGTGTCATTAACAAATGGCATCCTTATGAGAGGAACGAGAATACATCTCTATTTTACCTTTGCTCAAACATACATAAAGTTAAATGCCACCCTTTGCTGTTTTAATATATTAGTATATATAACTAATATATAATACATTTTTTTCTGCAAAAACTAAACATCTCGAAGCAAACAATAATAATAAAAGCATTTTACAAATATCTGATTTAAAAGGGACACTACAGACCCCTAAAGCAGTTTACCTTGCTAAAAAGCTTTGTGTGTGAAGAGTGTCCCCTACTTTTTTCATTTTGCAAAAAGTGCAGATTTCAATATAAATTTAGTCTTTTATAAATTAACCTGGTTACACCACCTGGCTTTCAAGCAGGCAGCCAGTTCTTGTTACTTCCTGGTTTGGTTAGCTCAGTGGAGCTAAACTCAAGAGGCAACGATGGCCCAGAACACCTGCCTTGCAAAGGCTTCTCATTGAGCTGCATTGGGAAGTCTGGGATTGGCCAGTCACAGAAAGTCTGGGCAGGGTTAGAAGGGGAGGGTGTAATGGTATTTATTAATTAATGACTTTACGTCATAAAGAAAGCATATCTAGTGTAATGCCTTGAAGACACCACTAGGGGCAGTGTGTAGGAAGACATGTGCTTCTGACAGTGATATCACAGGCCAGCCTATTTAGGAATACACTGAATAAAAAACAGATGTAGGAGAAACTCTATCTCTTTGCCTGTACCTGACTGAACCTGATGAAAGATGTAGTACCAGCTCTGACTTAACCAAAGGGCTGGGGCCTTGTAAGTAATATGTTGTAGTTTTGTATTGTATAATTATTGTGGTAAATTGACATTCTGCTAGCATCTGTTTATTTATTATAGTTATATTAAATATACATTTAATATTACAACGTTTTGTGTATTTTCTATCCACATATTCAACCATAATACCATGAACTATAAAAATATTAATGTTGTTCTGTATTGCTTAATTATTATGTATTAAGAGATTAATATTCATATTTAAGTCACAACCACAACAGAGGGCTTGCAAAGGCAGCAGACCTGCAGAATTCAGATTTTGCAAGCTGTTTTTAGATTTACCCACAATAATAAAAATACAAAAATAAAACAATTAAATGCATGCAAGTTTTCATTGGGAAGTATATCTACTAAACAGTAATTTATATTTATTTTGTTTTTGGGCAGTGGAGTGTCCCTTTATTTTGTTATAACTAAGGCATGACTTGCTTCCAAAGAGGTTTTAGATGGTTCTGGCCTGTATTTTTGTGTCTATATATTCCAGAGTAACTCACCACGGCCACTGCTGGCGACTGGAGGAGTTCCGTTGCAGTCATAACCGTGAAATAGGAGATGTTTATCAGCAGGTAACACACGATGATAACTGGGATCCCAATTATAATGGAGAGAGGGAGATTTCTAGAAAATATAAAATATACATATTGATCGTGGTGAACTCATACAGCCTTATAATTAGCAGGCCTTTGTTTAGATCAGGTCTTTCCAACATGCGCTGAATGTGAATCATTAAGAACACAGTATTCCTCGCAGTGTGCACACATGAAATCAATCTGCTACATTTTACGCTTTGTTGAGGTTTGCAATTTCAGGGTATTAAATATTAGCAGGTACATAAATTTAATCCAGGGGTGCCTTTTTGTTTTTTTCTCTCCTAATCTTTCCTACTTTTGTAAAGGAAATCTATAGTAAAAAAAGATTAATTTGGTAATTAAAGGGACACTATAGTCACCAGAACAATTACAGCTTTATGTAGCCATTTAGGTGAGTATAATCATTACATTCAGGCATTTTCATGCAAACACTGCTTTTTGGCCCTTCCCTGCCTCCTTATCAGTAAAAATCATACATTTTAAAATCAGCAAGGAGGTGGATCATAGGTGGGGCTGGTGTACAAGCGAGGCGCAGGAAATAAATTAGGTTCTATTACCTTTTAAGGGGGGAGGGGGGGTGGGCAAGCCACTTAAATGTGGCTTTAATACTATAGAGTCAGTATTAGTGTTCCTGACCCTATAGTGTTCCTTAAAGCCCCTTTTCACATTGTATAACTTGAATATTGATAGACCTATACGATCAATTAAGTTAAAAAAAAAAATTACAATTCTACACAACCAGTAAGTAGGCCCCATAATTTGTGTGAAATAATAAAAATACTAAATTTAGAAAAATTGTTACAGTTAAAGGACACTATAGGCACAAAAACAACTTTAGCTTAAAGGGACACTCCAGGCACCCAGACCACTTCAGCCCATTGAAGTGGTCTGGGTGCCAACTCCCATCAACCTTAACCCTGCAAGGTAATTATTGCAGTTTATGAAAACTGCAATAATTACACTTGTAGGGTTAAGTCCTCCTCTAGTGCCGGTCTATCAGACAGCCACTAGAGGGACTTCTGGGTTCTTATAACCCGAAAAAGGGTTTTAAACAGCACTGGACGTCCTCACGCTATGTGAGGACCTCGAGCATCGCCGGAATCCCCCTAGGAAATTATTGAATAATGCTTTCCTATGGGGAGGTCTAATGCGTGCGTTCAGCCATTTCCGCACATGCGCATTTGGTCTTTCCGTCAGCTGACGTCGGCGGGGGAGAAGCGTGGGTGGAGCCTGACCCAGCACCGAGGGACACGGCACTGGATTCAGGTAAGTCACTGAAGGGATTTTAACCCCTTCAGCAACATAGGATGGGGGGCACTGCAGGATCCTGCAGTGCCAGGAAAACGGGTTTGTTTTCCTGGCACTGGAGAGTTCCTTTAATGAAGCAGTTTTGGTGTATAAATCAGGCCCCTGCAGTCTCACAACTCAACTCTCTGCCATTTTGGAGTTAAATCACCTTGTTTACACAGCCCTAGCCCCACCTCCCTGTATGTGAATTGCACAGTTTCCCTAAACACTTCCTGTAAAGGGACATCTGATGTTTAAACTTCCTTTATTTTACAGTCTGTTTAAATTCCAACGTCTTATCTCCTGCTCTGCTAAGTCTTCTAGACACTGCAGCAGCCGCCTGTGTGTGATTAAAGTTCAATTTACAGAGCAGGAGATAAAATCTTCTAACGTATGTTAACATCTGATTGAAAATTAATTAAACGTTTATTTTGTGCAGACTGTGTCAGTCACAGCTAGGGGAGCTAAGTGATTTAACTCCTAAATGGCATATAACTAAGCAGACTGTAGGGCACAATCTATACACTATAACTGCTTCATTAAGCTAAATTTCTTTTGATACCTATAGTGTCCCTATAAAAATAAAATAAAAACAGAAAAAGACTGTTCCTAGGCTATGGCTGCAATAATTCAAATCTTACTGAACCAGTGAGTCCATTCTACACAATCTCTGAATTAACTGGTCTAGTTTAGACTCATATTACACTCTGTAAGAGAGTTGTTTATTAAATGCCAAAATGTATGATGCGTCACATTATATAACAATTAAACAGCATGCGTGTAGGCAATGTTGCACCCTTTCTGGAACTCAATGGGTTAACTATATCCTTACCAAACGGGGTATAAAATACACAGCTCACGTTAGCGGAGAATGAATTAAACAGGAGGTTTCTTTATCACCTAATCAATATCCACACTGGGAGCTACATTTTCTATTTGTTTATTAGGAATAGGTAATGAATCCAGTTTACAGCTTGCATCATAGATACCTGTATGGATTTTTAAGTTCCTCTGTAATATAATTGAGCTGGTTCCTAAGGAGGAGAAATAAAGTGGTTGTATCAGCAAGGTGAAGGGAGCCAGCAGATTTATGAGATGCATGCAATTCATCTGTGTACATTTCATTAAGGATTCCAAGAAGTAAAACGGATTAGGAATTGATTACGAATTAACATATGCTGGGAGGTGTATCAGCAAGTGCTTCCTGGCCGATCCATGAAACAGCCTGGCCCGTGTGCCTACTCAACAACTATTAGTGAGCAAGCTGTGAATTTAAAGTCAGATAGCGGCAATCATATTCAGAGCAGCTTCTTGTAATACAGCCATAGATCTCGCATAATGCAACCATCGCATGTCACCTGGGAGCTAGCTAGAAACTGCATCCATTAATGTCGCCAGTATTTATCATCGGATTTCATTGCCCACCAAAAAAATTAAATAAACACAGAACAGGCATGTAAACGCTACATAAAAACTGTCCCCAACACATTTCACAGACAATGTAACGTATGGTTCATTTTCAGTACTGTCTGGGTTCTTTAATTAATTACAAACTCCTCTAAGCCTGCTATGTTCACTGTAATGTCGTTATAATAATTGGAATTCCTGACAATTTATTATTTTGTGAATAAGTCCTGTGAGTGATATTCCCAATTCTATTTTCGTGTTACTAAGACCAATAGTTATAAGTTTTACCAAACAGGGATGGGCAGAATTTTGAATTTTCTTTCTGCAGAAATTAATTAGAAAACTTGTAGCTCCAATCATGTAGTCTTGCTGTTAACGAGGCCCTTTTCAATTTACTCTTGTTTTTCCAGAGATTAGCAGTGGATTTCACCTGTCCTGTCCACCACAGTTTAGGACAATTTGTTCAAATATCTCTTAGCCCATTTGGTGATTTGATGTGCTTATTGGAAATTGATTTGGTGCCGTTTACTGCTCCAAGGAAGACGAGATCTCATGGAGCATCATGTATCTAGGAAAATATTTGCCTTATGAAGACTAGAGAAACAGGACAGCATCGCTGCTGTCTTCTGATCTATTATCGGTTATGGAGCCACCATGTTTTCTTCCCTCAATATAAGAGGATATTAATTTGTTAGCTCATCACAGTGCTATGGCCATACTCCACTGGAGTTTGGCTTCTTGTGTCCTGCCTGCAGCAGTGAACCAATTTTAAGCCCTATTCTGGACTACCTACAAGACTTGTGGAAAAGGAATTAAAGACAAGTCCCCATTTTTCAAAATGTGCTTTACTTTTACAAATTTTGCATCATAACAGTGTAACGATCCATTCAATATTTCTTTCTACATTCAGTCTTCGAAAACCATTAAAAAAAAAAATGTTTAGTCATCAATCTGAACATTAAACAGGATGGGCAACTGTTCCTCATGTCACATAATTCTTATAATCTATTCGATGTTATGCACGTACCAGCCGTTGTGGCAGCACAATCTTGTTTATCTAACCTATGCACGAATAAAATAAAGAATTAAAAAAACAAAAAAACAACAGGATGTGCAAAACATCTGAGAGCAAAGTAAAAGTATTACATGTCAAGAACACAAAGAATGAGTGATGGCAATTCTTCTGATGATATTTTCTATGTGGCAATGAGATTTCTATATGTATTACAGACACCCCTGTATAGACAGTTGATAGTGAACTCACAATGAAGAACAAACTCACAGACCATCAGAGTTCAATATTTCTAAATTTAGCCAGAAAACATTATACATACACAGTATTTGAAAATAGCATTAAAGGGACACTATAGTCACTCAGACCACTTCAGCTCAATGGGAGACACAATTGTAACAATTAAACTATTTAGACATTGGATTCAATAAATATACTTTTTTTTTTACAGAAAAGGATTAAAGTTATAATGATCCTTTCAATATGAACTGCACTAATCTTTTCTTATAAGCTGTGGCAGCTGGTGATAGGGGGAAAAAAAATAGTCGCTTACCATCCATCATATGCCCAAAGGCCGTTGTAGAGAGCCAGACCAATCCCCCCGGCCGTGATCTGGGACCCCTCAAAACTGTTCACAAAGTTTTCTGTATTTCCTGAAGAATACAAAATATAACTCATTAAATGCCGTTCCTGTAGAAAAATTTAATTATAAATTGTTTGATTGAAATGTTGTCTGTTTAATTGAAGGACATGCAAGTGGCTTTAGATATTGTTTTTTTTGTAGAGTGGCCGGCACAATACTTATATTTACCCATATTGCTTGTGGAGTTAATTCTTCTTGAGAGAATAGTAAAATATTGAAGATGTGCACAATATTAAGAAGTCAGATTGATCCACCTCCATTGAATTTTATTGGTGGTGAAATTAGCACAATGAGGTGGGTTTTAAGCTGCGAACTCTCCATCACTTAGAATTAAGTGTAAAATTTGAGGTGTACCATTTTAGTTCAATTATTTTTCTCTCTTTTGTTTAAGACGTTTTATATGTACTTTTCCCATTATGTTTAGTGTGTGAAAGACTGTGTCGCAATCGCTATTAAGATAATAGCAGGAATAATCATTTCTACATATACCAAATGTTAAGAAAACTAATTTCCATTATGTAAAAGCTTTATTTTTGGAACGTTCTGCCTTTTAAGAGACAGTGAGAATTGAGAGAAAGTGAGAATTCAAAGTGAATTTCAAATTTAAGGCAGACTAAGATCATTTTTGGGAATGCACTTTGAATTCTCACTACCGGGTCCTGAATTTATTGGTATCCTTGAGAGTGGAACTTTATACCCACAATACACAAGTTTGAACTTTAAATTCTCACTACAAAAACTTCCACTTAATATTATTTTTTTTTATTTATTTTTTTAAAGCGCATCATTTTTTCAGTTATTTATTCAATTTTTTTTTTTTTTAATTCTTTATTTTTTCTGTGCATGGAAATAACAAGCATGTGTAATGTGCCACAACAGCACGCATAGTTTATCTATCAATATTCACAGTTTGGCACTAAAGTACTGCACTTTTTTTTTTGTTAACAGTTAGGTACAAGCCATACACATTTATAAGCATATGTTGATTGTGATAGTGTATTAGGAGAGTAGCTTAATGCATGTTAGGTGCAGCTTGTTGTGTATGAATGAGTGGCATGTACGTGACCTGGTTGTCGTAGGTGAATCATGCTATGCCTCAATGAGATATGTGGAGATATTGTGTATGCTAAATGCAGGATATTCATGGGCTAGGTATAGCGCATGCCTGTGTGGTTTGTGTACATAGCAGGCGAAGGAAACATTTCTTATGCTGGGCATATGGGCTTGTCTCATGAGAAGTGCTAAACAGAACATAAATAAGGAGCATGGCTAAAGAGCAGAAATAAAGTAAATCGGTCAGGCAGTGCATATTACATTAGCGAGCTGAGGTAACTATAGACATAGGAACGGTGTATTAGTTGTAGCCTGTACGGTGGGATAATGCTTTATCACTGCTTATGGGCTTGTAGGAGCATAGTCCGTCTCCGGTGCAGTCCATCTTGATTAGCCAATGCCGGCTCTGGAGGCTTGACATGTGGGCCAGATACATTGGTAGAGTTGGGGCCGTGGCCATGCTCCGTCACCCGTAGGTCCTGGAGGGGCTCTCTGCCCGTGTCTGCCGCTGGTAGGGAGCTGTGCTGCATTGCGGTGAGCCACGCTGCTGACAGGGTTAGTCGCGCTTCGTTGGTCGGAGGATTCCGGTGCCGCTGAGTGATGAGTAGGCCAGGCAGGCTTGGTGGTCTCGCTCTGGTGTATGCGAGGGCGAGTGCCGAGGTCTGAGGGCTATGTCACCGTTTCATGCCACTCTGGTCTCCGACTTTTTCTCTGTCTGGAGGCCGCTCTGGAGGCTCGGGGTGGGTATCTACATAGGCGGCGCCGGGTGGCCAGGCGAATCCATGCCGCCATTTCCCTCAACACCAGGTGGAAGTGCTGTCCATTGGTGCAGAGTTTTGTCCATAGGTTGGCCATACCCGGAGGAGATTATATGTAGAATATTGTTCTATTTGTGCCCAGCAGGCTTCCACACGTCATGGATTTATTTTGCCTTTTACGGAGCAGACTATAAGCTACGTGCTCTGTCATGTGAAGTTTTGATATGTTTATGGAAATACTCAATCTGTATTTTAAAAAACAACAAAAAAAAAACAACATACCTTGTGCTAGCAGTACAATACCGCTCACTATAATAACTATGATGATAATCATCTTGGCGGCTGTCAAAACATTCTGGACATAACTTGCCAGCTTCACACTAAGTGCATTGATGGTTGTGATGGCCACTAAAACGTAAGGAAAATGAATGGGTTAGTCATATAGAATGGTATGCAAACAAGGGAAATGGACCAATCACAGAGTCCCGGATTTAGCGGACTTTCAGCGGGTGTGAAGGGTTTACTTTGGCAGACTAAGTGGAACTATAGAGAGTCAATAAATAAACATTCCAAACACGTCAAGCACTGTAGATTGCTGAAATACTTTGTGTAAAAGGGCCTTTTGTCTTATTATGTAAAAAGTGCTAATTTCAAAAGCAATCTACCCTTCTATATATGTCCTAAATTACACCCTCCCAGCTATCAGTTCACTTGCCTCAAGCATTAACACAAAGCGAAAGTGGGGGCTTTCAATTCAATGCTTCTCTATTCCAAGCATTCTATTGGTGCGAGGATGCATTGAATTGGCCATGAGATCCTCACTATGGGGCAGAGTTGAGCTGCGGTGAGATAACAGATAAATAACCTATTAATTTTAGAGGTGGGATGGGCACAAAATCCAAACAGACTATGCACTCCAGCATTAGAAATAAATGTATTTGTCAAGGTAGTGGTGGGTCAGGAAGAGTCTCTCTGCACTGGGTTCAGATTCAAAGGGAATGAAAGTATTAGGTCTCATTGCACCTACCGCCATCTCAAACAAATGGGAGCATCTTAGGTGAGATTAGACTATTTTTTACATTTGGGAACAATTTGATTGTTTTGAATCGCATTTTATAAAATTGTGTATGTTTTACTTTTCCATGGTGACCAGAACAAGAAGGACAAATGGAACCCCATTTTGGAGACTACTTACAGATAGCAGCAGCCGCCAGGCATTTAATGACTACCACTGGAGGGGTGCATCCTGGGTAAAATGGGGCAGACGCGTACTCTGCAAAGCTGAGGCAGATGATGGCAAACGATGACGGTTTCATCACAATGACACTGGCCCAGGAAAACAGGAACGCAGGGATGGGGCCAAAGGCTTCCATGAGGTATGGATACTCTCCCCCGGACTTTGTGATCATTGTTCCAAGTTCAGCAAAACACAGAGCACCTCAAAATATACACAGTACAATCACTGGGGTGCATTACATAAAACATTTGTTACAACAAACAAAGATATAAACAGCCAAGTAACAAAGTGGATCTTTTGTAGCTCATGAGAGGACAGAATTGAAAATAATCCAGTGGAAGCTTGATGTAAGAACCTACAGCTATGGAAGTGTGAACATTGCGAAGCCCAATGTCTTTAATTTATAAAGTTATATATAAAATTCTAAAAATATACTTAGAAAATCAAAAGGCTATCGAACAACTTAGTAGCAAAATTCAGCCCATAATTGCCAAGTTGGAAATAATTCCCCTGTTAGAAAACCTTCCTCGGTTCTCTGGCATTTTCGGGTACATAGGCTTAATTCACTAAACAGTAAACTGAAACTTAAATCTGTACTCATTTACCCAATGTTGAGATCACGCCACAAACTGCCCAGATGACAAGACATGGTCCCACGGCCCCTGTGTTTCTAAGCACTGATTTGGGGGAAATAAAGATTCCAGATCCAATAATGGTACCAACTATAAGACTGACCCCACTTATCAGACCGACCTGTAAGAGAAGAAAAGGAGTCGAGTCAAACACATATTGCAAAGAATGGCTGCGCATGGCAATGATAAAGATGTGGTTTATCCAATTATTTACTAGCTAACTAAAGTTAAAAAAATGGTGTCGAGGAAAAAGATCATTTAGATAAATTTCCAGAAAAGGTAAGGACAGGGAGGTTGCATTCAATAACTTTACATGATTCTTACTTTTGTTACATTTTTGGAAACACTAACAAACTTTAACTGGGAAAAAAGAAAGATTAGCAGAGAAGCATCACAGATCTGTTATTACATTCTGCTCCCCCATTGAATAACATCGCCATGTCTGAGATCACACTTTTAGTGGCGGTTACCCTGACAGCCACTAGATGGTGCCTCCTTTCCCAGCACAGAGATTGATTATTGACGTTGGATGTCCTCATACATTGCATGAGGTCATCGAACATTCTATCAATCCATCTCATACAGAGGTATCTAATTGGTTAATTGTGGAAAATGCTACGTAAGCAGCATAGGTCCAATAATTACGTGAAAAGTGTACAGAAGGATCAGCGCTTAAAAACTTAAATAAAGGCAGCACACTTAAAGGATAGGCCTCCCTCATAGGCCCTATAGGTAAATAGGTAAAAGGAAGGAGACAAAGGTGGCGCCACAGCAATAATATATCAAATGAAATCTAAGCAAGTAGTAATATAGAAATAAACAATGACATATAATACAGAGAGAACAATAAAAATAATAATCGGTGTGTGTGTGTGTGTGTGTATATATAAACCTTGGGATGAGAGAACAATCACAGTTCTATCTGAGGTAGAGACGTCTATGTAGTAGTGGGATCAAAGAGTTCGTGGGATCCATATGAAAAAGCCATTTTATCTTTATTTACCATTTTTATTATTTTACTACCTGGCATCCGAGTTTTACTTGTTCTTGCGAGATACTACTCCACAGCATCCTTGGTGGGGATTATACCACTTACGTCCTATCATTGAGCAGTGCGACTGCCCAATTAAATGTGAGTAACCATTTGGTATTTTTATACACTCTTCTGGTTTTATCACAGTGAGCACTATTGTTGCTTTTTGTTACATTATATGGTCCCCATCTGACGAGATATCTACTTACAACACTCCCTCACGTATCCCATAAGTGGGGATTTATACCACTGAACGCGGTTTATACTAGAGCTAGCTTTTAGCTCTCAAAAATGTGAGTAGGACCATATGGACCTCTTTTATCGGCTGCTACCTATTTGGGTTTTATTACACTATTAGATTTTCTTTTCTCTTTCATACGGATTCTACGAACCCCTCGATCCCACTACTCCATAAACAGCTCTACCTCAGATAGAACTGTGATTGTTCTCTCAACCAAAGGTTTTACTGGACATAAAATATATATACACACACACACACACACACATACATACATACATATATATACACACACACACACACACACACCCCGATTATTATTTTTATTGTTCTCTCTCTGTATTATGTCATTGTTTATTTCTATATTACTACTTGCTTATATTTCATTTTCTATATTATCTCTGTGGCGCCACCTTTCTATCTTTCCTTATACCTATAGGTCCAATACTGCTCCTCTATGAGAAGGGTTTTATTGAATGAAGGCAAGACGCAATTGTGATTCGGTTCAGACTGCGGATATCGGTGCTGGATTGAAAGTACGTTTTCATATTAAATCAAGGTGTAATTGGTCCAAAAATGGGAGCTCCATAAATCAAACTGAAAACACCAGCACAGACTGAAAGTTAAGACATCAATATTTATCGTTCACTATAGTTTCGCCTTTAATTGTGGAAGGACAACTTTTTCCAGTTCTGGAGACAGCACAGCCCTCAAATGTGTGCATGCCTTGCTGACGATTCGAGGGATCACTATAAACAGAACTGTAAACTGACTGTGAAGACGCCAATAGCATATCTGTATCTTAAAGTGGTAGATTATGCTAACGTAGTGTACCTGTAATCTTCATTCTGCTTCCCACCCTGGGTCTTTATTTCTCACATTATTCTAATTGTTCATACTAGTGTAGAATATACTTAGATTTAGTGTCGTTAACGCTACCAGTTTAATGGAGTATATTGTTCCGGTTATATGGCGAGTTAAATTAAGTAACTAAGTAATTATGTCATATTTATTTAGGTCATCTGTCTGGATTATAGTTGGTTAAATGCGGACATCTGGTCACTTCAGATGCCTTTTTTTTTTTTCTCTCCCTTCACAGTGATCGACTTCTGCGCAGGAATAGATCTATTTCTGTTGAATTTCCGGTCACCTATTTTCGAATTCTGGATGTTATCGATGGTTCTTAAGAACTTGGTTTTGTTCTAGACCAGGGGTAGGCAACCTACGGCACTAGTGCCATGCACGGCACTCGAGGTGTCTTTGCACGGCACTCAAGGCTGCTAGAGCCAAACAGGCTCAGGCCTATCAGGAGTCCCAGTAAAACGTTAGATATCTGCTAATACGAAAAGGTGGTGAATAAATATACGCTGATTTACACTTTTTGTAATGGACTTTGAACCCGGCCATAAATAATTTTGTTAAATTACACCTCTAACCTTACACCTGAACACCAAGAGACCAAAGACCGGACTAGACATAAGAACCGGGACAATACAGGCCATAGAGCATTACCTTAATGCCTTGTTTTGAATGCATGTTTTGCTCTTTTTCCTGTCGACAAGTATGGACAGCTTTTTATTTTACTAACCGTTAACTCATGCCATAATAGTTATGTTTTTTACTGTTTTTTTTAATTTATTTATGTCAGTTTACTCTTGCAATATAAGCGATTTATCAAACCACAATCAAAGTACAAAATCTGCAACCCAATGAATTTAGAACAGAAATGATTGTAAACCCCACTCCTAGGATGTACTAACCATAACAAACACGTCAGATCTAGGTACAGAATCAGATTTGCATCGCCTTGCGTTCATTTTCAGGGTGAAAATTCTCACTATATAGCACAATTTTGCAATGTGAAACATTCACTCAGCACAACCAAGATGTGGCTTATTCAAATGTTCATTATCATCCTCCAAGTAAATTTGGAGATGTCTGGAACAAGGTGAAACGCGTAGGGTGAGCTGGTCTGGAACAAGGTGAAACGCGTAGGGTGAGCTGGTCTGGAACAAGGTGAAACATGTAGGGTTAGGTGGTCTGGCTGATCTAATTATTATACATCATACGCATGATGAAAATATTTTTCATTAAAGATAAGAGCTACTAGCAACTTATGTCTAGTGAGTTATTATACGAGAAGCAGCACCTCATTTATATCCCATGGATATAATAGTCTGCATGGTTTTTATTTTTAGTCAAGTTTCTATTTTGTGGCTTAAAAGTAGACTTGGCAATCAGCTGTCAGTTAATATGTAACTGCAATTTCATAAAGTGTTCTTTTCTAAATCTGAGGATTCTGTCGAACCAGGTTACACCCAATTCCCAAATGGTTACTTACACCCATCCCCCTGCAGGGCTCCCTCTCCTGTTGAATTCCAGTTTCCATCGAAACACCATATATATAACACGCTAGTACTTGGGAGATTACTGGGCTCTTCATGGCTGCCATCATTTTACAAGTATCACAGGTGTAACAAGTTCTAAGTTTTTTTCTGTTTGTAATGTTCGTGGCATTTTTCTTGTGTTGCTACATTTTATTGTATAGTCATGTGATGTATAAAATCCTTCTCAGTTAGGAATTTTAAAAAACTGGGCAATTTTCTCGTGTTTTCTAAATGGTGTGTTGTAGCACTGGTCAGTTGGCATGCTATCGTTTTATATCCAATAAGAGTTAGGAGAGTCCTTAAAATGGACCTAAGTTGTTCTTACATAATCATAAAAATAAGGAAAACATTTTCACTGGAAACAGCCAAGTCTTAGTATCTTATCTCAATCTCAACAAAGCAATATAAAATCCCATTACTTAGCACTATATGCAATGTTTGCAGACTGTTATTAACAGTATAATCTGCTCATTAACCCACAATGCTCTCTGCTGACACAACACAACTTATGATATTGGAGAAGCCTACCTGAGAGCTGAATGAAATGACGAATCAATAAAAATAGACTCTTATTGGCCGAGGCAATAGCGAGACGGGTATGCAAAAATCAATCAATGTGTTGCAGTCATATTTTGCATTGGTGTACAATGGTCATTAGAAAAATCTATTAAACAAATACTTGTGACAAACCGGTGACGGTAAGCAAAAATGAGATGATGCTGGCAACACTTGGGAAAAAAAATGTAAAAATAGTGGCTCTTGAAGCTTACAAAACAACCCTTCTTGTCCTTAAAATTGTCAAGGCGCAAAGCAATCTTGCCAAGTATAGAAACAGATAACAGGAAAATGGACAGAAGAAATTACCAATCTTCAGTCACTGATATAATTCAAGTTTGCCGAACATATAAGCTCACCTCTGCTTCTAAACAGTACAGGAAGTTTCAATGGATCATACTATTCCTACAATCAGGGTTGGGAGAGAAGTGAATGGACTCTACCATTTCACAGCCAACATTATCCAGCAGTCCAGATATTGATAAAGATTGCTATGATATGGCAAATATGATTTAACTGTATTAACAGTACATGGGCATTATGCTCAAATGCAGATATTATTTTTCCATTTTGTTGCCATTTCAGTAAACTGCACGACTTCAGTGTCCTTACAAATACCTATAGGTAAAGTATTTTAATATTATTATTTATCCGTTTTTGTCTCACCTACTGTGTGCGAGAGAACATTTTGAGTTTTGCTTTTTTTTTAAGGCAAAGATAAAGGACACTGTACATTACTGTCTAAAGCCGTTCATTTCCCAGATAATTTTATAAAGGATGAAACAAATAAGTGAAAAATAAAAATTGTGTAAATATACATAATTCTCAAGTTTTTCTGCAAAGCAATAAATACACAAAACTGCTGTGTTTATACGCTATACATCCCTTGCTTCAAATAAATGCAACGCTAACCTTTCTTCAGTCAAAAACTGCTTGGTAGTAAAAGGGTTAACAAACATAAATCCATATGTTTCCCCATCTAACCTGCCCAGGTAGTTAATTAATTATCCTGAAAATGAATTTTGTGCGCGGTTGGGAGAGTCAAAAAATAAGATCCACCTTCCACAGAATTTGCATTATGGGGCTGCATGTTCTACCAATAAGTGGGAACTGTCAGGCATGTGATTGGGGGCAGGGGGGTGGGTGGAGGCCAAGTTCATTAAACTATCTTGTATGCAAAGAAGAAGACCATAGTACTTTTGATGGGGTATACAGAATAGCAAAGCCATCACAGGCTCCAGCCACAGCACCACGTGACATAATATTACGATGTCAAACGATATCTGATAAGATAAGCCTGACAGCCGCACTTAAGGGACAATCTCCTTATAAATTTGTTCTTCCAGGACCTGTGCAGAGCCACAATGCTATGGAGAAAATCTATGCAACCCCTGACGAAAAGCCTACAAACAGGAGGCCTGACTTACAGATGGGCAACACAGAGATCCCTGTGGATTACTAAGGAGGAGAATTCATATAAAGCCACGGACCCAGCGGACATACCTGCCCTGCTCACAGCACTGGGTCTCTCTTCACAAAGCGCAGCCAACCGTGAGACACCCCATACACCCTCTGGCCCAGCGACCTCTAACCTTACACCTGAACACCAAGAGACCAAAGACCAGACTAGACACAAGAACCGGGACAATACAGGCCATAGAGCATTATCTTAATGCCTTGTTTTGAATGCATGTTTTGCTCTTTTTCCTGTCGACAAGTATGGACAGCTTTTTATTTTACTAACCGTTAACTCATGCCATAATAGTTATGTTTTTTACTGTATTTTCTTTTATTTATTTTTTCCTAAACGTGCGGAAAAATTTTAATTTCGCCCAAACTAGCTTGTGCCTCCTATAGAGGAAATAGACACCAGACCTAGATGTAATATGGCAGAATACCTGCATCCTGACACTAACCCCCTCCCACTGCCCTGGGGACAAAGGGCAGGACACACAAGGGAGCATCACACCCAACTCCACTAGCCTAGCGCACAGGGGCAGAATAACCACACCAAACAGTCAACCCTGACTAAACCCTGGCAAGACACAAACAATCATGCTCCACACTACCCACTACTCTCACGCAGACGACTGTAAGTACAACCAACACCAATTAAAGGGACGGGTAACTTCACAGCGTACACCCTGTACCAGGAACACACCACCACTCAGGCGCTATGCAAAGGCGCGACTCTCCATAGTCCGATCGCTCACCACTGGTAGAGGCAGCTAACTCGCTATAACCAAACAGTCGAATACTCCAGAAAAATTTGCTTACTTTGTCTCAGCCCCAATAGCAGAACGTATAGAATTAGAATATTTTAAGTTACATGTATATGCTGTTGTGGCACATCCAAATATGTCTGTCTTACTGAAAAATAAAGAATGTAAAAAAGAAAAGACCATAGTAAAATGAAAACCTTGTTTAATCTTCCAACGAGTGCAAGTGACTATGGCTTTCTCAAGGCCTTCAGATTTCTTATAGAAGTGTAGAACGTGGAAGCAAACTTTCTGCATGCAGTGTTAAAAGCAAACCCGTATTACAAATATTTATATGGCGCCAACATATTCCGCAGCAATAGGAAACATTTCATTCTAACACAACATGTATGACACGCGGTGACACCGGGTGCAGAGGGCCTTGTCCAAATAAACTCACAATCTTTGTATGATGCTCAGAGATTAACGTGGTAATTACTTTTGATTTGATCTATGGTCAGAGCTTGATAACAACCTGTCTGTATAATAGATCACAAAGTCTGTACAATAACAAATCCCTGTTTGAGAACAACGGACCTGTGTGACAAAGGTTGGGCCAAGAGAAACCTGACATTCCAGGACTTTCCACTATTGGTGAGATTAGCAATAACTGCTGCGGATTATCTCGTCCAAAACAAGCCCTGTGTGATGATACTTTCAGATATGGGTGCAGAACTAGCAGAAGAAAAAACACAACCATACATGTCCAAGTTAGTTGAGGATCATCGAAATTTAGCTCACAATGCCAAGGTCAACCTAAAGTCTGCATTGTCACTTCCAAAAACAGAAAGTACAGCAGAAGAGGACCCGCACTGGAGATAAAGCATTATCCAATGTTTAGGGATAACATGTTCGGCATAAAGTCCCTGTGGATCTCCAGTTTCACATATTGTGGATGTCATGTAAGCATGTTGAGTTTATTATGACATCGAGGCACCTTCCTCCTGAACCTGAGAGCGGCATTGACTGAACTGCTTGTATTTATTATAGAAGATTTATTAAATCACTAATGCTATAAATAGAGGAGATAGGGGTCATTCTGACCCATTCCAAGAGACTGATACGGCTTCCCTATACAGTAATATCGAAGACGGGTGATGTGTACTTGTAAGTTGGTCTTCACTATAAACACCACGGGCCGACCACATTAAAAACAGACCTGTACCCTGCGGAAACTAAACATATGTTTAACATATTAATTGCCAACATTATACAACATAGTTTTAGAGTTTGTTATTTAAAGTTACTTTAGATTTACCCTAAGACAGCCATCGGTTGTCGAATTCCCTTAACCATGATCTTCTGGAGGCCCCAATTGCTACAACCATGTGCTACTTCCTAATGCATCTACTCAAGAATATAAAACAAAACATTCAGTGGTAAATAGTGAAATCGCAGTTCAGGTCATTCCAGTGTTTTAAAATATCCATCATCTTCTACTGTGTATCACACAAGATGGTGCAGGTAAGGTCAGCCATCACTCAACTGACAGCTGGCAAAATTGAGAAGGCTTCCCGTGCTGAAACCAAGTAATACTCCAGTTCAGCAGTTTTGAGCATTTTTTTGATGCCTACACCTTAACATATGAGCCTAATTAGAAAGAACACAGTTAATAGGTACGTATGTGTAAATCTCACATCAGGTACCAACTTAGGTGACTAAAAGGCCAACCATTCAGCATATCGCTGCTTTAGCAAAGGTGAGTGAACTAATCAATGGCTCATTAATCACCATTAAGACCCCTAAACACTAGTGAAGGAAACAAGGCATAAAAGGTAACACAAAATTCTAAATCCTCTTCCTCGTACGTTACGTTGTGGGAATCCAGGCTCTTTTGTGAAGTAGGATTTTAATGCTGTTTTATAACTCGTTGATAAAGACATTCCTTTTCTTCCAGATTATGGTTTATATCTTTGTTCATGTTATTGTAAACCAGGTGTTTACAGAAAATTAATGATTTACTTCTATTTTATCATTCTTATCTCAATTAGTCTTATCATTACTAGTCATAGGCAACCGATACTTGAAATATTAACTTTATTTTGTTTTGACGTATCGTTGGTTTGCTCTGCACATCTGGTTTTGTGATGTTCATTCATTTTCTTATATTTATGCCCGAAAGGACTTCCCATTCTTTGACGATTTTCTCACTTGTACTTAAAAGTCTCTTGTGTTCTTTTCAACTACGCACTTCCTGTATTTTCTTTCAGTAATGAGTACTCTTTTACATTTAGGATTCCCCAGGTACTTTTATTTTTTTCTTGTACCCATCTGGAATGCATTTATTTAAAAATACATTTTAAAAAAAATCACTAGTGAATGCTTCTGGAGGGATTTGGCCAAGCACTCTCTGCCAATCATGTTACTCCTATAGGTTTCTGCGTGATCAATAAGGGGTGTATGTGATGGAAATCTACTAGACATGTGTAATTTGTTTCATGCCGAATGCAAATTCGGCTGAATTTCGGAAATTCGGATGCTTCCGAATGGCCGAAGTGCCGAATTTTGGAAGTGCCGAACCGAAATGAATTGCCTAAGTGCCGAATTTCGGAAGTGCTGAACCGAAATTAATTGCCTAAGTGCCGAATTTCGGAAGTGCCAAACCGAAATGAATTGCCTAAGTGCCAAATGTCCGAAGTGCCAAATTTTCGGAAGTGCCGAACCGAAATGAATTGCCCAAGTGCCAAATGTCCGAAGTGCCAAATTTTCGGAAGTGCCGAACCGAAATGAATTGCCTAAGTGCCGAATTTCGGAAGTGCCAAATTTCGGAATGCCGAACCGAAATGAATTACCTAAGTGCCGAATTTTCGGAAGTGCCGAACCGAAATGAATTGCCTAAGTGCCGAATGTCCGAAGTGCCAAATTTCGGAATGCCGAACCGAAATGAATTGCCTAAGTGCCAAATGTCCGAAGTGCCAAATTTTCGGAAGTGCCGAACCGAAATGAATTGCCTAAGTGCCGAATTTCGGAAGTGCCAAATTTCGGAATGCCGAACCGAAATGAATTACCTAAGTGCCGAATTTTCGGAAGTGCCGAACCGAAATGAATTGCCTAAGTGCCGAATTTCGGAAGTGCCAAATTTCGGAATGCCGAACCGAAATGAATTGCCTAAGTGCCGAATGTCCAAAGTGCCGAACCGAAATGAATTGCCTAAGTGCCGAATTTCGGAAGTGCCGAAGTGCTTCGGATTTCTGAAAAGGGGCAAAACAAGAGAGGGCTGGGATTAGGGGTTGGGGTAGGGTTAGTGGTTGGAGTAGGGTTAAATAAATTCCCTTGATATTGGTATATAAATCATCATCAATGAGGCATAGAAAACAGGAATACACCAATGAGACTGGAGACCTACACACCACTCACCCTTTCTCGTTCCTCCCCTTTTTTTCCCTCGCTCTCTCTTCCCCTCACCTATACCCTAACCCTGCAACTGGAAAGGTGGTTGGAGATGCTCAGGTCCACAGTGACACATGTTAACTGTGTTTAACGGATTGTGAACCGATGAGTACTGACCCATCCGCTGTAATCCACCTTAACATGTGATGCAACACACCTAACCATCTGTAATATCTTTGTCACGTTTCGCTTTCCTGAATAAAATTAATTTTCGAAAAGGAAAACTGAAATAAAGCTCGTCAAAAAAATTTTAAAAAAAAATTGGATCAGTACTTTCTAAAATAATTGCACTTTATTAATGGATATGACGAGTCATGTCATCAGCTTTCAGAGAAAGGGTCTAAACTCTCAGAAAAAATTAGAATATGATACACCTTTAGATGGCTGGTCAATTCAGTGTGAGCTTCTGCAAATGTCTCAATATAACAGCAATGCATCTTACCTTCACATTGTGACCTATGATTAAACCCCACAAAGGTGTAAAATGTTTCTCGCCTATTACAGCCCAGCATTTATCCCACAATTCTAAACAATTATAATACCACGTATTGATTTTAAAAAAAAGTAAGTTGAAGAACTGCAATGGAAAATGCGCCAGGTTTATTAAATGCTCCTAAATGATCCTCAAGGATTTCCATCTTTATTTACCAGCACAGAACCAGTCAATAAAACGAGATGTCTGCAGATTGAATTATTGTCAGATTTCTGCTATTCTTAGACGTGTGCAGTCAGAGGTTGGTAGTTAGATGAGCTTGATGCTAAGATTACAGAACCCTGCCATTCTCAATGTACCTTACATCTCTCCATATCATAGAATGCCATCATATAGAGTGATACCTACTGGAGGTAAAATGCATTGCACAATCATAGCACCGATCCAATACATAGAAAGCAAGAAAAGATATTGCACAAAGTATCACAAATGTCAGTTTTAGGAAATTCTAAAGTTCCTGACGCCTTTATGATGAAGCTTCCATTAGTCACTGAGAAAGCAGGGAGAGTGTGCCAAAGGGTCAAATTCAAAGCAGAGAATCAAGCGTGTCCTAGCATTTACTTAATGGGTGATCATCTGTGTTATATAGTGCAAGCAGGCCAACTTTAAAAACCATTAAGAAGCCGGCACCAAAGAAACACTATAGTCACCGAATAAAGTTTAGCTTAATGAATCAGTTTGGATGTGTAGAGCATGTCCCTGTAGTCTCAATGCCATATAGGAGTTAAATCACTTTTGTTTCTGTTTATGCAGCCCTAGCCAGACCTCCCCTGGCAGTGACTGACACAGCCTGCATGAAAAAACTGTTATTATTAATCAGACCTTAACTTGCTTTAGAGGTTTTTATCTCCTGCTCTGTAATTAAACATTCATCACACTAGAGGGTCTTGTAAGATCTAGCAAGCAATTAACAGTGCAGGAGATAAGACATTCTAAATTAAACAGACTGTGCACTAAAGGAAATATAAACATTAGATGACTCTTTACAGGAAGTGTTTATGGAAGGCTGTGCAAGTCACATGCATGGAGGTGTGCTTTGGGCTGAAAAAACAAAGTGATTTAACTCCAAAATGGCAGTGAATTGAGCAAAGAGACTGCAGGGGCGTGATCTATTCACCTGCTTCATTCAGTTAAAAGTTGTTTTGGGGGCGGGGCGGGGCCGCCAGACTGAAAAGACGCAAAATGGAGTAGCTCCTGCAAAAATCTCTAATTTTAGCCTTAAAACACTGGCTTCAAGCTTACCAGACAACTGGCTGCTGAACCCCGGCGTGAGAGGCCACCCTGGTCCTGAGGAGAGGCTTGCTGAGAAGTTTTAGTCCCTCGGAGGGGCGATCCGTGTGAGCGGGGTAGACGGCCGCTGCCCACCAGCTATCTTGCCCACCAGCGGTAGAGCAGAAACCCTGCCCCGTGCCCCCCACCCTCCTCTAGGCTGGCGGGGGTGATCCCGGTCCCCACCCCGTGACCCATCGGAACACCACAACTCTGGCGCTCGGAGCTGAGGCAGTGAAGGCCTTAAAATGGCAGAGGCCACGAGGCAGGGGACCCTGATAACAGCCGGGCGCACTCACTTCTCCTGTAGGCTCATAAACAGCCTACCGAACCAGACAGAGCGGGGACCAGCGGAAAGGGTAATAAGACCCCATGAGCTGAGCTAAGGAGGAACTATTACAGTATAATAGCCTACCTGCCATACCAAGCTGCACACCGCGAGGGGACCGAAATAAATGAACTGACCACCCATGGCACACATGATTTCTGGAGCCTCTCTCCAGTCTGAGATAAGCACCGGACCGTTCTACTCTCGAAGGCACTATGAACAGCACAGCAGCCACCAAGCTTCCGTACCAAGAACAACATTCACGCTGCACAAAGGCTGGTCTCCTGACAGGCAAACACTGATCCTCGCCTGGCTGACATGGGACTCACTTGGGGGGGATACTCCACAGTCGAAGCGTTAATGCTAGGGCTGCTATGGTGTTTATTTGAGTCGCACATGTTTTAGCCCAAGCATCACAAAACCTGCAACCACTCTCACAAAGCTCAGGCAGCCAAGCAAGATGTATACTCGTTATTTTAGTCAGCGTAAGAAGAGCTTATTTACTAGCATTTAGAACTATAGTAATAGCTGTCAACTACTCGAATAGCAATGTTATATTTAGCAGGATGAAAATGCATACTCATTTACTGTAGCCACTAGTGTATACCAGAAGTGAGCATTTACAATCAGTAGACTCATCATGAGAGACTATTCATACAACAAGCATATCGTTTAACATTTAGTGACTTAATCTTGTTTATAAAAAAAAAAAAAAAGTGCAATGTTTCTGTTACCACACTGCTGTTGTCGCATGTATCCTTTATGTTCACACCAGCTGTTGTGGCAGTGCAAAACTACTGGTTAACTATATGCACAAATAAAAGAAAGAATTGAAAAAATAAAATAAAAGTTGTTTTGGTGACTATAAGCTACCATGAGACACAGCCTTCCAGCATAATCATACATATAAAAGCATCCTGGCATCCTTTGGATCCTCACAACCGAGGAGAGGCAACAAACTGTAAAATAACATCCTTAACACAGTACCACCAAACAAAACCATTGAAATTCCTAGCTCGTAAGACTTGCAATATGCTCCTTAAACACAATAAATACATAAAATTTAAAAATAAATCATCTAAACTGTGAAGAAATCCCCCTCTATGTGCAATATTTCTTCCCTATTCATTCGGTAGATCTAACTACCGAACAAAGACCACCCCCCTGGCTCATTAAACTTCAAAGAATGCATCAATTGAACCCTCTATCTTTGCGGCCGGCGTTCGTACTACTGAACGTCACGTGGCTGAGAAAACCGCTGCCATCTTTTTTCAGCCAAACAAAGGCAGCGGGACTTGGTCGTTGAGTGTCTGGAACTAAAATCGGACACTCGACTTCCCGAACACCGGTCTCCAACAAGCGAACGCTGGATCTATAGTTCCCGAATAGCTAGGAGAGCGCTATTCTGTACTTTTGTGCATTCGAATGAGGGGAACAATCGCTGCTAAGAGCCAGGGAATCCATTCATGGAATTATTCGTTTTTTGCCCCTTTACTGAATAGACCGGCAAAACCACCCAAACTCCTGGAACTTTTTTGGGCAGCCAGCTCACGGTTAGCCGGTCACAAATGACTTTCACCCTTTTTGAGAACCCCTGAACTGATCTGGGTGAAATTTGAATATGTTGATCACCCAGATCGGGGCTATCAGGGGACATATTATTAGTGGGGATACCCCATATATAAAGGAGTGTTCTGAATATTGGGGAAAATTTTGATTTTTCTGCCTGGAGATAATCAAGTTATTACTTTATCAGACTTGATTATCTCCAGGACTAGGGGAAGGAATTGTAAGTTTGTGCTGGGTGTGTTTTACGGTTTTCCTGTAAATGATACTGTGTCCCACCCTGTGGGATGTCCCCTTACATGGGGACTTGCATAAAAGCCTGTGTGTGGTCATTAAAGCCAGTTCTGTTGTACCCTTCTTCTTGACTTCGGCTGATGTTTGGGGATTCGTATGCTTTATTAAGGGAATTATCTTATAAAGCTATTTGTATTCGTATGGATTTTGTCTATTGCATCTACCAAACTGAGAGCTATATTCACTGATGCTCTGGCGGTTCGGGAGGAAACTACCGAATGAGGATTAAATATACCAGGTTTCCTTACATAAACATAATTCAATAAATAAGTAATACAACAGGACTAGAAGTATCATAGTAATTGCCTAGAGCTGGACTGTGATGCTCTGGAAAGTCAATCACAACACAGATGGCGTCAGTCACGTCCACAAGTCTATATTGACAATGCCAGCTGAAGCATTATGGGTAATGTAGTTCCATACCAACTGCTGTAAAATATTCACAGATGGATGAGATGTGCAAACCATCCTGCCATTGTTGGATGAAACTCCCTAAAATCTCAGACAGCAAAGGGGCTGATGGAGCATTATGGAAGAATCCAAAGCTGCGATTCTATATTTTCTATTGTTGAAATCTCATTTTAATTTCAAGACATTCGTGGAATTAGGAGAGAAGGAAGACCTACCTGTTTCTGCAGGTTCATGGTCTTGGGTTCCTTGCTTTGGACAGATTGCTGCTCCCCTGCATTATCCTGAATCGCCTTACGGCTTCTGACGTTCCCTTCGTCCATTCTGTGAGTGTTTTAACTGCTGGAGAAAAAAAATAATTAATCCGAAAAAAAGAAGGAGTAGTTTGACCCACTCAATTTCTAAAAATAGCTAAATAAAATTGTCCTTATTCACAGTCGGGAAGTGCATGATTTGGCACCAATTGATTGAATCCAACATGCAAAAGTTACCTGCAAGAATTTCCATTATCTGATAAATAAATGCCATATTACTGCCGTCTCCCATCTTATCTCATCACAGGACGGCCGGGGTCCTAATGGTTACACAAATCTCAATATACGCACACCATACTGTTCTTTTTTACTGTGTAGCAAACAGTAAGTGCATAGGTAGAGATAAAGAGTTTTGCCTGGTAAAGGTATACTATAACTGGACCATAACTACTTTGGCTTAAAGAAGTGGATATATCACGCAAGTACAATTTTACTGATACATTCTCTGCCAATTAGGAGTTAAAGGGAGCTTATAGTCCTGAAAATAATTGGTTTTTTCATGACTATAGGTTCTCTTCAATTACTGTGACCACTGTCCATCCCGCTTGGCTACTACAAGTTAGAGTTAAAGATTAGTCACCTTGTTTCCAGCGCAATTACAACTCCCCAGTAGCCATATGCGCCACCACTATCTGGTGGATGAGATATTTAAGCACGGCCAAAAGCCGCGCTCCTAAAATCAAATGCTCATACGAGCAGCATTTGGTTGAAGGACTGAGTTTGACTCTGTTCTGGAGGAGGAAGCACCTCTAGTGGCTGTCAGAAGGACATCCACCAGAAATGCATTTAACCCTTAAATGAAAACATTGCGGTTTCTACAGCCCCCCCCCCCCTTCTCTTTCTCCCACACTGGTCTCGCCGTAGTTGGCCCCACCTCCGTAGTTGAAATTGATCTCAGCCAATCCAGTGTTTTCCCATTGGAAAGCATTTGGAGTCTATTGCACACGTGGCAAAACGCCAAATTGCGTCAATCAGCATTTCCTGAGAATGAACTGAATTAATGCATCTCTATGGGGAACGTTTAGTGCCTCTATGCATAGCGTGTTTAGAAGGATACCTCCCAAGTGTCCCTATTTAGTACCCAAATCCCTCTCTCTTTTCTATTCTAATATCCTTCTTTTCTAGGAGCTCCATATTGTTGGTGTGTCTGAGTGTATAACAGAGCTCCACAGCAATAACATCCCCAGTAATATGTCTTTAAACTACAATACATGTGTTTCGAAATCAATCTGTTTAAATAAGATACACTGTGTGTGTTCTCAATGACATTTTTAGATGTACGAATTGTTACAAGTCACCTAAAAATCGGTCAAAACAGAAATGTTGAAATGTATGGCTGAGAGTGTCCCTTTAACTCTTTGAGTAATGCATTATCTTGTAACGTTTCTTATACAGCGTGGCCTTTAACGTATTGATAAGCTACAAAGCTATAAAATCAGTTGGTATCCCACAGACCATAAACGAGAACAGGTATGCAGTTTTATATGCACAGGTGACCTTGAATACAGTATTCCTGATTTTGCGTCCAAGATTGGGAGTATACGATGGATTATTCTTGAGTAATAAAATGTGACAAATATTTGATAAATGCTCTGGCGCTTTATCATTATCAGAGAGCTCAGGTTTTTGTAACAGCCAGTGAAAGGAAAATGACCCAGTGTGCAGAATTAATCAAAGCTGGACAAATTGCAGGATCCAGCACACAAACAGCCGATCCATTATCTCTAAGGTTTAGAATACAGATCCCATTAGGAACATGCATGCAATTCTGGGCTTCTAACACATTGAAGCTGGCACCTACGTTCTAAATATGGACACAAACATGACACTCTGCCCATGAAAGGATTCCTGGTGATGGTGTGGTTGGTTACATTACTTCACAGCTTGTTAAACAGAAAGTGTGAGCGTTTAAGCACAGGGATTTATTGTGTATGTTTGTATTTGCGTTTGTATCACACAGACATGTAAGAGTGCTGCAGCCCACCACATGTGCTCCCTATTAAGGGATAATGAGGTTGTAGAGGTTTAGAAATGTATCGGCCTCATAAGACATTTTGCCCTTTAGATGAAAGCAGCAGGGGGAATTATTAGTTTAGGTAGGACTCACCTGGCAGGTGAGCCACATTGGAATGGTACTAAAAACTTCCTGTTATTTAAATGTGGGTGGGATAGAGTGAAAGTACATTTTGTCTTTGGTTTTTATTGTATGTATTGGGGCCGAGGTGTAAAACAGTCATTGCTGCCGCCCAGGAGTAGTGGGAGTGTGAGTGCAGCGCTTAGTATTGTATGTTTGTAACCACTGGGCATGGCATAGGTGACCCTTGATTGTAACTTACATCCATAACTGCATTACCATAAGGCAGCCTAAGGTGTCTGCCTATAAACCAGGACTTAGACAGGGGTCCAGTTACCACGGTTTATTCCTTTGACATGTGTATCAATTTTTATTTTATTTTTTAGGTTTTCTTCTCATCCATAGCTATCTCGTCTACATTCATATTCTCTCTGCAAAATCATCTTAAGCCCTTAAGGACACATGACGGAAATACTCCATCATGATTCCCTTTTATTCCAGGAGTTGTGTCCTTAAGGGGTTAATGAATACATTCGTAGCAAAACTATTGCCACCTATACGGCTTCATATTATTTATTGTTTATCCAGAATCACTTCCTGAATTCAATCTGTTATTTGAAGTTTAACATCTAAAAAAACCAAAAACATTCTGCTATAAATTAACCGCAATCACAACAAGAACCCTACAATCTCCCCAACATGACAAACTCCCCAACACAATATTACAAGATCTCATTCCTCCTTTTAACCACCATCACCATTCAATCATAAACGAATTCTTCTTCTTCTTCTTCAAAAACCTGGCCAGGATCTATCCATTATTAATTCAGGAAACAAGCACAATGCTGTCCCAATCATGACAAATGTAAGATTTGGATTCCTGCAACTTTGTCCAAATATTCCAACCCCCTTTACTCCTCATTCAATGCCCAATTCAAGACTTATTTAGATTATCAGATGTCTGTCACCAAATGTCTCCCTATTCTGATAGGGCAAGGGGAAAAAAAAATCTAAACTTTAAAAGTAATATTTGTAACACCTGTTTAAATAAAAAAAATTCAAAAAAAAAATCCACTGTCTAAATACAAAGCCAACGAAATCACTCTCACATAATAAATCCTACAAATATAGGTTGTAATAGTTGAAATAAATAAATAAGAAAAACAAAACCAAGCAACCTGTTGTCAGATAAATTAATATTATGGGTGGCAATGTTTAAGAAAAGTAAACCAATCAATAAGGAGTCTTACATGGTACAGAAAATAATCTGAACTAAAATGATACTCAGTGCACATTAGGGAGCAATCATTTCTGAGCCCCCCAGTGTTGGTTTTATATTACACATCCCATTAAATCCATTACAAGATAAATACACAGACAATGCATGATACAAAGTATTACCTGCTATAGAGATCAGATCCTAACTCTTCAGGTAACAGCAATCTCCAGCAGGCTTGTAAGATTCCAGGTTTGTAACAGCTTGGAATGGGCTGAAGTTACAAAGGAGCAGAGGTCACTGTCTAATTATTAATCATGCTCTTAATTACTCCAGGAAAGTCCAAATGACAAGCAGCACTGTCATCAGTGTGTTCTGCAGCTCTCCTGGTCTGTGTGCTTTTATTAGAAATGATTCAGTCTTGTTCCAATCTGGGCACAGAGTATCCACATGTTATGGACATCCAGCCCTCTGATCTGTAAGATACACAAAGTGCTGTTTGTTGTTCACAGCAACCCACACAGATTGGAACTTTGGAAGTAATTAAGGCTACAGACAGACTGTTATTACAGACAGAATATAGTAATCCTTGGGCTGGTTCTTATAAAGCCTGCTAACAATTATATAGACTGTTAGCCTTCTCTGCACTTATAAAACTGATACATTGTATCCAATTTCCTAAAAATATGGAATAATCCCAATGCCCAGGATCTGTGTAGATTGTTTTGTTTCCACTACCAAAAACGCCCTTAAAAGAAACCGAGATGTGACACATGAATTCATTAAAGTGAGCCTGTCACCTTAAACAAATTAAAGAGACAGCAGTCTGGGTTGCAAATCTCCAATGAATTTATTGTAAACATTTTAGTAAAAATTATGATTTGTTAATCGCCGTAAAAATAAACCTGCTACCCAGATTGCTCTACCTATTTCAAACAATACCGATAGCCCTCCCGAGAGCCTTCTTCCAGTCCATCGGCTCAGCCCTGACGCGATGCATGTGGAAAGCAAGATCACCTGGGATAAAACTATCACGCCTAACCATGCCGAGATGCCTGGGGGGAGTCGGTTTCCTCTCCATCCAGACGTACTATAGGGCAACACACCTCTTATGACTCCCAGACAAAGGACACTCAGACGCTATGGATCTCATTGGAGGAGGCTCAGGTGAACAGTACCATCCCCACTCTACATGGCTGACCAACCCACTGAAAAACACGGCTGCTCGCAACTCCTTAGCACAACTCTGAAAGCCTGGTGCTCAGTCAGACGAACACTTCAATTATCGACAACCCCTTCACCTACGACTCCAATTCCACTCAACCCAGAGGTTGCCGGGGGACTGACACCATCAGACCTGAAAGGCTTTAAGGATTCAGACTGGGTATATTTCCATTAATGGAACAACGGACCCAATCTGAAAACCATCACCGCGCTACTTGAAAAAGGAGCCCCCACGGGACTCCAGAAATACAGTTACCACCAATTTGGGCATTTTAGCTCTTTACCAGGCGCGCACCACCTTCGGAGAGCTCTCACCACATTCGAGAGTTTCTGCACCACTAGGACACACTTAATTCATGGAATCACGACCCTCTACACATTACTCCTGACGGCCTCCAAACCAAGACCAATGGCATACATGTTGGCATGGGAAAGGGACACAGGGGTCACGCTAAAGGATAACAAGTGGGAGAAAATACATGAACTGTCCCATGGTAGACACTAAACTACAAGAGCTCAACTATAAAATTATCACTTGCTGGTACAGAACCCCAGCTCGACTGCACAGAATGTTCCCAGATCACTGGGACAAGTGCTGAAGATGCGAGCGTAAACCCGTGGACACCCTACACATCTGGTGGGCCTGCCCAGAGACAGCCCCATTCTGGCAGAGAATACACAGCCTAATCAAATAAATAACTGACTCGGACATAGAACTGCAACTGCTACTGATGCTGCTCCACCACACAAAGTTCCCTATCTCGTGCATAAAAAACCCTAACGAGAAACTTCTTAAACGCTGCTAAAGTGCTCATATCCGCAAAATGTGATAAACCAGACGTAACGATCAAGGAATGGATGGAACGCGTGGAAACGATCCACAACATGGAAAGTTTTACAGCTGATGAACGGGTTAACCCTGAACGATGCGCTCTCCTCTGGTCTCCCTGGCTTACCTACATCTCCCACAGAGAGAGAGACCTTATGCCACCTACACACTCAGACTTGGCTCCCCAGTCATCAACATCGAACACCCACTCTGCTGACAACAGTAGACCCACCTAAGATAAGGCAATCCAACAGAACTACCAATTTGTGTGAATTCCTGCCATGGGCCCAAGATCGGTGTCCCCGAGGAACCCATTGGATCACCATAAGAGCCGGATAACTCGCAAAAGGGAACCAAGAGTGTTGCGCGGGGGGAACCAGGGAGAGCCACTGCGGGGGCCCACCCTGGAGCTGTGAAGACTTGGCTCCCCAGTCATCAACATCGAACACCCACTCTGCTGACAACAGTAGACCCACCTAAGATAAGGCAATCCAACAGAACTACCAATTTGTGTGAATTCCTGCCATGGGCCCAAGATCGGTGTCCCCGAGGAACCCATTGGATCACCATAAGAGCCGGATAACTCGCAAAAGGGAACCAAGAGTGTTGCGCGGGGGGAACCAGGGAGAGCCACTGCGGGGGCCCACCCTGGAGCTGTGAAGACTTGGCTCCCCAGTCATCAACATCGAACACCCACTCTGCTGACAACAGTAGACCCACCTAAGATAAGGCAATCCAACAGAACTACCAATTTGTGTGAATTCCTGCCATGGGCCCAAGATCGGTGTCCCCGAGGAACCCATTGGATCACCATAAGAGCCGGATAACTCGCAAAAGGGAACCAAGAGTGTTGCGTGGGGGGGGAACAGGGAGAGCCGCTGCGGGGGCCCACCCTGGAGCTGTGAAGACTCTTCTTTACCCCTTCCCCCATTTCTATTTATTTGTTTTAATCCCCCCCCTTTTCTTTCTACTTCTTGCTAGTCTTTTCTTTCTCTCTCCCACCTCCATCCACGCCCACCGCCCACTATCTGACCCTCTTCTTCCCTTTCACTCACCTACTAAGTACATCATAATTACCAGACGCCACACTGGATGGACCCACAAATCTGACCACTCTACCGGGGACTTGAAAGGATGCCCCATCACCAGCAACATCCAGAAGACTGCAGGGGGCGGGTCACTTCCCACCCCAGGTGGCTCCTTCTGTTAGAAACACTAACGAGAAACGTGGCAAGCAGACTTCCTATAGGACCCGGGCTGGGTTCCACAGAACACATTTCCTATGCAGAAATTATCCACATGTACCTTATTTAACCTGAGCCACAGCATGGCCAGTGAGGTTTCTCCCAACCTGACCACTTGTGAATCTTGGACAAACGATACATGATACTTATTCTATGGTTTTCTGTTTCTCTGATATACCTACCTTGATGTTCCCTATTGGAAATAGATAAATAAAGATTATCAAAAAAAAAATTGTATAAGAGTATTTTCATAATAATATTATTTAGCCAAGAAGGGATAACACATGCATTATATTAGATATATAGTTACTTAGATCCTTTCAGTCAACTTTATAAATGCACTACATTACATCAACGTCATCATATCCATGTCAGCTTCACCTTAACACAACCTACCCACTTAACATAAGTCAGATTCACCATATACCTATTCACAGACCAGATTCACCGTACACCCATTCACAGACCAGATTCACCATACTCCCATTCACAGACCAGATTCACCATACTCCCATTCACAGACCAGATTCACCATACTCCCATTCACAGACCAGATTCACTATACACCCATTCACAGACCAGATTCACCATACACCCATTCACAGACCAGATTCACCATACTCCCATTCACAGACCAGATTCACCATACTCCCATTCACAGACCAGATTCACCATACTCCCATTCACAGACCAGATTCACTATACACCCATTCACAGACCAGATTCACCATACACCCATTCACAGACCAGATTCACCATACTCCCTTTCACAGACCAGATTCACCATACTCCCATTCACAGACCAGATTCACCATACTCCCATTCACAGACCAGATTCACTATACACCCATTCACAGACCAGATTCACCATACACCCATTCACAGACCAGATTCACCATACTCCCTTTCACAGACCAGATTCACCATACTCCCATTCAGAGACCAGATTCACTATATACCCATTCACAGACCAGATTCACCATACACCCATTCACAGACCAGATTAACCATATACCTATTCACAGACCAGATTCAGCCATTCATGGACCAGATTAAACATATACCCATTTAATAACCAGATTCCCTATATACCCATTTACAGACCAGATTCACCATACATCGATTCACAGACCAGATTCACCATATCCCCAGTCACAGACAAGATTCACTTATTCACATACCAGATTCACCCACTCACACCCAGATTCACCATACACCCATTAAAAAACAGATTCCCCATACACCCATTTACAGGCCAGATTCTCCATAGACCCGCTTGCAGACCAGATTTACCATACACAGATTTACAGACCAGATTTACCATACAACCATTCACGGACCAGCTTCCTCATACACCAACCATATTCACCATTCACCCATTCCCATGCCTGATTCACCACACACCCATTCACAAACCAAAATTTGTGGTCAAATTCACAGTTACAAATCTATTTTCTTTAAATTTTTTGGCACAATTGGCAAATCACTTCAAAACAAAGTTTGTCTTACCTGACAAATTAATTTGCCTTTGGACAGAGAGAGCCCACAAGTTCTTGTATATGAAATAAAGTCTCTCCCAAGCTTAAAGGGATCCTATAGTGCCAGGAAAATAAAACCTGTTTTCCTAGCACTATAGGCTCCTGGAGTGCCCTCCTCCCTCGGGACCCCCCTCCCATGGGGCTGAAGGGGTTAAAACCCCTTTAGCCATCTATCTGAATACAGCACCGTCAGCCAGCGAGGGAGACCTAACGCGCATGCGAGGCAATGGCCGCGTGCGCATTAGACCTCCCATAGGAAAGCATTATTGTGGCAAACCTAGCCACTTAAGAATGTATGTATGTGTAAGGGTTGTCTTGCAGACTGCAGGGATATGGCTGTATTGCTTTGTTTTATGTTCCGCTTTATATGTGTTAGAGAGCATTCGTATGCTAGTGGCCCGAAAGACACTAGAATTCATATGGTAGTTTCACGAACAGTGAATTTCAACACTGTTCGTGAAACAAACAGACTACCGAATGGGAGACCACACAA